AAAACGATGTACGCGATAGTGAGAGTTTTTAAACGTGAGTCAATATTAACATTAAAGGTACCTAAATTATAAAGTGAAAACTCCTTATAACGAAACTCTAACGTAAAAATTACTTAATAATGGTTGGTTTGCTATATAACCCGCATACATTAGCTGTTTAACCTTTTCTATTGCAAAAATTTTCATTAACAAACGAAATCTCTTGGTCCCTTAAAATACGTTATGAAGAGTTTTCATTGTACTACTAAAATTCTATTATAGGTACCGAAAATTATGAATCAGAAATACAAACCGTAAAAACAATCCAGCTCACTCCGAGAGTGAAAGTCACGGACGACAATCAAAGAAATGCTCCATTTTGTATGCTGCTAGATCAGAAAAAATCCATAAGAATTTCAAATTCCAGATTCTTTTCAACAGATTTTGAAAATCCGAAATCCTTATAAAAATGATTATAAACTCAAAAGTCCAAACCCTTTATCCTGCAAAATCCAATTTCCGGAATTCATCTAGAGTTCCTTAAAAAAAGAACTTAGTAAAGTTAAATACTTCGTCAACATATTGTTTATAAATTATAAATTTATTTACGAAATTTATTATAGTCGCTACTTATTTGTATTTATTTAAATATACTTACACGTCCTGCCAAGTAGTTAAACAATATGTTGACTAAATATTTAACTTTACAATTATTTATTTTTATTTTTTTTTATATATTTTTATTATTATCGTATTTGTCGTCAATAGATATTTACAATATTATAAAATGGCATTTTACTTAGTTTCCATATTATATTACGCCTTTTAAAGATTTAATCGTTACTAAATTTAATTTTGTTTACACCCTATAACAAAGTGTTTTTGGTGCGATATCAACAATTTTTGATAAAAAAAATGTCGCGATGTTATTTGACATTGTAATTTTGAATTCGAAACTGGTCGTTAAATATAAACCTAGTAACGGAGGGTCCGGCGACGCCGTCGCCACAGCAACGAAAGTAGCGGCATGGATACACGGTGGATCGGGGGACAATTATATTTTACGACGTCGTCGCCGCAGTAACGAGAGTAAATATTTTACGATATTTTCGTTGAACACGAAAAATCGGACCTGAAAGTACATAGTCTAATCGTAATTCATCAGGAAAATGGAAAACCTAGTCCGTGAATAGATCGGTCGTCTGTGGTCTGTCAATATTATAAAACCGCTGTGGATAAAAAAAAATCATACGTGGGCGACTATACGATATTATTGTTATTTGTCGTATATGCCACAACGCCAACTGAGAACGTATAAATTTCGACCTTTTTTATTTTTAGTGGCGTATTTACGAGAGGGGAAATTAAGAGGACAAATCTCTGGATATATCTCCTCTTCGATCTTTTATGAGTATCTATTATTTATACGACTAGGTAACTATTTTCATGTTTGCGGTAAACCGGGGTCGGGACGCCATCCTCGCCGTGGTGAAGTCGATAATAGCGAAGAAGGAAGAGAACGAGAGGGCTAAGTAAGTCACAAAGCAGGTGGCTGGATACGCCGTTTACCGACCTGGTTTTGTTTCACCATCTGAAAGTTAGCTCTGGAAGGCCGAGCTGGGGTAAGCAATGCTAACGCCGTTCCCCCTCCCGGTTAAACGGTGCCTATGCGAGAGAAAATAGTATCTATTTTCAAATTGCTTGACTTTTTAGTAAGACAAATCAACAATCTAATGTATTGGCTCCTGTAGTTCATAAATCAAAAAAACAAATATATACTAGGATAGTCCTTGTTTTATAGATGAAAGAAAAAAATGTAGGCAGATAGTTTTTATCGAACCACCCCCTCCCCCATTTGTTCTTCGATATAAAAGAGAAATCTTGGTGAAATTTAGTGATAATAGCTCAATCTCTTCACGTGCGCAAAAGCGTTGATAAAGTGGCCAAAAGAGAGGAGTTTGACCGTTTTTCGAATTAAAATTAAATACTGTAGCATTTACATAAAAATATGCCATACTTTAAATATAAAACATACAATTACCTATAAAAAAAAAATGTCTTACATTTTATACCTGGTCTTATTGCTTAAAATGAAATCAATAACTGAACCAATAACCATTAAAATATAAAGGATAGGTAAACCTAAATAGTAACTTAAGTATGTACTAATTATAGACCTAAACGCATGGCAGAAACCTAACTAGGACGTTTAAGGACGATTTATTAAAAATGTCAAGAAAAAAATCATACCTAACAAATAAATACTATTATATCGCACAATTTGATTAAAAATAATGAACAAATATAATGATAATGTGGCATGTTTCACACTTGCTATTTTGCATTTTGTATTGGGTATAACAAATAATAGTTGCAAAACAGATACAAAAAAGTCTGGGTTCTTGACCCTTTGGAGAGTGATGTATCACCCACATCACCCACTCAAGAACGACACTGACGCAAGCAATGATAGGTTAGGAGTCATATCCCGGTTCCCATTGACTTTTTAAGATGACTATAAGTGTTTTAGTAATTTATTCTTTAAATGTATATATTTCTGACAAGTTTCAGGAAAAAGCTTGGTTTGTTGATTAAATATTTATTTTTTTATTTTTTTTTGAGGGACCCAGCTTTTAAAATCCCAGTGTCCAGTTGGATAAAAAAGAAGATTCTAAGATTAAATTATAATTACTATTTGCTACATTCTTATTCATTGAAAATTTCTAGGCCTATATACTATAGAGCTGTTTGATTTCAATGGTAATTTTAGGACAGATTGAATTATACATTTCTTATAAAAATATAAATTTTTTAGCCCAGGTACGTGTTATAATATGTATGCTATATAAGACACAATTTCCTACATATTCAATATATACTTCCTTGACAAAATTCTTAATACGCCATTGCCGATTTTATAATATTACGATTAATAATAAGTAAGATTACTCACTGACACCGACATCGTTGTATTGCAATCCGTAACAGCCGCTGGCGCCTTCGTCACAATTATTGTCAGAAACTATTATCACTTTGGCATACGCACTTCACACGGGTTTACGTATAAAATGTAGTAGTTATTGGTTTTTAATAATGCGAGGACATAAAATGTCTAAATCAAAATATAGCTTATTTAATTTATTAGCTTCTTGAAAAGTAAATGATAATTTGATAAATTTAAAATGATAACTTCGGACAGATCTCATGGACCCCGTCTCCATACAGTAAACAGCGTGAGAGAAGTTCGCGTTCGAGTGTAAAGATATTATTTAATATCTATTATCGAAGTTTGTGGGCTATTTATAGATAATGCATTCTTGATCATACATCTTGATCGTTCTAATTTGTTTTTACGAATAATACAACTATTCGTTATTTTCGGCTAAGTAGTTACTCGCTACTCAATAGTATTCACCGGCCATCAAAAAGAAAAGGCCAGATAATACTCGAACTTCATCGCACAAGAACTGGTCACGCACGGTGCAACGCAACTATGTTCAAATGGGATCAATGAGGATTACCTATCTACCTCCTCAGTTCTCGGCTGAAATGTACACATACAAAGAGCATATTTTTTATTATAACTGCCCAATACGAAAACGTGTAGGCACATTGCTATAAATCGTTAATGTAACCCCAGTAACACTGGAGTGGATACAAACTCTGGACATAGCATTGTAATGCGTACAAAATTTAGTTACCACAGTATTAAATTCATTATGTCGTATCTACAATTATCCATATTTTTTTGTAAATGGGCCACGGATAATTATATGCAAATCACATAATCCGTATAATTGTTCCCAATTAAAGCTGCTGAACAATCTCTTGGAAGAGAAGTAAATACATCATCGATTTGTCAAGAAACACGGTTTTTCCGCTGGTTGGACAAAAATTATATAACCTAACCTATAAAACACACAAATTTGGCGGATTTGATAAAATAGATTCCGCACCAAATTGTACATTTATACTTTGTAACAAGCACTTGTTAAGTATATTTTGTACCTATAATACACATACATTGTATAATGAGAATTGGACAGTGTATGTTTTGTCCTTAACAATTACATATAGTACATATAAGTACAAATAATGATATATTAAATATTTACATTTAGGTTATTTTGACAGAAATTATTGTTATTATTTGAAAAATAAACTTTCCTGAAAATTTGAATGGTACAACAATGAACTATGATTAATTATGAATTATGATTAATTAGTGCATGGGTACAACAAACAATACTATAATGCACCTTTATTCAAGTTATTCTTATTTTACACTCATATAATAATATAAAATATTCAAAATATGCCATTCAGGTTCTTTAAATCATCAATTCCAAATTCAATTTTTAGACAAACATAATCAAATGAGATCACTAACACAAAATATAATATTCAATCTGTTTATTTTCATTTCAATCGAAAAAAAATAAATACCAATTGAAAATACAGTGTATTTAAGAGATTTAATTTTATCTACCTTTTTAAGATTTTATTGACAATGTAGACTAATTTTTACATAATAGCCTTTTTTTCTTGGCGGAACAGATATACGCTATTATTATTGTAATTTTAAAGATACTTGAATATCATAATTAATTTGTAAATTCCATATGATTACCTTACATTAATGAAAGTGAACAAGCAAGATGCAGATAATATTCTGTTGGCAATAATAAAATATGCCAGATGATTTTTTTTTTTTTTTTCTATCAAACTTAAGATGCACACAGTTTGTAGTTCTAAAATGTTACATTATCCTTATTTTTATTAACCTAATGTTTAGTGGTGAATTCAGTACAAACTTTTAATGTAACTGTGTTTAAAAATAATGAAAAATATCATTTTTGAATTATTTTATAACTTTTATTATTTACGGATTACAATAAAAACATTTCATGAATATGTAATTGATAATATCACACTTTTCAGAAACAAGTCCTGTTTTAAATGCTAATAATTAAAAAAAAAAAAACTTTCAAGAACAAATTGTAAATATCAAATAATATTAATAAATATTTGTTGTTTATTTGATGTAAAATAATATCCAAATATCAACATATTATAATGTTACATTAATATATAGGACATAGACATTTATTTACTTATTTAGTTAATAATTGTCATATTATGTTGAGAATTTATAGTAATCTAAAATATAATTTGGTATCAAATAAAAATCAAGTCATTAACCTTTTCACTGCTATACTATTTATGAAGTGCACAGGAGTGGTCAAATGAGGGGAGGGGTATATATATACCCCACTTTTCTTAAATATTCATAATAATATAAAAGTCATTTTTTTAAGAGTATTCAGTGCTCACCTCATTTTTATGGTTAAATTATGCATAAATTCAAATTGTGATATTTAGAATTTGTAGGTGTAGTAAAAGACAATATTTTCAAATACTTGATTTTTAATAACACTAAAGGAGTATCATGTGAAAACACTAACTTTAATTTTTCAAAAGAGAACCTATATGTTTTCATTCTAATTTTCAATCGGATGATTTTTCTGAAAATGTTGAAGTATATTAATCAAAATTTTAACAAATAATTTCTGAGTTATTCTTCTTTAAATACTAAAGGGTAATAACTGTACAATTCAAAACAAGGAGTTATCTCTAAACATATAACAATTGGTATCCAATCCCCATGAAATGCTATTCTTAGTATTGAAAGTAGAATAACTTAGAAACTTTTTGTTCAAATTTAAATTACAATACGTCTACATTTTCAAAAATATTTTCTGACTGATAATTTGCATCAAAGCATATTGGTTCTCATTTGAAAAATCAAAGTTGTTATCACCACAGGATACTACTTAAATGTTATGATAAATTTAAGTATACGGAAATATTGTCGTTCACTGCACATAAAATTCCAAAAATCAGAAATTAAATTCATATATATTTCAGTCATACAAATGGGGTGAGTAGGTTTAAAAAATTACCAAATATATTATATTATATCTTCATAATTATAAAAAAATTATGCAAATACAAAAAATCATCAATTTTTTTTTATAAATATTAATCATCCATATCCCCTGCCATGACAAAATTATTTGACCATTACTAGTTCTGTAATCTATCTTATATATGTTTATATTTGTGGACTAAGAGAAAATCATAAACCAAATTGTGAAGTTAAACATTTTTTTTTAAATAAAAATTGATTTTTTTTCAGTGTAATCACTGAATAATAATTATTATGCTGTGGTTTTTATTTTCTACTATATATAAGAATATAATAGTATAATAGAACATCTAGAGCAGTGAAATGGTTAATAAAATATAACACTTGTTGCAAAAAATATATATATAAAAGAAAATTGCACTATACTAAGTATTAACTGAAATTAGTCAACTAGATTTACAATAATTAATACATTAGGTAAAAAAAACTTAAAACTAAATTTAGAATATTTTTTGTGCGTAGAAACCCATTTAGCCCAAAAAAAATATTGAGTACCACAATTATTTTACAAAACAGGTACTGGTTGTAGGCTAATAAAATACAATAATACACTTCCAATAAAATAAAATAATAAAAATATAAAAAGGTAAAAATAACTAGTTAAAATTAATTATACTATATTCGATGTATAAAATAAAGACACAAAATATAGAAATAAACTCTAAGAAAAAATAATACTGAAAATTAAACTGTGATGAAAATCACATTACAAATAGCAAGGAATACGTGTTTGAACAGTGCAAGTATTGTTAGTGTAATTTAAAAAAATAATATATATGGCCCCAATGAATTGAGCTTTAAAATATTTTATTTGGCATTACAATTAAAAAAAAAAACATAGTTTGACAGTCTTTTTGGAATATATGTATATAAATATTTTTTCAATCAAATTTAGAAAATCTGTATTTTTGTTAAAAAATAATGCATTTATAATATATAATTATTTATATATAAATTGGTTTTTTTTTAAACATCTTTTAATTAATTTTATAATAAAATATGGAAGAAAAACTAAATAACAGTACGCAAATTTTAAATAAAATTCCAAAAATCGGAGAAATATACAAATAAAAATGTGATACTACTTTTCAATAGGATCTAAAATCACAAATGGAGGAATTATTGCAGCTACTTAAAATATTATCTATTTAACTTTGTCAGTTGTTGAATAATAAGCATATTATAATATATATTCTAGAAAACTTATCAAAATTATCATAATAATGTACACTGATCAAAATATGTAAGTAGTTTAAACTCAATTTGAAGACTAGAAAGTACAATATACTTGTGTTCATCAAGTCACTAATAGTTACACAGACAAAAAAAAAATTATACCGATGTCTCAGAATTCAACTTAAGCACAAACCTATTTGATTTTGGATTGATAACTTCTTCAGAAATACTAAAATGAGGAAGCGTATGGACTGTACACAAAAGTGATAGATCATTTTGCCGTAGTTGAAACACTGTTCCATCTTTGAGTCCTCTGGTCAATAGCTCATTACAAATTAATGACCAGGACTGAAGTGATTTTTGTTCCTTCTCATTCTAAAAAAAATATAATACAATTTTAGATTAAATAACATAAAAATATAAAAAATATTTAGTACAAATTTATAAATTACTTGTAATACAGGAGATGCACTCAAGTAAGGTTCCAAAAAAGCTTTTGGTGAAGCATCATGAGTTAAACATAAAGCTAGGTGAGACAAAATAGACTCTACTGTATGTCTTGGCTGTTGTCTGGTTACTCTTAAATATTTTTGAAGAGATCGTGCAATTGTTGGAAATACAGCTTGAGCAGCTTCATAGGGATCCATGGCAGAACCACCGCCTAAAAATAAAAATGTTATAATAATTAATTTAACAGTAAGAACCTCATATATAATAATTAATAATTACCTGGATCATGATGTGATCGTTTAACATGAGTGAATGCTTCTTCAGCAGCTGTAAGAAGCCTAGCTCTTCGCTTTTTAACTCTACGTTCATAATCATGTTCTTCATAAAAACGTTCATTGTGACTTGAGTCACGACGTCTTGGGTGACCATTCATTGCACCTCTTGATTGACTCATTTGAAGTGTGTTACTTCCAATACCCTCAATATCGTAAAACTTAAAGCTTGATGCGTTCTTTTTAGACTTTGAAACTGGTAAACGCTCTAAGTATGGATTGTATATGGAGAATTCAGTATAATATCGCTCAAGAATCCAAACTGCAGCTTGTTGAATACTTAGTTGACCAATAGGATATGAACCACTTTCACCATCAGGACTTCTAACAACCTATAATTTAAAATAATTTTGAATTATTTAAATTAACAATTTTTACAAAACAGCAATATTTTAGGTTTGAACAAATATTTAGCTAAATAATAAAAAAAAACAAACATTTAAATAAGTTTTTTTTTTTTTAAATAAATTATGAACCTGCATACAATTAACAAACAAAAAATATTTATTTGTATTATGAACTAAATTTGTGTAAACTTTCTGAACCCAAAATAAAAACATCCCAATAAAAAAACAAAACAAAATCATTTGCTACTTCAATGTAAATAAAAGTTTTACTATTTGTTGATTACCGAAATTATTAAAATGTTCCGTTTTATTGCTTATGTTAGGGTATGAGAGAACATAAAGTTAAGAAATATTGCACATTTGATATTACACTAGTTAATACAAATTTACATGGAGTGTGCCATGTGAAGTTTCTCAACACGTCTCATCAAATTTATGAGATTTCTAAACTTGACATTCTCTAACTCTATCACATAAGCGCTAACAGTCTAGAAATCAGCCGATTCAGGGAATTAAATTCAGTACCCTTTATCCTAGGTCAATGTGCAACTATATTAACTATAATTATGGATAGGACCGTCCTTTGACTAGTACACTTATACATTTTTTTTTTAACATTAGATTTCTGTATAATTAAATAACAATTTAGCCTAACCTAAATTTGTCTTATTTTGTAAGTAATAAATTTAAGATAATACAAATATTTTATAAGAAGGAAAATAATAGCATTTGTATGGTATCACTACATCAATGTTAAATAATAATGTAAAGCCGTAAACATTTGTATAAGTTTCAACATATTTTTTTAATTGTCATAGTTTTCATTCATTTAACAAATTGTCTACACTAAAATGTGAAAGCAAATCAACCCTGGTATCGAATAATATAAAATAAAAATAGTTTATTAATTAATTTATTAGAGAAAGCAGTTACTAATCCAATTGTCAAAAAAATGTTATGAATTTATATACCTTGATATAGTAAGCTGGTTGAAGATGCCTTATTTCCATTAATACTATAGCAACATAATGTATACAAAGAAGGCAATCGCATAGAGAAGAAGAATATGATACCAAGGCACGGTACTCAAGTAAATCTTCACCTGTAGCTGTGGCTCGGACTCCTAAAATTCAATAAATAAATAAAATTAATAACACAAATTATAATGTAATATTTTAGATTTCGAGAGTAGCGTGAGAGCTATTGGTTTTACAATGCTGTTTATTATTATTTTTTTTTGTTCTAATCTGTGGATACAATATTTTCCTAGTAAACTTGCTCCAATTTTTACGTGTGCAACTTTTCTAAAAACTCAAGTTGTCTAAATTATACTTTAAAGGGGTAATTTTTTTTTTGATTTTCGATGCTATTTTTAAGTAAAAGTATTTAAGTAGGAAAAAGTTTTTTTTTTAATAAGCATTATGAAATCAAATTTAAACAAAAATCGCAAAAAAAATTATGGCACTTCAGATTATGTACTACCAAACTGCGCTTGGAATTTTCTTTATTCAAGCAATGGTTTATCATTGCATGCAGATATAAATGAAATAACCTTATGTATCCTACCTTCCAAACTTCTCATCTACAACAGTGACAGCTCCCATTCCCAGTATCAGCTCTTTTTAAATTTTAATCCTATATTATTTTTTTTTTAATAAATGTTTAAAATTCAAACTTTTTTTTAATTAAGTGAATAAAATGTATTTAGCACTATAACAAGCCTTATCAATTTGATACATGGTTCACCATTTTTTATTTGAAATAATTAATTTTTTCATACAGTATATAAACTAAATAACTCTAAGGCCTGAATATGTATCCTAACTTCCTAACTTCTCACTTATAACAGTTACCAGTCAAAAGCACAACTATTGTTATTCCATCATCTAATAAAAATATTGTTCATATAATTATTATATTAATGTGATTTTTACAAAATAAACGTTTCAATAAATAAAGTATATCTTCTTGGTGGTACAATACATAATAAGTTAAAATATGATAGCCAACGACCTGGCTCAGTCTTGGGAATTTAACTTCCATATGGCATGTGGACTGCCCTAAATCAAAATATAACAAAACATGGAAAATGTGATTTTCTTTTACATAAATGGAAAATATTATATATACTACTATGAGAGCTTGTGTAAGTCAAACAAACCACATTGCTGAGGTATGCTCCCTAACAAAATATGAAAAAAGAATAGAAGGGCTTCACAAAGGCAACAATGAAGCATACAAGTGGCTACTTAACCTAGAAGTGCACCTCTAGAGATGAAAAAACAATTAGTTAATTTTATTGTTTCTATTTTTGGTACACTCAAAATTCTATACTACAGCAGTCATATGAAATAATTTCTTTACATAAATTTATTTTATACGACGATACAGTAAAACTTTCTTTAATGGTCACCTCTGTATAACGGTAATTTTTTTGGTTCTATCAAGTGTTATACCTCTATACAGGAAACCTATAAAGGACAGTTACCTCTAAATACCGGTCATTATTTCCGGTCCCTTTGGTGACCATTGTATGGAAGTTTTACTGTATAACCATTTTAATATCTCTGGAGATAGTAAAGATAATCAAATTCTGATTTACAAGGATAAGGACTATAAATATTTATACTACAATTCTTAATATATCAAAATATATTACAATTTTTATGCTTTGATAAAAACTTAAAAAAAAAAATAGCTTTTTAATTTATTATTTTTGAAATATTTGAAGATGGCCATTTTATAGTTAATTTTTTTGAAAATTTTGATGTAGGTATCAACTTTTTATTTTCATTAAATTTGTGATTTTCAATATTTTTTAAAGTTCATATAAAAGTACCTATAATTATGCAGCAGCAGGCTGTAATCACATTCTATAATTGATTATTATTATTATGGTTAATTGACTGACATTTCCCTGTTATATTCTATTTTAGTTTAAGGCAATCCACGCGGCATGTGGAAATTAAATTCCCGAGACTCTGAATTAGGTCGTTGACTATCATATTGTAACTTATTGTACATTGTGTCACCAAGAAGATATACTTTATTTATAAAAATATTTATTTTGTAAACAATACATTAATATAATAATTATATGAACAATATTTTTATTAGATAATTTAATCATCTAATTTAATTTAAGAATTAGAATTGAACGAGTACTAAGTTAAGGATTAGTTAGTTGGTAATTTAAGATATTATGAATGTTTTTCACCAAAGAATACTATATAAAATTTTTAAAAAAAGTATGGTATAATATCCTTATATAATTTACCTTCTGTGACTTGCACCACATAAAATAGCCAAAAAGTACCACAACAAATTGATATTAATGTTAAGACGATTGCTCTAAAAACATGTATTCGAGGCATGGTTGCTTTATGAGGACGTAGGAAAATTGCCCATGACGCCACAGCTAACAAAAACATTTTGAACGCCAGTGAAACTAATACTCCTTTACATTCTGCACCACAATTTAATAAGGTTTCCCTTTGTTGAGGGCTAAGATTTGTGGCAACAGGACTAAAAACACCTAAGAAAAAAACATCAACAATAATATTAGAAATATATATTATGTTGTGTCTGTATGCAGTTATTTAAATTAAAATAATAATCACAACTTTATATTATAATCAAATTTTAGGATTTTGGATTTTCAGCATGTAAATATATTTTAAAACAATATGAAATTTACTCACATCTTCTGTTATAACAGGTAAAAGAAAAATAATATTTATTAATTAAAAAAAAAAAAAAAAAAAATCAAAGCACTAATAGTAAAAATGATATCCATACTGAAATAGATTAACACAAACATTTAAAAATTATTTTAAAATATAAAACATACATTTTGACTGAAAAAAAAAAATTGATCCTGATAATATATTATTTCTTGTAGGTAATATTTAGGATATAAAGGTAGCTTATGAAAAAAGAACTGAACATAATGTGTTAATAATATTATTATAAGTAAATTACCTAATTTTGGTAAAACAAGCATAGCTAAAGGGCTAAGAAAAGCAACTAGAGACAATAGTCCAGTCAATGTAGTTGCAATATAACGATGGCACAATATTGGAAAAGCACTTTTCTGTTCAGTATCTGGCCACAGTGCACCCATTTCTTCCATTGAACCAGATTGCACTGAAGTATTACCAGTAACTGCTGTAGTGTTTTCACCCCAATTTTCATCCTACAAAAAAAATAATATTCTTAGCATCCAAAATCAATACCCATGATTAACATATGATATACTTGATATCTAAATATGATCGACTAAATGTTTTAATAAAATATAATTTTAATCAATAGTAATGAGCAATATTTATACACTATGTGTTAGGTATCATTTTATCCACAATAATAAGAATGAGAAAATGGTACTCAAACAAGGTTAGAATAACATTAGGAGAAACTGAATAATTACTTGAGGCAATATTTGTACTTCAACAACATCTTGGCCATCTCTTGTGTCATCTAACATAACAGTAGTTTGATATGGTGCCATAGTTGTTTCGTATGGATTATTTAAGCTATCAGAGTATTTGCGAGCACTTCGAGTGTTATTTCTACACATGAACAAGACATTAAAAACTGTTAATAATTTTAACAATACCTATACAATAAAAACTAATGCATACATATAACTGTTAGATCTATGATTACTGCTAGATTTTAATGAGTGGCCCTTGTACTTGGATTTGGAACTGTACTCGCTCGTGGATCTTATAGACTCTGTGTCCATTATGACAACATAAGGATGTACACATCACCTACAGATGACAAAAATAATAATTATAAGCCACTCATAGTATAGTGCTAAAAAAATTAACAATCTAAATACATACTTTTTGTTAAACTTAAGTCTATTATACACAATATTAGTAAAATTAAAACATTTTTTGATTAAATTAAATTTTAAGTAAATATTATTTTAATTTATGTACTAATATAATAAAATTAATGTTTGCAAATTTAAACTCAATTCCATTTTCATTAGATATTTATTAAAAAAAACTTTATTTACAATGTATACAAGTAATGATAAAACCGTATAAGTAACTTAAAACTATTACGACCAGGAAATAATTACCCTTTATACACGATCATTATTATTCGAGCGTCGTCGGCGGACGGCGCACCAACATTTTCGTTGAAACTATTTTGTTTACATCGAGTGATGATAAATTGTGTATCTTGTCCTGCGGTACGATACGTCTAGACGAGCAGCGTATAATGACCCTAAGTGAAGATATCGCGATTAGTATTGTATTGTGAGGTTATGTCTCTCGTAAAGACATTACTCGTCGGTCGTACTGGCACCCTGCTGATAGTGACCCCTCCGAATCACAACCGCAGTTAGAAATCTGATAACATTTGTTACCTATGTACCTATTTTATTTATTCGTAATTGATTTATTTGATACAATTTATATTAGTTTATCATAGTTTTAAATTTTCAATGTCTATCTATTGTCTAGTCTCTTTCAAGTCTGTTTAGTCGGCTGCACAAATGAATATAGTAATTATTAAGATATAGGTAATCTTAATTCGTTGTTGGTAGGTATAAAAATATAAGTTGTTATTATTGTTTATATATTAATATTTTAGTAGCATGGGTTAGGATATCTTATTATCTCAATATGGATAACATATTATTAAGCTTGCCAACTTCTTAATAAATAATAACTAATGGTTTATGTAGGTACCTACGTACCTTCCATGCAAATTTGGGCAATAACTAGTTACAAAAAAGTTACAGTTACAAAAATCAGTAACTTCATAACTTGTAAGTTACTTTAATTTTCTTGTAATTTTTTGTGCGTATATAAGAGTAACTTAATGAGTTACTTTTTGTTTAAATCAAAAAAGTTACAGGTTAGTTTTTATCATTTAATCACCGATATCTTGCAACTTAGAATTTTCAAATTGCCATCAAATTTAATACAGCAATCCCGTCTAGCACCCATATTGAATGATTGTTGAATGTTTATTGTTTGATGACCGAAAAGGATCTATGGCTGATAAGAACTTAAGGTGAACGACTGAATGCATGGTAGGGAATCGTTATAGGTATGCCTTAATTTAAAGATTGTGAGCTGGTAATAATGTGTAACTTACGGAAGCGATTGAAACGTACAATAGTGGATCTGGGTAATTTAAGGTAATCAAACCAAGTATTATAATGGGTATTTGGGACACTATTTTTAAAATTGACAACGAACTCTGATGGAAGATTAATCCAATAAGAGATCCAAAGGTTTAATACAAATTCGTAATTTGCGATTATAAATGTGTAAAATCGAATAACAATTTTGGTGCAATTTGTTTAATGAAATTCCAAATTGGGGGTGCTAATATAACGGATAATTTACAAAAATAATTTTTTTATTATTTTTAATTTTGTTTTTTTGTTGTAATAGATATAATTATTAGACTACACAGAAATGCTTCAAAATTTGATGAAATTAGAGGATGATTTTTGATAGAAACATTGCTCACAGACACAAATGAAAAACACACAGTAAAACCAATAGACCAGCTACGTTCAGAAACTAAAATTTAATTCGTGGTTCATTATAAGTCGTTCTTAGCGATTAAAAAGTTTTAAAATCAAATTTTGACGAAAATTGTAAACAGTATCATATCATAAAACGTAGGTATATATCAAAACATGTACAACCGAACTTCATTAGCTTTTCGTTAGCAATAGTTTTTCGTTGCTTACTGCTATAAATTGAATAAGTAACTTAATGTATCCTACCTTCCCGACTTCTCACAACAGTGGGAATATCTTTTCCCGGTGTCAATTATTTATTTTTTTTTTCGTATTCAAATATCCTTCAGTATTCTGAATATTTTTTTTTTATTTTCATTAAAAAATTATTTTCTTCTGAAACCAATAATAATTTTAAATTTGTAATCTAAATCTTACATTGTACATTTTTATGGCCACATAATACCAAAATTATGAACAAAGTATCTACCTATTTAGTTTTTTATTTTAATCAAAGTTTAAGAATTGGCTTATTAATGGCATAGGTAATATTTATTTAGTTATATCATTGATTATATAATTGTCTTTGGCGGGTTACGCCAAAACACGAGGTTTAATGATAAAGTAAAAAGAAACCTTTTTTTTTACGACATAAAAACATAATACAAGTGCTCGCCAGCTGACGGCTTGTGGCGCGAGAACAGGCGAGCACGCAATATTTAAAACAACATTAGTGGTAAAAATCAATTATACATAATAATTAATTGGAGTCGGAAAACAATGTTTCGCGAACGGCGTCGGTGCGAAGAGAACGAGCGGAACGGTCGAGCGGAGCTGTGGCCGATGACTAATGTACGCCGACGGTGAGGGGAGTGTCCGACGTCCGCCGCGAGTGACGCGCAGCGGGAAGAAGAAGTGTGGCGCGAAACCCGCTAAAACCGCGAAAAAACGCGAAACCCGAAAAGACGTTATTTTCAAAACTGCTCTTCTGAAATTGACATAAATCAGTTGAAAAAAAAAATATTCGTAAAGTATTCAAGTACTTTTTGAAATATTCAAATATATACACTTTAAATATATCTGTATAAAACTTGTTTGAATGCGTAACCTGAATACTTTTCTACTCGTTTAGGTACCCATTCGAATGGGTAACCTTCCGAACACAAAATAAAAGTGTTCTTCACTAGACTGATTAGGTAAATTTTATAAATTGTGTAATTTAATTATATAGACGTTCTCACTTGGGACGGGAGCAGATTTCTACCATAGGTTTTTTTTTTTTATTATTATCAGGTGCTTTTATTATAGTGAATGATATCATGCATAAATGATATTAATTAGTCGCAGGTATCTAATTGACAATACACTATTGACTCGTGATAAATTTCTACACGTATGCACGTGTGTAATTTAATAATATATTAATATGCAATAAGATATATTTTCTAATGAAATTGTTATCGTGATCTAATCAGAACTCGGGTTATTTTCTAAAATAGACACAGATGCATAGGCGTGCGCACGGGTACGGCCTATGAGGCTTATGCCGTACATCAGTGCCTGTATTAATATTTAATTCCTTGAATCTCAGTTTTCCAACATTGTCGAAACAAGTTTTTTTTTTTTATCAATACGAAATTTGTAATGAAATATCTGCGAATAAGACACTATTAATATTATATTCATTCATTGGTAAGCCCGAGGTCTTGAACATTTTTGTATTATAAATAATATGTTGATAACTCCATGGACATACTGGAAATTCGTTGGTACAAACCGGTGTTTTTAAAATAAATCAGTGCGAATCGGAGAAATTTTTTCGGACATATCGGCGTGCAAAAAATTGACACTGATCCTATTATTTCGGACCACACCGACGATACGGTGGTTCGTTTTACCGATTCGTTTTTAATTATCTTTACGTCTGATTTCTTCTGAAATTCGTCCAACCTTATCATTTTTTCTGTGGCGGCTCCGCACCACCACCACTAACCGACCGACTCTGACAGGTTTTACTTGTTATTATCTTTTTCCTATGTCTGTAACGTTCGCATTTTTTTAAAATTAATTTTAAAATATTATTTAATAAATATATAATTAAAATAATAACGACATCAAACATACATTGATCCAATGTAAATGATCATATTTTTGAAAGTATGTGTTGAATATATAGTTAATATAAAATTAATTGCAAAGGTACCTACTTTAATTTCATTTCAGCGGTCACGCGGATTACAGTAGTAATCCAAATTGTTGTTAAACTTCATTATTCAGCATTCCAGTATTACCAGAATAATCATTCAGAAAAAAATTCAGTAATGTTTAAATTATTCAGAGAAAACTGTGATAACATAAAAAAATGCACTGTGTGATAACAAATAACTATGGGCTATAGAGAGGATAATGATATTTTCTACCAATTACAAGTCAACGAATTTCTTGTAAAAACGGTACTATAATATTCGAATCGGTATCACACACCGGTATGAACGAATCGGCATCAGCATATTAACCGATTTTTTTTCTACGTACCGGTGTATACTGTACCGAACCGTTTTGGCATAAATCGGAATCAATATGGTACACCGGTTTGTACAAACGAACTTCTAGATATTAACTAGGTAGTTAATATTTATATGGATATCTCAATCCTGATAAGGTGATTTGCGTCACTGACTAAGATATCTTAGTGATTAGTCCGTTATTCACGTCAAAATGTTAAAACAACCTGATAAGATTCGGATTGTTATTGACTGACAAAACATTTTTTTTTTTTTTTTTGTACATAGCGTTTTGTTTTTATATTTTCTGTATCACTTTGGTATTTATACAAATGTATAAACAATATAAGTATTCAGTACTTACAAGTATTAGGTAATATTTAATATTAATTTGTTCTGTTTCTATAATTCAGCGTCTATGTTAAAATAGTTTGTACTTTCACTGTATAGGATTGCCACGATATAATCGTTGCCTAAACTGAATATAGGTACCTATAAGGAAAATTGTGCCGTACATGTACCTGAGTTCTGCTCACGTCTATGCATAGATGTGATGTATAAATATGTACCTATTCAATTTTTTGTAATCCAGTCTCATTCGAGTGACTCAACCGGTTGATGTTTATTTCAAATACACCGGTACTCCTGATAATGACACGGAACACGGGATTACTTGAAGATTTATACTTTATTTAATCAATTCAAATTTTTATGAATTAATAAATTTAATTTTTTTTTTCAAGCAAAATTGCTTATCATAATCATTTTTATTACGGGCGGTAATATGTTCTCTAACGAGGCCAATATTTATGAAACACAAGCGCAACGTATTTGCTAAGTACCTAATGCCCCACTTAATTGCATCGACTATAAACTTACTTAACTTATAACTCAATAAGTTTACTTAACGAGTTTGACACAATAGTCGTGACTCGTGATAAGCATAGTACCTACATTAAAAGCACCAAAAAGTTTTTAAAAAATATGAAAGTAAAGTAGCTCAATATATAAAGTATGAGTTTAGAGGAACAGGTCAAGAGATCGCTTGGACAATACACCTAGGTAATGATAATGACAATAAGCGGTGACGACGTAATAGGTGAGGTTGAGTGTTTTAATTGCCTATGATCTTTTGTACAAAAAAAACGGTGGCTTTGACGAGCATGTGAAATATAGGATATTAAGTATGATTGGATAAATTGGAAAGGAGCGTCAATGGTGTTTTATGTGAGTATTATGTGACAAAAAGAATCCAATGAGACATACAAGTAAGTTCTAGTAATGATGAGACTGACTATGTTGTATGATTCAGAGTGTTGGATGGTAGACAGAAAAAAATTAGAATATAGAATGAGTGTAGTAGAGGTGACAATGCTTAGGTGGATGAGTGAATTGACGAAAGAAGATATAGGATAAGGCATGAGAACATAAGAGGTACTTAGCTTAAACGTATTGGCTTCGATAGTAGACAAAATGAGAGAAAATAGACTGCGATGCTCTGGACATGTCATGAGAAGGGAGAAATCGGAAGCAGTAAGAATTGTAGTGAAAATAAACACAGGAAGAAAGACCTCCATCTTTTCCCAGAGGAAGATCGAAAAACAATTGGTTTTATGCGATTGAGACTGACATGAGGACGACGGGTGTATGTGAGGACGATGTGGGGATCGAGTCAGCTGTAAAGTGGAAGTTTAGGACTCCAAATCTTCTCTGTGCCGTGACTGGACAAAAAAGGAAAACATTGTTATTACGGGCCAACACATTCGAATAACAGCGGGCCACTTCGGTCAATACAGTGTCGCCACTTGACGGGGACCCGAACGACCAGCTGCTGCACCAGCCGCGGCAGCAGCTAGTTCGAGTCGTTGTCGCCGACCGACGACACCGCGGCTGCCTGCCGTCACTATTGCACAGTACCACCACTTGCCACTATCTGTTCAGTATTACAGTTTAGACTACTACTACTACTACTACTACTACTACTACTACTACTACTACTACCACCACCACTACGGTCCCTTGAGGTTGGAATATATTATATTTATATGTGTATACATCTATATATGTGAATATGTGAGTATGTACTATTACTATATATCCATTTGTATAATAATAATATATTTCGTCGCTACGACGTAACCCGTCCCGTTTTTTGCTGTGTACGGGTCGTCCCGCACCGTCCGATTGCCGTTTTAGGTCATTTACCAGTGTTTATTATACCGTGCAGCACAAATTGAACACCGTTGCTCACTTTCTTCAGTCGCCGCCCGTGATCGACATCTAATATCCGTCCGGCTCTCGTTTTTTTGACCTGGACACGCGATAATATTAATACCGTCGTCGTCATTGCCGATATCATTATTATCCGCCCGTCGTACTATTCCCGAACCTGGTAAGTTCCCATCTCGGTGCAGTGCACGCGCTTTGTCTGCACTATCCTATAGATCCGGCGAGCCATTTTTAGCCCCTGTCAGGACACCTCCCCGTGAATTTTGGATGGGTTGATTGGCACTTGACCGACAGCTGTTCCTCGTTTGTTAAGCATACGTCCACTTCTAGGTTTCTATTTACTGACCGTGTTTTCATAGTACCTACTCTCTTTCGATTAAATTCATTTGGATGCCTACTTACACTATTTGTAGTGGATACCTGTGCTGCGATCCACTCAACCAAATCAATTATTTTACTCTTGCACAGTATTGAGCACTGTGTGTGAGTGGATTTCTGTTACAAACTTTCTTATTTGTAAAAAAAAATGTATACCTAGGTATGCAGTCTATATTCATTTATTGTAACCATAATGTCATATTGCATACTGCTATTATTAATAAATCCTTAATTTCAGTTTCTTAAGAAATATAATATTATGTACTTGTATATTATTGTAGAATGTGTTAGATAATGACTGTGTTATTCCGAATATAATGTAAACTTAGTTTTGTCATATACAATTACTATACCATCATGATGCCAATTAATTTACAAGACAATAGTTCAAACGTGTCTCATTAATAATTAATTTTCCATACCAACTGTTAATAGGTTTAGCTCTAATACAGTACAGGTTTATCGGATAACGTTTTTTAATTTAAGTTTTTGTTTTCAGTTTGACATCATTTAAATAGATGCACTGTTGAAGCTGATTAATAACTTGCAAAATATTTGATATATTTTATTGACATGGAGACAGAAACATCTACCGTGTCTCAAGAGCATTCTGCTGATAAGACCACTCAAGTGAGTAGTATTTTATTTTATTCAATTTTTGTTTTTACCTATTCAAAATTGCTATTTTAGGCAAGCAATCAAAAAGACTTGTCAAGTAGTTCTAATACTACGACTGGACCATTGTCCAAACGTTCAGATTCTGTAGAGTGTACAACTTCTGTGGCCACACAAGCTTCTGAATCAGATATATCCGATTCTAATAATCCGTCTAATGATAAAAACCGTAAGAAGAAAGATCGTCATTTGGCTCAAGCATTAAAAACTGTTTTGAATAGTATGAATTCTTTGAATACACCAGAAGAAAAACTAGCCGCTTTATGCATAAAATATGCAGATCTGATGGAAGAAAATACTAAGTTGAAAGTAAATATTATAAATACTTATATTTTTTTTAATCTTTTTAAAAACACATTTTTTTCTACTCATTTTAGACTGCTTACAAACAAACTGAGAAAAGAGTAACCCAAGCACTAACTGAACGTGATATAGTTAGAGGTGAAATTAATAAGGCAGTTATGACCAGGAGTCGATTGGAGAGTTTATGTAGGGAGCTACAGAAACAAAACAAAGCAATAAGAGTAACATTTTATTTCTTGTTATATTTATTTATTGATAAACAAATGTATGTTTTTTTAGGAAGAAAGTTTAATGCGTGTAAAAGAATCTGAAGATAAACGCATGGAAATGACTAATAAATTTCAAAATACGCTCAGTGAAATAGCTACAGTAATGCAACAAAATAGTGAAAAAAATAATAAGCTTCGAGATGATAATTTGGATATGTCTTCTAGGCTTAAGAATGTGTGTGAACAGTATGAGCTTAGAGAACAGGTAAATGGCGCTGTAAGCACACACAAATTTATTATTATTTTCATACAGTTTTAATTAGGAAATGATTCTTAGTATGGAATACATGTTGATTGTTGTAGCAAGTAGTTAAGTTAGCCAAGCAAATTGAGCTTGAGACCCAATTATGTGATGCTAAGCTAGCAAAAGCGAATATGGAAATCAGTGTGGAACGAGAATCTATTTTAAATGAAAAGTCTCATTTATTGAAAGTATGTAATGATTATTGAATTTTTCATATCATTATATAATATTAAACTTTCTTTTAAATAGGAAATACAACAATATCAACAAAGAATTGAACAAATGCAGAATACTGAAATAGACTTACGAAGTCAAATATCATTGTATGATGAAAAATATGAAGAATTTCAAAATGCTCTAGCAAGAAGCAATAAAGTGTTTGCTGGGTTCAAAGGAGATATGGAATTAGTGGGTGCAAATGACTATTAAACTGTAAGTTTTGAAACTAAACTTTCATTTTATTTTCATATTTAGATGTCAAAGAAAATTGTTAAACAAGAAAAAGAATCTGCTAGTTGGAAAATGCGCTATGAACGTTGTCAGCAACTATTAGATGAAATGACAAATGAGCGCACTAGAATGATAAGTGATTTGTCTGTAGCAACTCGCCAATTGAGTACCTTGCAAAAATTATGCAGAACTCTTCATTCTGAACGGCAAGCGCTTTTGTCAAGGTTGGAAAACGGGAAAAAAACAACGGATGTGGCTCCAGTTATAGCAGGAGAAACAGGTGAACAATTCACTGAAGCTAATATGTGTGCAATGGCAGATTGGTTTGCTTGCACAGATACTATAAAACTTAAATGTAATTAAATCTACATTTTTGGCTGATTTTTACTCATGTGATGGTCCCGTTCGTTTCAGCTGATCAGATAAACGAGACGCTACAGACAGTCCTCGAAAGCCAATGTAAATTAACAGACAACGATTCAACTGAACAGCAACCACAAGTAAATGGTGAAGATATGTCACCCGAGTCACCTTCATCATCTCAATCACATATGTCTGATGAACCAGCTTATGATACAGGTGTAAGTTGTAGTTCATCAATCAATGAAGACAAAGTAGAATGTGTAGTTGAAAATAATGTTGAAAATAAGCCGGTTGATGTAGAAGAGCCTAAAAAACCTGATATTAAAAAAACAAAGGTATTTACTTCATATTATTTATTTTTAGATTTAAAATTAATTTTTTAATATGAGATGTAATAATAATTTTATTGTGGCATGATGAAGACTAGTTATTGAATATCGTCCATTTCTTTTCTTAAAGTTAAATTCTTGTAAATATACAATAACATTTATCATCAGCCAAACTATTAATTTCTTATAGTTTAATAAAATAATATTTTTAAAACTTTGAAGAAATATGATTTTTATAGATTATAATAAAATTAGAGTCCAGATTTTTATGTTAACACATAATTTTTAACGAATGTATAATGTTAGACGAAAGTAAGCAATAAATGTGTTTTATAACAACCTGTTTGCTATATTTAATTTTCTTAATTGAATGTTTCAGGAAACTCAATCGAAACGGAAGGCTAAGAAAACGTAGTAAATCTTATCTTTATTTAATATGTAGTAGTTTAATAATAATAAATTTATAAATGGAAACTGAATTCCTAAAGATTTTAGTGGAAGTTTTTTTACTTTGCAAAATTATTAAGTATTGTTTTATTCAAAGTCTTTATTTAAATAAACGTTATTGGCCTTACAGTGGTTTTAATTTTATTTATTTAAAAATGCCATATTTATTAATCGAATATGTGAAAACAAGTATTTGACTATTGGTTATAGTAATAATATTAATTTAAATGTTTTTATTATTGTAATATCGATTATTATTTATTTATATAGCTTTGCCAATTTTGCTTTAATAAAATACTATTAAAAATCAAGTTTTTTGAATAAAATTATTTAGTTAAATATTTTAAGTTTTCAAAACTTACTTTTTTTAAATGATTGATGCCTAAAACAATATTATATTAAAATCTGAAAATTTAAAGATTTTATTATGTTACTGATTTTATTTTATTCAAATTTATCTTGAAATATATCTTTGCTTTATTATGTATAAACTTAATAAATCATATAAGAAGGAGCTGAAAGTCACAAAGATAACCACACATTTGTTACCAAATCAAATTTTTTTTATAGTAAATCGGCATATATTATATTATTATGAAAGGTTATTTTAAAAGTTTAGTATGCATTTTAATACTATACAATAAATTTTATTTACCTACCAGCAATAAAAAAAATATCACATTACACACAAAAAAGAAAAAAAAATCCAACACCAAGTGGTTATACCCTAATGTATGTGGCAGACATATATCAGTGTGAGATCATTGTATAAAATATGTAGTCAAGCTGCAATTTAAATTATGGACAATTGGCTTGAAAAGTATTTTAATATTATGTACAGTACACAATATAATATGACTATGGTTAGATACATAATATTAATAATTTAGTTATATACATGTTTTTATAATTTATAGTTTTTGTATTATCTGTATTTTGTGTTTATAAAAGATGTCTTAAGTTCATAATCAATGCAGAAGTCAAATTAAAACTAAGCTAGAGACTTGGCATATTTAGAGAATACTTTTATTTAATAATTTTGGTTTACACTTAGAAAGGATTTTCCAAAACTCCATCACTGTAGAGATTAATTTTTTTATATATTTTGATTATTGTAACATTTATATTTTACCGTTTATTAATAATAACTATTATTCTTTAAATAACACTATTATCGTAGAGTAAAACATTAATGTATCAATTTTTTTTTATACAATAATGACTACCACAAAAATAATATTAAATGATGAATGACAAACATAAAAATTATATAATACAATGAGTAAACGATTATTAAAAAGTCATAATTTTTGACATTTACTGATAAATTTACTCATAAATCTGGGGCATGTACTGTGTACCTTAAGTCGAGTTAGAACTCTGAAATAAATAGTAAATAAATCCTAGGGGTGAACTGTTGAAATTTTTCAAATAATGTAAGTAATATCAAGAAATTCATACATTTTTAATGTATAAAATTAAAAATTCAGAAAATTTGTACTTGCTGAAACAAAGTTTTTAAGAGAAAAATAACAAATCTGTGTAAAACTGGCATTTTAATAATTTTGGTGGTGCAATCCAACACTAAAATATTTTGAAAATTAGTAGTTTTATTAAAGTTTTATTAAATATTTTAAATTTATATTCTTGGTAGTAAACATTAAAACAACTAAAAAAAATTGTGATTTTGAAAATAATGAATGCATTATTTTCGTAAATTTTTCTTCAGTTTGGCTTAATTATTAAAAAAAAAAACTTATGAGAATATCAAGATACGACTTTCATATTTACTGACTAGATTAAAAATTTAACAAAAAAAAAAAACTTGTTTTTTTATTAGATCAATTTTTCTGGTAAAAAACAAATTGTATACCTACATTTAAAATAAAGGAATTATTACGGAACCAGTCATTTACCAGTTAATTTTTTGTTTTTCCTAATTATTATAAAAACTATTTGAAAAATCAAAAAATGACTTATTTTGTGAGCAATTGTAGATACAAAATATAACAAATATAAAGCTTTTAGTAATTTTTTGATAAAACATAGTACCAATATTTCTAGTAGAAAACAGCAAAAATTAAGAACAATGAAATCGCTTTTTTTTTTGTTTCAAATCAAAAGAAGAAAATATTAATTTTAAAATACCTAAAATATGTAAACCAGTAAACCACTTTATCCATTATTAAAATAGTTTATAATGGGCTAAATTACTTTAATAATTTTGATATTGGATTTTAAATGCACAAGTATATAAGTACCTACCTTGCGTGGTACAAATGACATCACTGAGTAGGTACGTCCATCCAAATTATGTGAATTTGATTCGCTGGCTTTGTTTGGCCACTGCTATGCTCGCTTTAAAAATGAAATATAATATAATATTTAATAACTAATAAAATGTTTACTGTTCAAGATAAATATTAATTTTTGTGAACAAATTGTTAGGTATAGAAATTAATTGTTCATTAAGCAGTGATTTAGCAAAAAATTTGGAATATTGATGGGTTGGAAAATATAAATGTATTTCACTGCATCAGAAATTGAGACCAATTTACATCTCTAGTAAAACTTATACTTAGTTTCTTCGTTATACTCAAAACTTAACAAAAATACCTATTAAACATAGGTATTCTGCTATTAGCTATTCAGGAACTTTGGTAATAAAATATATGTTAGTGTGAATAATATTATTGTTTACCTCCTATGACCAATGAACATTAACTAATATAGGTACATTTCGAGGTAATTCCAAATCAATGGCCTTTGACACGTTTTATTTCCAAATAAAAAACTTCGGTAAGTAGGTACGTAATGTTTTAAAATAAATCCGTCAACTTTTTTCATTAAATATCGTTTGTCAAATAATTGCCACGTTAATCCACTGGGCAATAAGACACCATGAACGCTTGGTAGACTGTTGATAGATTTATTTATTTAAAATAAAATAAATAATGATAATTGTACATCGGCCATCGGGTAAAGCAAAGATAAAAATTTTAAGTAATTTGGTTCAGGTATATTCATATGTAACTGGGCTCTAGGTAGACAGCACACTGACACGAGAGAATGATGAACCGAAATTATACCGTCGTTTTTAACTATTGTAACATGGCCAATTGAGCAGGGGGGAAGGCCAAAGCCTTGGATATGCCACTGTACTTATGAATATTATCATCAATCCCAGAATAAGACATTTAGAGGCCCCGGGGTCAAACTTTTCAATGGGACACCAAAAAGAATAATATTTAAAAATAAAGAGCTTACCTACCTATATTGATATCATAAAACGGTTGAGTGAAGAGATAAAGAACACACTTCGGCAAAAACAGGTGCTTGGAGTCTCGTGATCACCCCCCTCAATCTGTGTTTGATTATCATATACCCAGAGGCGGCGGAATGTAAGTTGCTACACGAGACATATCGGGTAAAAAAAAAAATACATATGTTAGTTCCTAGACGACCAAAAAAAGGTAGGTACGTAGTTTATTCCTATGTCACCAAAACAAGTTATTTTTATTTTAAACTGTTTTAAAAAAATAAAAAATATATGTAATAAATTGTGTGAATGTAAAATTGTATAAAAAAAAAAAAAAACAATATTATAATATTTTATATTAAACTTGTAAGTACACGTTTGACCTATTTACATAAAAATAAGCATTATGGAATAAAATTTTAAGATAAATTACTTAATGTACAGTACCTATTCTGTACATTGGGTATAATTATTATCAAACTAAAAACGAGTTTTCTTTATCAGTTTTGTCGGTAATTTAAAGTCGCAAATGTTTGTGTGTTCAAAAATTAATTTAAACGTCATAGCTTTATCGACAAGCTATCCTCATATTTATTATATCAATTATAGCGGTTGAAACGAGTGCGATTATATTATTACACCTTATCCTTACTGTGTATTGTATTATTATTATACTGTTATTTAATTGCTTTTTGGTTTACCGCCGAAAATGCAGTTTTAGAAAATTTTACAACATTTTTCTATTTAACCTAAGTACTTTTTCAGTTTTATCGGTAATGAAAAGTCGCTGATGTTTGTGTGTTCAAAAATTTAATTTAAACGTCAGCCTTACCGACTAATACATCTCGTTTTTATATTCGTGTAGGAACTAACAAAGGTATGTACTTTTTTTTTTATCATGTAGGAACTAACGTATGTATTTGTTTTACAGAATAGTTTTCATGTGACGTGTAGGAACCCATTAGACGTATAGACGTATCCTTCTGGTGGCGGGGCTATTAGTTACCTATATTGTTACTTGTGGTACCTATTGCTTCACGGTAGTTTCAGGTGGCAAGTGTATTGCCGATGACAACACACGCACAAAAAAAGGCATAGACGTCTGCGTTGTGATTATTTTCGATATTTTCTATTATCAATCACAATATTGAATATAGTATACAGGAGGGTGCCTTACGAAGATATACCCATAGTAATATATCCAGAAATAAAAATAATAAAATTCTGTTTTGTTTTTTTCTTTTACTCGTAGGGATAAGGACTGCAAATATTTATAATAGAATTAATTGTTTATATTTCCGTAAAAAACTTAAAAAAGTAATTTTTTATTTTATTATTTTTGAAAAAATCGAAGATAGCCGTTTTATAAAGTTTAATCTTCTAAAAATTTCGACGCATTAACTTTTTATTTGCATTAAATTCATAAAATTAAATTACCCATACAAACAATAAACAATTGCCGAATGCGATTACAGCCTACTGCATAGGTACTTTTTCCCGAACTTTCAAAATTCACGAATCTAATGAAAATTAAAAGTTGAAACGTCAACATTTTCAGAAGAATAGTAAACTCTATAAAATGGCCATCTTCAAATTTTTCAATATAAAAAGTTATTTTTTTAAGTTTTTTACTGAAATATAAACAATTTATTCTATTATAAATATTTGTAGTCCTTATCCCTACGAGTAAAAGGAAAAACAAAATAGAATTTGAATATCTTTATTATCTCAGGAGATTTTTCAATGGGTATGTATATATTCACGGAACACCTTGTATAATTATTACTTACAATACGCACATTGGCATTATACATAATAAATTAATAAATAATAATTGCATTGGGTATACTTAATTGATTAATTTTAATGTCAACCGAATGAGCACTAAATGTGTGGGCGGCGCTTTTAGTATAATTTAATATACATTCAAATATATGTATATACATATATATATATATATATATACAATGCATATATTGTACAGAGTGGTTGATTTATCACAAAAAAGCAGAATATGTGCTTTTGTTTAAATTTGAATACAGTTATAGGTATACAACACATATCGGATATACCTAAGTTGTATACAGTTTATTGTTTATGAGATTTTATTAGGGCCGTCCTTGGGGGGGGAGGAGAGAGCCCAAGTCTTGGGCTCTAACCTAAACCCGCGTTCGAAAATTATATGAATTATATAATAATATTGATAATTGTAGTATAATATATATATTATATAGCATACAAATATTTAACATTTTGCCCTGGGCCTGGGAAATCACTAAATCCTGTAAGAACAGCCATAGCTATAAAACTTATAGCAATTGAAAATCTGGATCGCGGAGGAGTTTAGGCGAAGTTAATAAATTGCATATTCATACGTCTACATGGAAAAATGTTTATTTTTATCATTTAAATCTTCAAACTTCATCTTCTTTATATATTATATATTCTATAATCAGGGACGTACACAACAAAAAAAATTCGGGAGAGGAGGTTCATACAAAATTTACAATAATCAATATCAAGTACAAATATTATCAATATTTATCAAAAAAATATTAGATTTATATAAATAACTTACACAACTATTAATTTTAGGAGAGGGGGGCGGGTTTGAACCCCAAAAACTCCTTCCTGCGTACGTGCCTGTCTATAATGTCTAGAACTAAACCACAATGTAATCAAATTTACACAAAACTATCGTAGATAATCGTCGGCGGTTCGCGATATAATAATCGCCCTGTATACATTATATACACCATTGATATACATATTCGCTGGGTGGGGTAAGGGGGAGAGTTCGGTCACGATCATCGGCCCTCGCAACAAACCCGGTGTCGCGCTTGACCACGCAGAACGACAGAACCCGACCGCGGCTTGATGGAGACGGTCGGTCGGAACGCGACCACGGCTTTATCGCCGTCCACGACACAGAGCTCCCCACGGCTCAACGACACCGAGGAACCAGTCGCCATAGTCGCGTTGAAATTGATCATCTTCATCGTGGGGATATTTGGCAACTTGTTGGCCCTGTACATTCTGTACCGGACCCGGTCAACCTTCAACCAGAAGCACGGGTTCATGTTACGGTGCCTGGCCACCAACGATTGCATACTCCTCGTCTACGTGCTGGTCAGGCTGTGCGTGAAACTGTTGTGGCCCAACACCGTGTGGCCCATGTGGACGTGCCGGATCCGCGGCCTGGCCGTGTTCTTTGAGCTCAATTCCGGTGGCGTGGCCACCATGATGGCCGTCGAACGTTGGGTGGCTCTCACCAAACCGTTTTTTTATCGGGAGGTAACATCTACCACTAGTACATAGGCTTTAACTATATCCAGTATGAAATTTCATATTCCACACGTTTGCAAGCGATATTACATGGGAATTAGGAACATCGAATTTTAAGTTGACGTATAACGTAATTGTAATACAAATACGATTACTAATGGTCATCCTTGCAGTCATTCAGCAAATATTGTTTAACTATTTCAATAAGATGTTTATATCAAATGAAAATGTAACAACTCAACAATATTCTCATGTAACAAACAAATATAAAATACGAGAAATAAAAAGGCAAACAAAATGTTAGCGGTTTCTGAATACACCGCTGGGTATCGAGAATGGGACCCTAACTTTTATACATTTGCCTAATTCACTTAACGCTCTATCCATTAAACTATATATTACTTACCTAACCAACTATATTGTTTATTAGTAATATTTGTAGCCTTTAATCTTTTTAACCTAAATTAAACCCAGCGGTGTATTAAAGTTTTTTTTAGGAGGAGGAGTACATTAACACAATTTAGATGGCTAAATCGGTTAAGCATGATTCCATAAGATTTATCTTCTTGGAAACACGATTCCGTTCGACTTTGATCAAACAATGCATTGTCAAAATGACCCCGAAAATAACACGATTACGTACGGTTTTTTTGGGCAATATTGTCATTTATTATTCATTATTGTCAATTCGTTTAATTTTCTTAAATTTTAAAGCGTTATAAAAAGTTGATGAACTTGAAAAAGCCAAAATTAAAAATTTGCTAATTGAATTGAATAGCATAAGTTGTAAAACAATTTTTTTCTACAAACTAGTTTAAAATAAAATTAGTTTTTCACATAATTCCTGAAGAAATAACCACGTCATATCATTATAGATTTGTTTTCAGGCAAAACAAAATAAACTACGGGTATATAAAAACCATTTTGTAAATAATTAATTTTACAGAGCTATATAATATTAGAAAATATAATATTTCGGCATATAATTGAATAAAACAAAAACTTACATGATATATAATCATTGTATCGCTGTTTTACGTTACATAAATATTACTATACTAGGTAGGAGTTTAGGACATTGATTAAATATAATTTACTTTAATCAATGGTTAGGAATACCTTACGTAAAATGCCATAACCAAGTCAAATAGTCAAATACCTATGTAACCTTATGGAAATCTGACAAAATTGTACTAAAATCATAGGTACAAAACGTATGGAATCGTGTGCCTTAAAATGTGCACATTTCCGTTCGCTGATAAGGGTCGTACGGAATCGTGTTCTACCCGGCTAAATTCACCTAAATCATTTAACTGCAAATTCACTAATATTATGGAAGTGGTGGGCTTTGGAGAGGAAACCCCCACTTAAATACGCCCCTTTCTATTAATATCCAGATAGGTAGCTAATTAGTTAATTATGTACACGATTTATTTGTATAGGAGTAGTAACATCTTAGTAATTGTAATAAACACAATTTAAATTAAACCCAACCTAACCTAACCCTCAATTTGTTTGCATATATATTATATGTAAACTTTTTAAAAACGTGATCTCTTCCCTAATAGATTATGTATGTATTAGGTATATTGACATTTAATTTAGACAAATAATACATTTTATTCTATTGGAATTTCAAGTGAGAACAATATGCATAACTATATTATTGCATTTATGTGGTTGTCGAAGGATTTAATCTTCCATAACCCTTTGACTCTATCTTAATTTTGATTTTTACCAAAATTGTTAACAAATTTCAGTTAAATTTACATATTAGATTATTTGATTTTAAAAGTATTGCTCAATATCCATATTTATATTTTTATACGTGTTCAATAAAATCGGCTATAATCTGTAACCGACTGAACGATATCAAATAATATAATATTATTAATTCAAATATAATTATAATTACTATAGAAATAAATATAACATACAAATTAAACATTAGATTATACAGAGTGTAACAGGAATATTTGACATTTTTAAATTGTAATTATATCTAATAAAAAAGTCAAATAGTGCTGTTACATTCTGTACATTACAACATAATAGGTACATTTATAACTAAATCAATAATAATATTTAATTGTTTTTAAACTTGTATACCGTAATCAATGAGCCTTTAATTTAACTATTGGTAAATATTAAATAGTAAATAGCATTCTAAACCATAAGCATGCGCACAAGGTATGTAGGTGATTCGTAGACTGCACTATTTCTAGGCAAAGAAATACATTTTAAAAAATCGTTACTTTTTTAAATGCAATCAATTAGTTTCTATGTTTGACTGTTTTTTAGTCTAGCTAAATGTTCGTATTGACTTAGGACCCATATAGACAGTTACGTAACTGTGGGGGGGGGAGGTGGTGAAGGGGATGATATCATTAAAAGATTCTCGATTGAAAAATCGAATGTTAGACTTCGTATTATAAATTTATAACATGCATTTTTCTATTATATTTAATACCGTGACGTTATTTTTTAAAGAAATTTTCTATTATATCTAATTTTCTAATTTTAAAAAGAGGGTGAAAATATATTTCGCTTCTCCCTCTCTCCGTAATAAAAGCCTAGGTACGCCACTGCATACAGATGGATGGGGGGGGAGGAATTAAGATGTAAAACTACAGATATATAAACTATATATTTATTATATTACTTAATATATGTATGTATATATTTGTGCGTAAAACGTGGACTAAATGATTAGGAAAATCGTCCCCTGGTTGGTAATATTATAAATACAACTATACCAAATAGATGTATAGATCCTTAGAGATGTGTTAATTTTACTCGAATTATCTTGTGTTGTTACATTATGTATAGGTAATATGATTATTATACGATTCGTTTAGGTTTTAATTATTATACATTTTTTATTGACGCTGATTATATTATAGTTATTATAGTATTTTTATTTAGTTAACCGACGATAGATAACCATAATACTACTTATGTCTCATATGTTGGTGGCAACAGTAATATTTCACGTAAACACGGCACTGTTCACACAAATAAAAATAATTAAAGTGTACGCATTATGATGGTCAATTAAAAAAATTCGAGGATATATTGTTACAGACTACAATATAGTATTACACAATTGTTTGTTCACTGTTGCAGTGCCATTTCTATAAGAAAGAATAAAGGGTGGTGGTGACTGCTGATGATCATCGTTATTTATTTATTTATATAATTGGTTATATCAATATATTTAATATACCTAGTATTTGGAACGTTCATTAAAAATATGAAAGTCCAATTGTCCAATAAAATGAATGTGTTCGTGTTCACGTTCATATTTAAAAAACAACGCATTCACGTTTATGTTTGTTGAAAAAATGAACGCGTTCAATTCAGAAGTTAGTGCCCTGGTAAAATTCACTGACGTAGCTAGCGTAGCCAGGTCGGGTAGGTCCAGACGACCCAGACAGGCTTACACACTTTTCTCCGAAACACAATTTTAAAAATCAAACATTTGTATTAGTCGGTTTTTCCATCCAAATATTTAAATTATTTTATCTGACCTAGCCAGAAAAATATGTCTAGTAAAATCTGGTAAAATTAATTGGTTTCAATATTTGATGTTATCAATAAAACATAAAAATAATATCAGATAAAAAAAAAAGACGTCCTAGGATAATGGGGATAAACATAGCATAAACTAAGATAGTATGGGCTGGCAACGAAACCAATTTCTGTCCCCACTTGGGTATTCTCTGTCAAATAAATCAACCGCACCGTTACCATTTACGGAAATATAAATATTAACGCTGCCGTTACATTTTCCTGTTTTTTTTTTTCGGTTTTTTATATTTGTTGAGAAAACTCGGGAAAAATCAAAAAACGACCTCTCTAGAAGTACTTTCCTAGTGAAATTTTCTTTTAGAAAAATTTCTGGTAGAAAAATTGTCCACAGGAAAATAACAAAGAAATAATTTGAATAATAATAATTTATAATGACAATAACAAGAATTAGAATAATTAATCAAATAATAAATGATATGGGTCCTTTTTGGCCAGATTCATCATTCTGTACAAAGAATTATATTTTATGTAATAAGTTTGACAAATAGCGATTGAACAAGAATAGAAGCGTCGAAAGTTCCCTGTAGGAATAAGAAAATTGACATTACTTAATAATATTGGAGTATCTGTGATATAATTAATAATTATTTAAATTTTTTTTTTGGTGGATGAATATTTATTTACATGCATTTAGAACTATCCTCTCTAAAGTGGCACTAATTATAAAAAAGTAGAATTTTCAAATTTTTCTCTTTACTTTCACTATAAGACTTACATTTATACTAAATTTTACGTTTCTATTCATAAAGAAAGTGTCTTATGATTTTGATGATGATTGAATCAGTAGCAAAAATGCAAACTTTGAGATTCCTCAATTTTAAAAAGTCTGAACATTAAGGGCTTAATGTTGTTCAATGTCTTAAGTTACTAACTTATTAACTAAGTCATTGACGGCACTTAAGCTTAATCTATGTTTTAAATTTCAAAATTTCATGTTAATATAAAACAGAGATAATAGTTATTGTATGAGTACTATAACTACACTTACTATTATCTTAAGGGGACGTCACACACTCAATATTTAAGAGGTTGTGGTATAGGAGAATTTTATGATATTTTTAGCAAAAATTATTATAATTGTTATACTAAAAAATATTCGAATTTATTTGAAAATAAAAGTCATCCGGTTTTGTCACAAGTATTTATTATGTACAGTGTTGAATCCAGGTATACTCTAGGAGAGGCAAATGTCCTCTCCCTAAAATTCCATTTATCCCCTGACAAATACAACTATAAAAAAAAAAAATGAATTTATTAAATGTACAATACCCGTTATATTTTATATAGAAATGGACAATGAAAAGAAAAAAAACCTCCCAGGAAAATTTTCTGGACTCAACACTGGTAATCATGAAATTAATTAAAATATTAATGGAAAACTATTTTACGCAGAATAACTTCAATCTTTTCGTATTTATATAATAGTTATCAAAATTTCAGAGCATAATATGGAAAAACATTACTACTAATAAATGTTTTTAAATAAGTAAACGAAAAGACCGAAGGTTTACAGAAGATAATAACTTTAATTGTATTTAGGTTAAAAAAACTACGATATGCAGATAGGTTTTTCTTTATGTGTAATGTGTTGAGAAATTTTGTTAATTATACTATAAATACGCAATATGGTGCGATAAAAGTTGTCCTTCTAAAGTTTAATTATGGATGGTATGATATTCTCTTAACATGTTTTTTATTGTTTCTTTTCTAGTTTATTTTTATGTTTCTCACATACGTTATACATTTTATTCTATTTCAGCACGTTAGCCTTTGTTTATTAAAACGAGTGATGATCGTGCAATGGATAGGAATATTTTGTTCGGCGTCCGTACCGTGCGTTGTGTTCGGTCTTTACGAAGACAAATCAACGTGTCTTCGTTATAGGAACGCTAAAAATCCGTTAGATGTGCTATTCACTAATTTGTACTTCAGTTACGGTGAGTTTACGCATTATTTACATGCAAAGGATCTATAATGTTGGTTAATTCATGTTTATGTTTTATTAAAAAAAAAAATAAAAAAAAAAAAAACAACAACTTATAATAATATTAACATGCGTAATAAAATTTTGATGAAACGAGATGAGTGATTCACTGTCTGTGAACATTGCACATAAATTATACTTTTTATGATTTTGTCCAAAATCAAGCGTATCGTTGTTTTGTAAACTGTTTAGAATTTAAATACATATTTTAAATAAAATATCGCTACATTGGGTAAAAATTCTTAATCTTGTGTATCTTTTAAGGTATACAGTGTAAAATTATTGGAGGAATTTTCACCAATCGGAAAAGCGTTTTCTGCATTTTAGTGAAAATCAAAATCGGTTCACTGGGAAATCAAAAAAAAAAAAAAATAAAATAAATCTTATTGTAGTTACCTATCTATTTTCATTTTGATTTGAAATTAAATATAATAACTATACAAACCATTAATTAATCTCGACGACGGGACAATATGGATAAAATCAAAACGTAATAATCTTTAATCACTGTTTTAAAGTTATTTTAAAATAGGTAATAAAACGTACATTATACTTATATTTTTGTTTTAAATTTTTAATGTTATATTTGTCATACGCAGGGGTATTTTTATGCGTCGTTATAATATTCATGAACGTAGCCGTGACTAGAGCTCTGTGCATGAAAGACGGCTCTCAAAATAATAACGTGTTGGTGAGACGCGATCGACGAGGAATCCTGATCAACGGGGCCACGCGAGAAGAAAGAACGTTCGCCAGGCTCATGTTATTATTGTCCGTTGCGTTTTTCACCTGTTGGATCCCGCAAATGGTATGTAACGCAAATAGGACATTTCATTATGAATATACGTTTTTGGGATTACCCACAATTCTTTTGACGCGGCCGATGTTTGATTTAAATTTAATTTTATTTCGATGATTGCAAATAATGTACCACATGAGAACTTTTTTTTTAACAAAATTGAATCTAGTTAGGGCGGTTTTCAATCTCAGGATCGGGTTCGCATCACCAGTTCCCATAATTTTCTATTGTTGGCCTTCTTCTTCATTTCTTTAAATAAATTACATTTTTGATTTTCTATATTCGGGCTTATGTATTATAATCGTGGTTTTTCTCTGTAGTTTTTTCCTTGTACCGTTCTTTTCAAGATTAGTCCTAACAACCATCCATACCTGAGAATATAACCAATCCATTCACTCCCTTTATTCGAAATATTATTTCACAAAGATCTTCTTTTCAAAACTTCTTTATTAATGGACTCTAACAGTCCAACTTATCTTTTGATAAGGATTCTTCCAGCTCCACATTTCAAACGTCTCTATACATCTCATATCTTCATTTGCAATGTTTTACATCCATATAATATAATACACGTTTTTAATAGATTTTTCCACATTTAAAGATTAATATTTTTTGAGTTGAAGTGAATGGTTTTTTTGGGTTAAATACCATCTTGGCTTGACATATTTGGCAAATAGTTTTTAGAAAATAAAATAAAAATTGATCATTTATTCATGAATGGTTATATTTATAAAAACAAGAAAATAATCACTATCTTAGTCACACAGGGGGGGGGGAAGGGTTCAAGTGCAACTCTCTTCCCCAACAATAGCTACGCCCATGAAAATTCTCTTTATTATTTTTGTTTTGTATATTGTATCTAGAACTTTCTCGTCTGTGTAGCGAAAATATCATAAGAATAAGGATAAAATTAAAAGGAAATAAGATATCAAATTCAAATATACTCTTTCTCAGCCCCAAAATATACTCTAAGCTTGATTTTCATCATAAATGGATGTCTCATATGCTTTTTAAAAAAATGGCTTCCAATGGTCTTCGTTTTGATCTGCAAATTGAAGCCGATTTTAATGGTGTTTCATTAAACCCATAGAAACTTTATTAATAATAAATACTAATATAATATGATACATGTGCATTATGCAGTTAGGTATCTATTATATTATTATGACTTTATGAACAAATTTTTGATTTGTACGTGATTTTCAGATAACCATACCGTTGGCCAGGTTCATTTCGGACGAAAACCAAATTAAGCCGTTATTCTTTGTGGCCGACCTGTTGTCAGCATTGCACTTTGTAATGGACCCTTACCTGTACGTATTGCAACACTGCACGTTGGTCAAATCCATTTGTCTGAATCGTGAAGCTAGAAAATCGTCATCAGTGGCAACAGTGACTATGGGATCCCGGGATTGTATTATCTAGTCGCAGCACGCGATAAAAAAGAAAAAAAACAATAAAAATAACACTAGTCACTATGTACTATAGTTATAGGAGCACATAGGGGGGTTGCTAGGAGGAGCTTGCTTCAAATGAGCACCCCCAGTTTCCCTAAATAATTTATATCGCTATTTCACCAATTATTTGTAAATTATTATGGTTTATTGGTTTGGATAAAATATGATTTTTGTTCCATAATTTTTGCTACAAATAGTTCACGAGTTCATGAAATTATGTTGCAAAAATGTGCAGTATCAAATAGAAACTTAAATCTTGTACAACATTAATTAGTAAAAATAGATAATATACTTTTTTAAATATTTCAAATTCATAGTAAATTATGTAAACGATAGATTATTGTATAGACTATACAGTATAGTTACTGAATATAAATAAACCGAATAGCGATTATATTAACATTTATACAATTTCAACTTTATAATTATAGTTATTAATTTGTCCTATGTAAAAGTATAATTAATTTTGATTTACATAAAAATTTGAAATCATTATAATGTGGTTTATTTTGGTAATAGGGAGTTTGAGGGGGGGGGGCAAAGCGCCCTACGGATTTCTGTACCGCAAATTATTCTAGCACCTCCTAAATTCACACCCAATGTGCGCCTATAACTATAATTTTGCATTATATTACGGGTACGACAAAAATTATGTGTATTACCCATATGCAGGGTAGAATTTTTAATTGGGAAGGGGGGATATATTAAATTCAGTTTATGTATTATAATAATGCAAGCAAAGTATAATTATCTACATTAATTATACAGTTAAAAAGCCTCTTTTATTGAGATTATTTTACAAAATACATTATTATGTAAGTACTACAACTATTTGTATTAAGTTGAATAATAGCAGAACTAATTTAATTAATTGTTATTTTATTTTAAAAAGTTGTCAACGCTGAATATGGTTTAAATTATTATTTTTTAAGTCCCTTAGCCTCTTTCCCCACTGGACACATCACTGTCCATAGACGTATAAATTACTATGAAAGGTTTTATAGATTTCTTTTTAAAATAATAATATTTACGACGTCTATACAATAAATAATTTATACTATATTTAATTGTTTAATAATTTCGGGGAGGTTTCAATCGTTTTACTAGACATACTTAATCCGTATTTACCATAATCGTAGCCAATTAATGAAATCATAAAAAGAAAATCAAGAACATTATAACAGAATATAGATATGCATTATTAAAAATGAGCTTTTTTTTATGTTTTACGTGGGCGAATAGAATGCCATCGCAACGTCTTTTAATGTTTTTCTTACGTGGGGAAAATAACGTGGGCCGCGTAATTGTCTTTTTTGCTAGCGTGTATGATCCGAATGCGCATCAATTTGTTTTTTTTTTTTTGGAATTCAATTACATCATCGGATCCACGGCAAAAGTTTGAATTGACTGATCTTGTTATAATGTTGTATAAAGATAAGAGATAATAGCCAAATAATAATTATCTAAATGAAGTTGATTTAATTATATAAATAATAAGTAATTTTTTACCTAGATAAAAAAAATCTTTCCAAACATTGACAAATGATTATTCGTTATTATTATCATAAGACGGTGTGCTAAAAGTATAGTTTATGTAAAGACCGACAAGTTAATGAAAATAATTAACTAGTTTAAGTTTAGTTAAATATAAAAAATTATATTATTATTATTGTAATTAATTATACAAAATACATTTTTTGATAATTTTATTTACGTAGTATAAAATATACAGAGCATAAAAATTAACTGTAAAAAGTTAAGTTTATTCATTAAAAAATTAAATTGGTAGTTAACCATAAAATGAATTGACTATTAAGTTTAACTTTTTAAGTAGTTAATGCCCACCTTTGAATACATAGACGTATATGTACTTTAATTTTGGTATACATAGAGATAATAAGTTTTAAAATGTATTGTGTTATTAATGTAACTTAATAATTTATTATAAACCGTTTAATATAAACCTAACATTAAATCTTTTTTTAAAAAAAATATATATAATAGTAATTATGATATTTTAAATTACAATAAAATAACAAAATAAAAATAAAAAACAAAACCGTTATTGCTTACATTTCCCCGTTGTTCCTACGTTTTTCTTAGGATTTTCCCAAATTATTAAGAAAACTCTGAAGAATATCAAAAATGTATATCCTCAATGCACCAACTAGATAACAAATTTGATACCAGGGACCACCCCTGATGTTGATGATCGGAACAACATTTCTGGCATAAAATGTGTTAACAGATAAAAAAAAGAATTATATAGTAAAACCAATATATTCCTTGTCCGCTCAAAATTTAAAATATTTACAGCAATTTGAAAGCAATATTAATCCTTTTTTTTTCTCCCTGTAAACCAATGTATGATTATTATTCGGATATCTATATCGATATCTATGTCTTATAGACAAAAATTGTCTTATACCATTATCACTACTTCTTGGTAGCACTGATAAAAATATCCAAGAAATAATAAATTTAATGGGTATAAATACTATAACATTTTATTACCAATAGATTAAGTCGTGATTAAAAATGCACAGTTGAAAAATTCCCTGGAGGATTGATCCACTCATCGCCCCTCCATCAGATAGGCCATTGTAGGGAAGAGTGATGGAACATTATTCAAACACTGCTATACAAATTATGCACCGCTACTTAAAAGTGGAATACCTCGCCATTATTATTTATGTTTTCATCAATATTGATACATATTGTTAAATTAAATTGTTATTTGTAAATGTAAATTATAATATTAGAATATAATTTAAAGGATTAAATAGCCGCCAAAATGTTGGTATACAAAGATATTATCTTAATTTAAAAAAAAATAATTCTAATGGTATTTAAATATTTTATATTTATTTATTTAGTTTTTAGTTTAACAGCTGATTTTCGCAGTATGGTTACCGGTCATGTTTTCATACTTTTTATATCGGCCGATTTTAAATCTGTATATCTTAATTTGTGGTTAGTACTTTTATTTGTATATGTTATATTTCTTATCACACACCACGAGAATTGATACACACAATACATTCGACGTGCGACTAATAATTTTTTGACAATTTGCTAAACTTTTTAAATTCGTTAATAAAACAGTAGATATAGATATACCGATTTCATTTAATTTGTTCATGTATAATTAATCGAAAACAAATCTTAATCTCGGACCTAGATTCAGTTTAATATTTAAAGTATGTATGCTTATAATAATATTGGTAATATTCTGTAACTGCAACTTATCGCGTTATGTTCTGTTTAGTTTATTTCTGATTATGTATTAAAGTTTCCTATCACTAGGTACTGTAATGATCAGTTTTATGATAAGATTATAATCGATAAATATTTATTGTACGTTTTGTAAATAATGAAGTCTTACATTATTTATTATTAGAATTATTGATTTTCAGGTTGTAAAAGATTACAGAACAAATTATCCTGGACATAGCAGAGTAGTATTTACTTAAAGCCTCGAATAGTATAAATATTATTATTAATATAATGCGATTTTAACTCATAATCTTAATTTTAGGAAATTAAAATATAAACAATTTATAAACTAAAACATTTCATTATATCTTTATCTATTCGATAGATATATTATAATAACCATATTCTAAACATAGGATATATTTTTTTTTTTTTTGTAATAAAATTAATTTATGGAAAATGTTGTAGATATTTCATAGAAAATTATAAGTTTTAAAATTAACATTTTTATGCTAAATGTTATAGTTTTTGACTAGAATTCAAAAGTAAAAAACTTCTTTATTTGGTTATTTTTCAACCATCACGTGGAACGTAATTGGTTGAGTTATCACGTCCAAATTTTTACAACATCATTATTTTGTAACTATTAACAAAATAAGAGCATGCTGGTAACGAAAATCTAAAGTTAAAATGTTTAAACTACCCTAGCATTGCCACCCACTTTCAATTTCTAAACTTCCCATGTGTTCATCGATGACATACAATTGGGTTTATTTAAATTTTAAATTTTAAAGTATGTTTATGAATACGTATGTCCATGGAATATAAAAACGTGCACAACGACGGTTGAAAATGGACATTTTCGGGATGCTCAAGCGTGATCGATTGTAAGGCGTAAGAATTAGGCAATTTTTATGACAGTTACAAACGAGCCGTGTCAGTGTGTGAGAAGTAAATTAACAGTAGTGTGAGTGCGGTGCAACGGATGTACAGCCACACGTTCTGTACTACCTAGCGGATAGTAGGAGTCCGTATCGTTATCGTAGTAATTTTTGTGTGTATCCAGTTTATTACAATACAATGCTTAGCAGATAATGTTTTGTTTTTAAAGTTATATGAATAAAATAAAAATATTATTGTCATTGTAATAAAAATTATTTGTACTTTGTATTCAAAATTAGTCCGGTGATATTTAGGACAAGTTCATCACAAATATTTACATAAAATACGAAGTTACAACCAAAATGTATAAAACTAAAAAAAATACCGTAATATTTACATTAGGAATGTAATATTGTTTTCCATAATTGGTTTTACTATGTGTTTTTTTTTGCTATTTGTGAGTAACTTTCCTACTGGAAATCTTGCTCCAAAATATCAAGTGTAGTACCTTTTCTGAATGGAAATTTTCGAAGGAAGGATACCTTCGGGAATCGAGAGTTTCCATTATCGAACAATTTCACTGTAGCTATCGTTCAGCTGTGTCCGATGATCACATCGGCGGAATCGACCACGCGAATAAACAATAACAAAACCGTTGTTATCGCGTACGTGTGTTGTTGTTTTAACATGTGCCGGCCACGGTGACGGGGCGGGACAGCGCCACAAGTCGCTCCGCGTGTGACAGCCACAGACAAACGGCGGGAACACGGTCCATGCAGGGCCGGAGAACGCGACTGCGAACCGATGGAGCACGTTGTACCGAACGCGACGTTCGCGACGCCGATCATTACCGCCGATTGGTATACCAAACACCCGGGACTTCAGGCCGGCGTGACCGTGTCGTACATGGTGGGTATACTCGGTAACTTGCTGGCCCTGTTCATCTTGCATCGGACCAGATCTAGCAGCAATCAAAAGCACAGGTTCATGTTGCGGTGCCTGGCCACAAACGATTGCATGGCGCTCACCGGCATGCTGATCCAGATGTACGTGGCCTTGTACTGGCCGTCGATCGTAGACAGCATCTGGGCCTGCCGGTTCCGCGTGCTGTGGCGGTTCTTCGGTCTGGGTTCCGGTTGCGTGGCCATCATAATGGCCGTCGAACGTTGGCTGGCGCTCACCAAACCGTTTTTTTACCAAAAGGTAAGTGCGCCCCTCCCCCCTCACCGGTCTTTATAAATGATTAATAAACTCAGTCTAAATATTGTTCACTATTTATTGTTTATAATTTAAATTTGAACATAATAACTAAAAAGCTGTCCTAGGATAATGGGGACGGGTGCAGTCATTGTTGTAGCTGAGAAGTGGGGAAGGTAGTTGTGGGGCAATTTTAATCGTTATCCGTACGCAACAATTAACCACAGCTAACGAAAAAGCGATTATATATTTTTTTCAATAATATTTGTTTAATATTATACCTAATTTCTCGGTTTTCCCATGTTTTTTCCGGTTTTTCCCGTTCGTTGAGAAAACTCACGGAAAAATCATAAAATGACCTCTCTAAAGTACCACCCCAGTAAGATTGCCTTTCAGAAAAATGGCTACCATTGTAAATTGGATCAAAATTGTTGATAGAAAAGTTGTCCACGGTAAAAAAAAATTTTAAAAAATAAACGTTATTGTAAAATTCAATACATTCCTCGACTCCCCACAGAATCTAAAATATTACAAGTTAGGTCAGGTAAGTGAATTTATTTTTCTCGCGGTAGGGATCCGACCCCCCCCCCCCCAACGACGTCCGTGCGAACATTATTACCATTATCTATAAATGCATTATTATTGTCTTTTAAATTAGTAATTTTTTTTTTTCCGGTGCACTCGCTACACTGCAATAATATTTTTTTAAGGAACAATAACATGAATACACGAAGACGAGATTATGATAATATTACGCGGCTATTGTAGCGGCTGCACGTACTGTATTTCGGACGTGCGACCCGTGATAACGCGCTACAACGATTGATTTCGTTATCAAATGGCAAACAAGTGGTGTCAACGTATAATAATAATTATACTCGCAGTACCTCACAGATATCCATATTATAATATTAGAGTATATGGATATCTGTGTAGTGCATATACGAGAAGCTGACTGAATAATAATGAATAATAATATTAACGAGTATTAGGCATATTGCAAATATCTGCGTATTTCCACCAATAGAACAATCGCTTGCTTACCTAATTGAGATTAACATTTTTGGCCCGTTTTTTTTTTTTTTTTTGACAAAAACATAATAATGTATTATTGCTTGTTCGCTTACAGAGCATTTAAAAGTGTATTCGCAAAGTAGTAAATTGTTTTAATATTAAATACGTGCGTACTATACCTATGTATAATATTCTCGGGCATTTTTTTATAGTCGATTTAAAAAAAAAAAAACAAACAAAACAATAAGTACTCTTTGATAACGAACTGTTTTTTTTTTTTATGATTGTTATTATTAAAACGAAAATTCATTAAATAAACTAGTGCCCTAGACAATAATCACGTAATAAATTTCTCCTACGAGACAAAAAAACCATAATAATTCCCCCCTCCTCATATCTCCTTATTTTAACAGTGACCTTTGTGACTTTATGAAACTGCTGCAGTTGTTTGTCGTCGGAGTCCTTTGATCGTGTTTTATACGTCTTTTATTGTACGACTGCTGTGTGACGTCGACTTTTGTCCGATAGAAAGCTACGAGTATTTAAATAATGCTATAAGAAGCATTTGTTTCGTACTTTGCAATAACTATGGCATTGTGTTTTTTAAACAAATTTTTTGGAACACCGTAATTTATTTATTTACACGACTGTATAATGTCTATAATAGTTAAAATTATACGTGAAACGATAATTTGTACGCGTTTAAACGGGCAATTTTGGGTATTGTTGTATATCAGGGATGGGCAATTGGCGACCCGCGCACCGTTTGTCACTGGCCCGTGCTACATTTTCAAATTACATCATAAAACGTTAGGATTTATCTGTATTTTATTTGTTATATTTATAAAAATCCATATAATGTTTATCGTAAAACATAGATATGATTTCTTATCTAGTATTGAACTGCAGCTAAATTATAAAATGTCTAAATGCATAATATTTATAGTTACAGCTAATATACCTAATAGGTATTTATTTTATCAGTTTAGTTATATCCGTCGTGTCACGCTGGTCGATTGTGTTTGTTTTATTATTTTCGTGTTTTGTAATGTTTCAAAAATGTCTGCTAAAAAGCGAAAAATCGACGATGAAAATAGAAGTTTTAACAGCTTATGGGAAAATGAGTATTTATTTATTATAAAAAAACAATAAAAACTTCAATGTTTAATTAGTTTAAACATTATTGCAGTACTAAAAGGATATAATTTAAAAAGATATTACATGACAAATCATTTGTTCAAATATGAAAAATACATTGGTGATGCAAGAGAGAGTGTTATAATTGATCTTAAAAGAAAACTTCAATTGCAACAAAATGTGATGACAAAAGCAACAACTTCACAACAATCAAGTTTATTGGCTTCACACATTATTTTTAACAAAATAGCAAAATCAAAAAAAATCATTGAGTGATGGCGAATTTGTTAAAAACTGTGCAGTAAAAATGGATAAATCAATAAATGAAAACAAAATTGCCAGTGAATTAAAAAAAATATCACTTTCAAGATGAACAGTGATACGTCGTATAGCTGACACTGATAGTGCCGTTCGTATAACATTACAAACTACAATGACGGATTGTGTATATTTTTCGATTGCACTGGACGAAAGCACAGATGTTTCAGATGTAAGTCAACTTTTGATATTTGTTAGAGTTATATCTCCACAATTTGAAGTGTATGAAGAGCTATTAGAATTATATTCTTTGCGCGGAACTTCCAAAGGAAGTGATCAATTTAATGCAGTAAAAATGCAATTTAACCTTTTGGTGGATTAAAAAAAATGACATCGGTTGTGACAGATGGTGCCAAAGCTAGGAATATTGGTTTTCTTGGATAAATACGCAAATCTAACGTTAATGTTCCTGCTAAATTATATTATTCATCAAGAAGCGTTATGTGGCAAAATAATGAAGCTTGACGGTGTTATGCATACTCTATTTAAAATTACTAATGTCATTAGAGGAGACAACCGTAGTTTAAACCACCGTAATTTTATTATATATTTACAGGAAATTGATTGTGAGTGTGGTGATTTATTATTACACACGGATGTACGCTGGTTAAGTCATGGAAAGTGTTTCGAACATTTTTTTTGTTTTGAGAAAAAAAATATTTGAGTTTCTTAAAGCGAATAATGCAACTGATATTACTTATTTGGAAAACCAAATGGATGATAAACAATTTCTATGTTCATTGGCATTTTTAACTGATATTTCTCAACATTTAAATATATTAAATTTACAATTTCAAGATGAATTTCCGTTCCTCTTATGAAAAACGAAAAAAACACTTATTTTAAAATATTGTTTAAAAATTATTTTGTGTCAGTATCATTTCGTCAGTTACTAAAAAATTACCACATAACATAATGTATTATTTCTTTATTTTTATTAACATTATACATATAAGATATGAGGTACCTATATAATATGAAAACATAATAAACCACGTGATTGTATACTTAGATAACAGTGATATAAATGGTGACTCGGTGATGATTTTTTAAAATCGTGTGGCGCTCCTATCGCCACAATGTTTTTTCCCTGAGAGGGGACCCTGTGCGAGAACGTTGGCCAGGGTGGTCAAAAGGGTCAACTGACTCTTGCTCTCGATTTTTTTTTTTATTAAATAGTTTCATTTTTATTTTTTAGGGTACCTAGAAAATTAATTATATTTAATTTATTAGAATTTTAAACATTTTACTTCCAAGAAGTAAGAATAGTTTTCGATTTTAGTTGACTTGATAAACTTAGACTACATTTATTTATTTTTTATGAAAATTAAGTATTTAAAAAGTATGAAGTGACTAATAAATAACTCACAAACCTTAAATGTCAAATATTTATACATTTCCAAAGAAAATTAATTAGTGATATTTTCTAATTAAGAATATAAAAAAACTATTTTGGACTGCATTAGGTATTCATGAAATAATAAAAAAATAATAATTATAAATAAGAGAGTAACAACGCTTAAATGACGAGTTCCATTTTCCAGGAACGATTTACTTTTTAAAATACTTTTAACTGAAATGTATAAAGAAAAACAAGTTGAAATTTAGACAACCATTATTGCCCTAAATTTGTTTTCTACGTTGTTTTCCCGACTATTAAGAAAACTACGAGGAATTATCAATACACCAACTTATTTGAAAAATTAGTTTGCAGAAAAAATGCTGCACTTAAAAATCTGATCAATATTTCGGGTAGAATAGTTGTTAACAAACACAAAAAAAGGAGGAATGTTGGAAAGATAAAATATGGCGGGGAATTTAATTTATATATGTTTATGTATATTTCTAATAAAAAACAATTTGAAGCGAAGTTCGGTTATTCATATTTTGAAAGGGAGCAATATTTATGATTTTCGTTAAAATTTGATATTAGAATTCTTATTAAAATACATACTACATTAAACTCATTTTTTTTTTTACAACTAAATATCAAGTTTGACTTGGAGAACCTCTTGTTAATTTTTTTTTTTTATTAGTACCACGGATTTCCATCGTTTTGACGTTAACGAATCTGTAATTTGTTGTACATAATATATTGAATAGATGATTCAGTATTCTCATATTTTTAATAATCATTAATTCATCTTCTTCATTGAATGATCGCTATCAACCGAGTTTTCGGAGGGTTTAAACTTTGATTATCAAAATGACTAATCGATGTATTATTATTTATTAGTCATTGATATTATCATAGATGCACGTTTACGGTGTATAAAGTACAATCAAACAGATTATGAAAAATATTCTTAAGTGAAATAAGAAAAATTAAATTTTAATAACAATATGCTCTTGAAACTAAAAAAAAAAAAAAGTTAATACTAGGAACGGGTGCGACCACTTCTTTAGGCGGGTAGTTAGGAAGGTGGGACACATAAAGTTGTTTAATTTATATCTGTGACCATCGATAAACCGTTGCTAACGAAAAACGATTCGGAGTGAAGTTCGGCTGTATATGTTTTGAAATATTTACGTTTTTGGTCAAAATTTAATTTTAAACTTATAAAAAAATTAAAAATACTACATTACACTCGATATTTTTTTATCACTTAGTACGACCCTTGATAAACCTCTTATCTGATTTTGGAGTATTTCTATTTAGTCTAACAATTTTATCCATAGAGTTTATACCTACCAAATAATAGTTAGGTACGTAAAAACTTACAAAATTAAATTGTCAAAAATTAAATAGCAAAAAAATATTTTAAATATTTTGAAAATTTTGCCAACGCTGGCAAAAAATCAAATATGAGTTTTCTATCCAAATGTCAAACTACTATGAATATTTTTACTGAATTACAACAAAAAAATTAAATTGAAAATTGTAAAATTATAAAATTATTATATTGTGAGAAATCAGATCCAAAATTTGACAAAAAATGTCAATTGTTATTTTTTGGTGGAAGTAAAATTTCTAAAATAGAAAATCATGAAATCGTTACGCCGTAAATATTTGTCCGTTAATTCCTACGTTTTTTTCCTAATAATTATGAAAACCGCTTGGAAAATCAATAATTAACCTCTTTACTTATTCCAACTAAATAATTTTTCCTTTTAAAAAAAATGTTACATTTCATTCATCGGAGCAAGATTGCTGGTAGAAATTTTGTACACGGTATAAAAAAAAATATAAAAATAAACATCATTTTAAAACCAATGCACTCTTCGTGATTTTGACACAAACGATTGACCAAGGTTTTTTCTAAAAAGCACTAGGAAGAGAGGGAGGTGGTTGTGTCTCCAGCTTCTTCGCTTAAAAATAATAGTTATAACTTTTTCGTGTTTTTGTAACAAACGATAAAATTTGCACCATAAACGTAGTAAAAACGACTGATTTGGGGATTTTTTTCTTCAAAAAACTAGATGAATATACTGGGGTCATCATATGATGGACTTCATTATTATTATATTAGTACGCGAGATGAAACATTTTTAATATTATTTGGTCGACATATAACCTTTATATTGTGACTATAACTTGAAATAGGTCCGTCCTTTATTAACTGAAATATGTATGCAGACTAACGGTATTTTACGGTTCGAATCAGACGAGTCTATTTAAATTTTATTTTATTAAAAAATTACAAAATGTAATCTAAAAAATATCGTATAATGTATAATAAATATCTTAACCAAGGCTACGGATTTTGGCCCTCCCCCAACCATTCGCTCCCTTTAATTGCTTGATTCCAATTAGTAAAAAAAAATTACAAAAAAGCAAAATTCATTTGTTGTCCACGGATTGCAACCATTATAACATTTGTTAAACTATATTAAATTATAATTTTTTTTTTCTTTTTATTAGACCTCACAAATTAATTTATTAATTGGAGCCTGCAATCGTCAATATTACCCATGTCTATTGTATCTATGCATAATAATTTCAATATAACTGCGGAATATAATATTGTTTGAGAAAAATATATTTTGAATTATAAAATATATAGTTTGTTGGTGCAGTGGTGGATTTTCGGGGAAATGACGATGTGGCCCCACCCTTGGATTTTTTTTCGTAAATTGTGTAATTGAATTATAAATCCAAGGTTACATATGAACGTAAACAAACTTAGTATGTATAGTAAATCAAACAAATTTTGGGACCTCTCCCCCCATGAATGAGTTTTAGCTCTGTCATTGTTTCCGTTTCACGTTTATTTTTATTGTTTACCGAAAAAAAATTGATGACTACTTTTCAACTAAGTTATTAAAAAACACTGTAAATAGAACAATATTGCATGATACACACTATTATTATGAATAAATATAGTTTATAAACATCAATCAATATTGAAAAATTTATTGAAAACAGGTTTTTTGTTTATTTACGGTACGTTCACTGGTGGTTTTTAGCTGTACAAATATCATTTTCAACTCTATTCTTTATATTTTATTTTAAAATTTAAGTAAAAAAAATAGTTAATACTGGAGAAAGGTATAGCCACTGTTGTAGGTGAGTAATTGGGAAGGTGGGATACATAAAGTTATTTAATTTATATCTATAACCAACGATAATAACTCTTAAAAACGAAAAACGATTCGGAACAAAGTTCGATTAAACATGTTTTGAAAATTCGTAATATTTACGTTTTTTTGTCAAAATTTGATTTTAAAACTCATATAAAAAAAAATATACTACATTAAACTCAATTTTTTTTTAATACTTATAATGAACCTCTTGCCAAATTTTTAAAGATTTCTGTCTATTTTAATGATTTAATCTACAAAGTACCTACCAAATGAAAATGACGTAAAACATTCGCATAATAATTAAGATGTCTATAATTGCTCTAAAATGGCTCAAAGGATTTAAAATTTTACCACGTCTAGAAAAATAAATATGAGTCGAAATTTTAGGTTCATATTAAATTTACATTACATTAAAAAAAAAAAATTTAATTTACTAAAATAATTATTTTCGTAGATTTTTCTGTTTTGTTCAATTATTAAAAAACCTACAAAGAAAATACAAAAAAGACTTTCTTTGTTATAAACTAGATTAAAAATTCAACAAAAAAGATCTCTAGTTGTTTTTCTATTATTTCTGGTAGAAAACATAAGTTGTAAAAATTAAAACAATGAAATCGATAATGCTGCGGTTCGCGCTGCACAGTAAATCTTTGCTGTTTTACCAATAATTTTCTTTCGTGTTTTTCTCAATTATTTCGAAAACCTCTTGAAAAATCTACAAATGACCTGTGTAATGCACTAATTAGAAAAAATAGTTCTATACATCAGAGCAAGATTTCTCTTCAAAAAGTTATTAACAGACATAAAAAAAAAAATAAAAAAAAAAAGCACATATAGTAAACCTCGCTACACTCCGAATCCAAAAGCACACGTCACAGTAAAACCCTTTGGAAAATCAAAAAATTATCTTCCCAACACACCAACTAAAGAAAATTACCTTTCAGAAAAGGTGCTACACTTGATACTTCGGAGTAAGATTTCTTGTAGAAAAGTTGTTCGTGGACAGAAAAAAAACACACAAACATTATAGTAAAACCAATATATCCCTCACTACGTTTTGAATCTAAAAATAAAATAAACTAATATTTGTTAAAACTAACCAACGCAACGTATACGTAGTTTTATAATTTATAATATGTCATCCTTATAATTACAGTTATGATAAATCGAAGAAATTATCTATGAAATAATAATCTCCTAAAAAATTTTTTGCAAAGAGGCTTTTAAAAAGTGGCAATTGTAATGTATACAATTTAAAAAAAAAAACGGTTTAATTTTTAAAAGCCTTTAAGAATAAAATCTGCTGTTATAATTAATGTAGGTATTCATTAATGGAGGCTATCTATGAGTAGGTATTACAGTATTAGAGTATTAGTAGCTTTATTTATATTCAGCTACTTCGCGATATAAAGAGAATTAAAGTGTAACTACTCATTATAATTATAATTGTGTAATCATCGAACAAACAAATAATTTTTTACACATTTTATTGTATGGGACATTGTATTGTAAATCAATGTTATTTTTGGGTTCTTTGCATAGTGATTATTTTTTTATATCCCTGATTTTTATTTAGCATATTCAATCCCAGGCATAAAACATTAGGTACCTATTTTTGAGTTCAAATTAATGAGGTTTAATGTGATAAACATTTTTATGTATTCAGTATCGGAATAATTTTTACAGTCTTCCAAATTGAATGTTACCATCAATCTCACTGTGAATTTTATATTTTTTAAAAATACGACCTAAGCGAAATCTTTTTTAAATTATATATTTTAGAATGTTAGAATGCTTTTATATTTTTCTCTCTTATGAACAGAAGTGACACTACTACCGTATTTTGACTTTAAAATTTCAACCTGTATACTTATTCATAATTCAAAAAAATTTTATTTAGGTACCCAGTTTTAGTTTAAACACATTTTGGTGTTGACATTTTTGCTTCCCGAAAATGTCCGTTTAATTTCAACATAAAATTTAAAACAACACGAGGAAAATGTAATATATTTCGTTTGAACATGTAATTTCAAAAAGTTTTCACATACCTAGTTCATTTTTAGAGAGAAATATATATATATATGTATTTCACTGTGAAATTGACTGTAACATATAATTTGGAAAACCTTGTATTTAAAACTGTAAAAGACCAGCGATGGGAGTCTTATTTCAGATCTAGACAGAAAGTAAAAGTTGTTAGGTAATATAATATATTAATTTGTTCTTTGCAAAGTAAAACGTAAATGTTTATATATGTTGTTTCTTTTGAACAACTTATTATTGTAATATTAAGGACCATTCAATAGTATATAAGTATATATTGCATACCAAGCATCTACTCTCAAGATGATGGGGTACATTATATGGGTCAAAAGAATAAACAAATATGCATAATTTGTTATAACTTTGAATTTGCTTCGAGTTTTTCCAAAAGTTGACCTAATCTAACTGGGTTACGCGTATAATATAGTTAAAATAATTCTATAAAATTACGTATATTATAAAATGTTGTAATAGTTATATTTTCGGTTGTTTTATTAGAACTGTTGTACTTACCTTATTAATAATACAAACGCACAAGTTAATAATGATTACGATTTAAGAGTTATTATATAGGATTTTTATATATAATTTATCACCCTTAAAATTGGTGAGGTTATAAACTATTTTCCTTTGGGACTTAACAATTATAAATCTGACAGTAAACTACTGTTTTGTAACAAGATCTCAATATGTATCTCTATGTATCTCGATCATATTTTTGATTTGTACATAGTACACACTTAAATTAAGTATCACACAAGCATTATATCATTATGTATTATAGATATTGTTACTAAAATATTTGTGTTTTTGATTGTTGTTATTATATTTTAATTAAAATATTACAAAATGATAATTTTTGGCGATAGATAAGAGAAAATACAAGTACCTACTACTGTTGGATACGCAATCTTAAATTATATAATAATAGTATGGTATATGAATTTGTAATTATTGGAAATAATTGTTTTGGTTTTAATAGATGTAATATTACGTAGGTACATATATATGTAATACATATACAGAATGATTCACTAAGCGTGCTCACCCCAATTTTTTAGTTGAATTTTGCATAAATATAAATTCTGATTTTTGTAATTTTTAAGGGTAGTCAAAGTTGATATTTTCAAATACTTAGATTTTTCACAAAATTTAAGGAGTATCCTGTGGTTTTTGAACTTTGGTTTTTCAAATGAGAACCTATATTAAAAATTCCACAAATAAGCGGAGTATTACTTTAAATATATTTTTGTGTTAAAATTTTTGATTTCCGTCAACTCGTTGACAAGATATTTCACTTTTAAGTTTTGGTAGGGGAAGAATAGTGGAGTATCATTTGTGTGGCAGCACGGCGTGCGCATTTTTTTAATGCTCTACTATTCTCCATGAAAATGTTCTTTTAACAAAATGTATTTTAAATAATACAGCGATTACAGCGTGTCTCACTCAAATGGTACCTAATATAAATAATATTTCAGTCGGAAGGACCTTAAATAAATTTTTTTTAGGTAGATAAACTGGTACCACAGTATACATTTTGAGTTTAATTTGAAAATTTGACCAAAGGTTTACTTCTATACCTTTGAAAATAGGATTAACGTGTGTATTTTGGTACTATCATTTAAATCTAAGTTCGTCTAGCTGAATTAACTATTTCGTGTTACCTGCATTTGAGTGAAACTACATTGCACTGCAATTATGTTAAGGAATACTAAACAAATACAGATAACATTTTAATGTGGTATTAACTAATAATAATAATTGTACTTAAAAATATGATAAACTCTTAAATGACTAATGATGGTAGATATTCATTTAAGCTTTATTATTAATTTTGTTTAGTCATAGTGTATAGTCATAGTATGTAAGTACTTAATACGTTATCCTAATTTTATTCCTCTCTAAATCTGCGCTTCATTGTGTCGAATATCGTCAAAACCAAAATAATACGTTCCTTTTTTTTTTTTCATAAGTATCTGCGGATTTATACTATTTTAATACTACGAGGTTACGAAGTGACGAAACAAGTAATTTTTTTATAGATATGTAGAATAAATACTGCAGTATTGTCATATTTTTAATAATTATTCATTCATATTGCGCATCGAATGATTAGCAATCAACTGAGTTTTTGCAAGGTTCAAACTTTTATCATCGCAAGGAGTCCTTGCGATTAGTAATCGGGTTATTATTATTTATTTATCGTGGAAAATATAAATGCACAATTGCGTGTGTAAAGTGTAATTAAACATATTTATCGTGAAAAATATTCTTAAATGAATTCCGGAAAATAAATTTAACAACAGTGCCCTTGAAACAAAGAAAAAATTTAAAGATAAATTTAAATAATTATTCATTAACTATTACTACGAATGCGTTAAAATAAAAACAAATTTTAATTCGGAACAAAAACACTTTTTTCAGAACGGGAAATATTCACACAAATTATCATTAATCAGTCAACTTATCTTTTTAGAAGTAATCAAATGAATATGAAATCTACACTTAAAGATTTCATACAAACCGTATCAATATAAACATGTTGGAAATAATTATTCGATTTCCATAACGTTTATTATTAATCTAGACTAATAATATTAATTACAATCATATTCCCAGCAAGGGTCTTGATTTGGATAATATGTAAAAAACCTCCATAATGCATTTAAATGGTTTTAAAATACAAAACAAATTTTAAAAAAATGGTTTTTTGATTGAATCAAGATCTCTAGTAGAAAAGTTGCAGACATTACAATTTTTTTAAAAGACACGTTATAATTGTAGACTAATACAATTCTCAAAATTGCATAAAATAATAAATTTTCTTAGTATATAAATATTCAATTATAATTATTTTATTTTGAAGTTTTACAGTACGTTGTATACGAAAAACTAGGTTACTTAATAAAATAAGAGGAGGGAGTATCGTAAGAACGGTGTACCGTGTACATTTGAACGTAAACAAACTTAGTGTGTATAGTAAATCAAACAAATGTGTGTTGTTTTTTTTTTTTTTGTCGTATTAATGTTGCACTCACGTCTTAGTATAGTAATGGTATCTCGAGTACATAGGTATGTGGGAAACTTATTAATGTGTCTACCTGATCTTCGTTCTCCTCGCCTGTTGTCAAAACGTGAGCTTAAAATCCAATTGCTATCGTAAAAAATGTTAGTCTGATAAATAATATTTTGTTTAAATTCGTATATTATACTATCGTAGGATTACATATGCATAATAATATCAACCATTGTGGTAGATAACAACATTACATATATAAGTAGAAAAAAAAGCCGATACTGTTGGTTAACACTGTTTTAGGATGGAAGTTAGAAGCTAAGATATATAGAGTAATTTTAATTAATATAAAATGTACGCGCCGATATCGATTGCTAACAAAAAACGATTTACGTATTTTTTCCATAGTTGCCAATGTAACAAAATGTATACAAAAGTTAAAAGGAAAAAAAAATGCATCAATAATATTTGATAGTAATATATTTCCAAAATACAACAAAAATGGTCTCTCGTAATTATTTTTACTGGATCGAGATTTCTGGTAGAAAAGTTGCAGACACTAAAATATTTTTAAAGACATGTAGTAGCAGACTAATACAATCCTCAGTTCACATAGAAGCTTATAATATAATAAATTTGCCCAGTATAATTATCCAATTACAATTTTTTTATTTTGAAATAAAAAACGTTTCGTATACAAAAACCTGGGTTATTTAACCAGTGTTCCTTTTAAAAACGTAGCCTCGAAATTTTCCAAAATTTTTTAATAATATATACATTTTTCTCAATGCGTCCTGTGAAATTGTCCGTAGATTGTATTATGTTTTAATCGTAGTTAGTAATTAGTACTTTGCGCACGATTGAGATACTGGCTGAAGTAAATAATGAGTAATGTCGTGATATGACGCTTGATGGGCTATGCCTAATCTATAATAATATTTGTTCATAAGGAAAAATATGGCAATGGCATTAACGAAATTGCTCATAAAAATTAAATTGGCAATTTTGATTTTCACATTAGAATTCTTAAAAAAATCAATTATTAGACATATAATTTTTTGTTTGTAATTTTATTATAATTGCACAATTGTAAATTGCCGTTTGTTCAATGTAACTACGTAAAAATTAAAATTAATTGTCCACTCCGTTGCATAATAGTCACTAGAATATTATATTATAAGTCGTCCAGTTGTTTTAAAGTTTAACATTACCTTTAACGGTCATTCCTTTTCCGGAAAAACTAGCCTGCTTGTACCTATAGGCTATAAATGGAACTTGAAATGTAGTTTAATTATAGTGCTCTCTTTGAAAATTATCTTACGAGTGCTCTGCGGACGGAAACATTTTCTATAATGAACACTTTGGGACGGCGGACGGTTTTTTTCAGAAACCGGTACATTTCCAGCTCGGAGTACCTACGGGGACCGAAAGTGTCCGTTATTCAAAGGTTTTAGGGTGTGCTATAATTCGGCCGTGTCCGGTGATCACATCGGCGAAATCTATTAAGCGAATAAACAATAACAAAAACGTCGTAATCGTGCACGTGTGTTGTTGTTCTTACACGTGTCATGTAACAACAACGCCGGCCACAAAGTCTGCGGGCTCGCGAGTGGTCGGCCACGGTAGCGGGGCGGGACAGCGCCACAAGCCGCGCCGCGTGGGACAGCCGCCGCCGTGCCGCGCCGCGCCGTGCCGGACGGCGGGCACACGGTCCGCGCAGAGCCGCAGAACGCGACTGCGATCCGATGGAGCAGGTTGAACCGAACGCGACGTTCGCGACGCCGGTTATGACCGCCGGCCGGTATACCGTGCACCCGGGACTCCAGGCCGGCGTGACCGTGTCGTACACGGTGGGCATATTCGGTAACCTATTGGCCCTGTTCATCCTGCACCGGACCCGGGCCAGCAGCAATCAAAAGCACGGGTTCATGTTGCGGTGCCTGGCCACCAACGATTGCATAGCGCTCACCGGCATGCTGATCCAGATGTACGTGGCTTTGTATTGGCCGTCGATCGTAGGCAGCATCTGGGCCTGCCGGTTCCGCGTGCTGTGGCGGTTCTTCGGTCTGGGTTCCGGTTGCGTGGCCATCATAATGGCCGTCGAACGTTGGCTGGCGCTCACCAAACCGTTTTTTTACCAAAAGGTAAGTGCGCTCCTCTCCACAGGTCTTTTTACGACTGTAAAAATGTACTCGGTTTAAAAATCGTTCTCCTAATGAACCAATAATTTAAATTTAAACTTAATAATTAAAAATATTACAAGTTAGGTCAGGTTAGTGAATTTGTATTTATTTTTTTTTCCCGCGGCAGGGATCCGACCGCATCGACGTCTACGCGACAATCATTGTCTGCAAACGCGTAATTATTGTCTTTGTATGGATCAGTAAATGTTTTGCCCGGCACACTCGCTATACTGCAATAATATTGTTTTAATGAATAATACGAATACACGAAGACGAGATAATATTACGCGGCTGCACGTACTGTATTTCGGACGTGCGACCCGTGATAACGCACTGCAACGATTGATTTCGTTATCAAATGGCAATCAAGCGGTGTCAAAGTATAATTATAATATACTCGTAGCGCACGAGAAGCTGACTGAATACTATACATAATATTATATGGTGATACGTAAAAAAAAATATATATATATATATATAAAAAACCGATTATAAAGAAAATTATTGTGCATAATTATCAAATACGCGCATGATATCCTCGCACATTTTTTTTTTTATCATTATTCTTATTAAAACGAAAATCCATTAAATAAACGAGTGCCCTAGACAATGATAACGTAATAAATTTCTGCCGGGACAAAAAATACCGTAATTTTCTCCATATTACCCTTTATATTAACAGTGACTTTTGTTGCTATATTATACTGCTGCAGTTGTTTGCCATCGTAGTCCTTTGATCGTGTTTTATACGTCTTTTATTATACGTCTGTACTCTGCTGTACGATTTTTGTCCGAAAGAAAGCCTATTTCCCTAATATTGCAAGAATACGCATTCTGTTTCGTTCTTCGCGAGAATTATGGCATTATGTTTTTTAAACAATTTTTTTTTTTTTTTTTTGCCGTACATCGTAATTTATTTACACGACTGTATAATGCCTCTAACAGTTAATTACTCGTGAAACGATAATTTTGACGCGTTAAAGCGGACAATTACGGTTATATAGGTGCGCAGGCATGCGACCTATAATGCTGAATAAATAATGATATAATAGTACCGATAGGTAATGAAATGCATTATAATAAAAGTATAAACGAACGGTCTCATTTTTTTCATTTTTCTGTAAGATATTTTAGTGCGTGACATGTACATAACGTTTTATACGCGTAAATTCGTAAATATAATATCAAAGCGTTTCGAATAATACATTTAAAAAAATAGTCGACACTGAGGATGGATGCGGCCACTGTTGTAGATGAGCAGTTGAAATGGCGGGATACATAAAGTTATTTCATTTGTACCTGTGATTAACGAAAAAACATTGCGAACGAAAAACGATTCGGAGCGATGATCAATTATAAATGTTTTGATTTGTGAATGGCTATAATATTTATAATTTTCGGCGACAATTCTTGTTTAAAAAAAAATACTACATTACACTTGATTTTTTTTTTTTACCAAAAAATACGAATTTTCTGAGCATTTCTGTTTGGTTAGATAATTTTCATCCATAGCTAGAGTACCTAATGATTAAAAACTACGTGAAAAACTTGCAAAATTAAAATGTCTATATAATACTCAAAAGTGGCTGAAATGTTTTTAAATTAATTTTTTAATTATTTTACCATGCCTAGAAAAAACAAATATAAGTTTCTGTCATCATTTCAAGTCTTTCCGAATATTTTAATTTAAATTACATTAATAAGAAAAAAATAAAAATAATAATAGAATTATTTTCATCAATAGCCCATTTTTTTTATGTATTTTTCGGTTTCGCTTAATTATTTAAAAAAATACAAAAACAAAAAATCAAAAAACTACTTTCTTGATCATTAAAAAGATTAAAAGTTATACAAAAACGATCACTTGTTGTTTTTCTATTGGAGAAATACCTCTGGTGTAAAATGGAAAGCGTAAACTTTAAAATAATTAAATCTTATCGCCATAAATTTGTCAGTTTCCATTTACGTTTCTTTACTGTTTTCCGGTTTTTCTTAATTTGTTAATAAAACTACAGAGAAACACGACTCTTTTACTCGCCAAGTAGATAAAAATGCAACAAAATATGTCTCGTGTTTTTTTCCTATTGGAACGATATTTTAGTAGAAAATATTTGCTGAAATCGTTGTGCTGTAGTTTGAAAAAAAAATATTATGTTTCGTCTTTTTAGTTTTTCACAATTATTATGAAAAATACTTTAGGTATCAAAAATAACTCTCTTTGTTAGTGGCTTTGTAGTTGAACAGATATGATACAAAAAGTTATTTCATTTTTATTCTTAAGCAACGATAGTTGCTGACGAAAATATTTTTTGAGCGAAGTTCTTTTATATATGATTTGAAAGGCCGTATTATATTTATGATCTTAAAATGTTTATAGACAAAATGCTTAAAAATTCTATGTTTTACTTATTATAAACCTTGAATTAAATTTTAGATTCTGAGCGTAGTAAGGGTTTTCAAACCAATTATAAAAATAAAACAAATTCTTCATTTTATTATATTTTTCATTTTTAACCGCTAAGCACAACTTATAGAGACCTCCTGTTAAATTTTCATGCAAATTTGGTTGGTCAATTAATTATATCCACGTTCCACATAGTACCTATCAAATAAAAACTATATAAAAAAGCTAAAAATGTTTTGAAAGTTTTTCCACTTCTAAAAAGGCAAATCTTAGTTTTCTATCAAAATTTCGAGTCTCTAAGAAAATTTTCAACTAAATTACAGTTAAAAAACTAACTTGGAAATAATTTAATCATTGTTTCCGTAAACTTTCTCGTTCTTTTTTTGTATTTTTCCAGTTATTCTCAATTACCATGAAAACTCATCGGAAAAATTTGTATTCATCAACTAGATCCAAAATAAAACAAATAAGTTATCTTGGTATTTTTTGAATGAAGCAAGATTTCTAGTAAAAAATATAGTGCGTAAAAATTAAAAACAATGAAAACGGTAATTGCCGTTTTTATTGAATGTTTATTTCCGGTTTTTCAAATTATTTTGAAAACCCTATCGAAGATTCAGTCATCCTGTATAATTGTAAAACATAATATTGTTCGAGAAAAATATATTTTCAAATATAAATTTAAAGTTTTACGATGCAGTGGTGGATTTGCGGAAAAGGGGTGATGTGACGAGCCCCGCCCTTGGACGTTTTTTTTTCGTAAAATTTTAATTGAATTATATATCCAAGGCTATAAACGCAGAGAGATAGGAATATCGTGAGGACGGTATACATTTAAACGTAAAAAATTTAGTGTATATATAGTATATATAGTAAATCAAACAAATGTGTTTTTTTCGTCGTAGTAATGTTCCATTCACCTTTTAGTATATTAATAGTATTTCGAGGACGTAGGTAGGTAGCAAATTTATTAACGTATCTATAACCTCATCCTCGTCCCCATCGTATATTGTCAAAACGCAAGCTTATAATCCAACTGCTATCATAAAAAAGTTAATCTAAATTATATTGTTTTGGCTAAATTCGGGCTTATTATCGTAATATTACACATAATAACATAATGACATCGATTATTGTAGTAGATGAATACATGTCATATATAGATTTAAAAAAAGGACGATACTGTTGATGGATGTGCCAGTGTTTAAAAATGGAAGTTAGAAGGTAGGACTTATACAGAAATGTATTTAATATAGATTTCTGGTAGAAAAGTTGTAGAATGTCACTTCAATATTTATTAAAGACACTTAATGGTAAGCTAATATATTCCTCGGTCCAGACTGAACCCTATAATATGATACATTTTCTCAGTATAAATATTCAATTATAATTATTTTATTTTGAGTTAAAATACTTTGTATACGAAAAACTGGGTAACTTAATAAAATATTAAATTTGATTGTTATACATTAAAGACACGTTTAAATTAAGTAGCTAAACGTTACCTATATATATTTTTAATTTTACCAATAATTTATTAACAGTCTACACAAATAATATATGCTTATTATTATTAATACACTTGCAACTATTTTTTTTTTAACATTTATTATGTATCGGTACGTCGTTTATTGTTATCTTAGTAATAAGCCTAACACGAGAAAAAAAGTGGACTTATATTATATGATGACTGATGAGCTATAATTATTCCAATATTTAATTTATGACTTAATCAATGTACTATATTTGGATAATTACATATCGTATTTTTATGTAAATATACTATTGCTTTTTTTAGCTGGTGGTATCATAAATAATGATATCACCTAACAATATTCATAGTCCATGATTGTTATTATTTTAGTAAATCTTTAGAATCACACAATTTTATAACACGTTTAACAAAATTCCGTTCAAACAAATATTTTATCTCCAACTTCCCTTATAACAGTGAGTTTTTCATTAACACTATTATGGACACCTATTCATTGGTTTTTTTACTATTTTTTTTCTAATATATTAGCGAAACGTTAAAATTTCAACTGATAAAATCATTGATGGGTTAAATTAAAAAGCAAATATAAATAGACTTTTTTTATGTATGTAGTGTATGGCGAATATAAGTAATTACCTATCTACCAGCAGTAGTGTATTTACGACTTGGTTTTTATGAAGGGCCCAACCTCATTGTGTTGAACCCCTTCGATCCACATAATTTAGTTTACTAAATCCACCGAAATTATATACCACTAATATTATCGATGTCAATAGAGAACCTAACCTCGTACATTTTAAATATACGTTCTAATATGTGGATATTTTACCAAAAAGTATTTCGGTTTGCAGGGAGAACTTGCAACAAATATTTTAAGTTTAACAGTTACTATATTCCGTTTTTCTTTTTGAATCTCTTGTGGTTTCATCCTTGGTATAATTATTTGATACATCATTCCATTGATTTTTACAGCATTTTTTCTAAAATATTCCATTTTCTCATATTTTTCATCATAATATCTTCTTATGTATAATTGAAATGTTCTACGTTTAACTTGAACGGTATGACGTCTTTTAGCAAAATACGATTCGATGGTTTTGTTAACTTATATTGCACGTTGTAATATTTCCATTTAAAAGAAGTCCATTTTCTTAGTTATAAATGTTATTATTTTTGATTATTTGCATTATCAAACAATAACAGCAAAATTATCGAAGTCATATGTTTTCTTTTAACGTTTTAATGACAGTTTGAAATGGTGGTGAATCTATTCGTTGACACAAAAGTATTTCCTGACTTAAAACAATTTGTAGTTTTTTCTTTGGCGCAAATTGTTTCAGAATTTATAAGTTAAATATTAAAATAAAAAATAGACACTAGTTTGTATTTTGTCTGTAGCAATTGTCAAGCCAAATAGTCATTATACTTGAATCACCAATTTTTTTTTTTTTTTTATTAAAAAAACATAAAATGTGCTTACCAAATCTTTTTATTTCTTCCATTGATACTTTTGTGCCATAACAAGTAAATGGAAATAATTTTGATTTTGTACCTAATGGTGCAAAACTCTTGTGATATTCGATGATACATTTAGTGAATAGATTTTTTTTTAGATAATTAATCTATGGTAACTATACGGACGAGTTCTAAATGATAATATTAAAAGAATAGAACTATGAAATTAATTGTGGGTATCCCAGTTTATATTTTTATTTAACGATTTCGCTTTATATATGTATACAATTTCAAATATCTTTAATAAAATATACATTTGATATACGAATAATAATGCCTTCGAATAAGTTATTCAAAATCAGAGTCAGTTATTTATGGCTACATTGTATAGGTATATACGAGCAGACGATATTTTCAGAAGGTTATTCTAGTATTTGAACAATAATATATAATATGTGTACCCTAATACCTTGTAAATTACCTGAATATCCTAACCTTCAGTGGTGCAACCAGGATTTGTTTATTATTATTTTTTTGGAGAGAGAGCTAGAGTATATGCATTCTATACAAATATCTTTACAGGTTTTCGTGATAATACAGTATACTAAATAACTGAACTGAACGAAGTAAATATTTTCAAAATTACGTGGAAATGTCTGAAATTGTAATACAAACTATGCAACTACAGGGCAGTATTATTTTGAATTCGTATACAAAATCTCAAATTTAGGTATTTAGGTATTTAGGTATTTAGGGATTCAACCCTCTTCTGGTTGCATCACTGCTAACCTTACCCATAATTACCTACTCCATGGTTCATAGAAAGAAAGTTTTAAAATGTTCTATCAACTCAAACGAATAATATAATTTAAACGCTTGTATTGTCACTTATAGGAAAAAAAACAACCGGTGGGCCTAAATTGTAGTAGTTTTGATAAATGGTAAATGTGTACTGTGTAGTATACACTTATTATATATCTGTGCAACCACACATAATTTGTGTAAAGATACTCATTCTTATATTTGAATAACTTAATGTTTAATAATAATATTTTATAAACAATCTTTGAACTTGTAGCAGATAAAAAAGTCGTAAAAAAGATAATATAAGATTTGTTTTTAATAGAATAATCCGAAATTAGTATTCGGCCAATCACCGGGACAAAAGAACTTTAATAATAATATTCGAATAGTGGTGTGTTGGAATATATTCAAATTTAGATCATAGATATTTGGTACTATATTTTTAGAATACTAGGATTTGTTTTACAAGAAATTATGAAATTATCGCTTAATAAATATCCCCAAAAAACTTAGTTATTCAGTGAACTTGGGTATTATAATATATAACATAGTGTGACGATAATAAAATAAAATGATTATTTCTACTTAAAATGAGGTATCTTTATTTTTCGTTAAAATTCGGTTTAAACGATATCTGATGATAAAAAAAATTATAAGTAAATCAAGTACTTGGTAGTACTTGATTCATTCCTTTTATTCTGTTAACTATTCAGAAATTTATCGAAAACGGATCTGTGAAGGAATGTATTGGAATTTCGTTAAGTTATAGGAGGTTCATGAACGATATTTTTTTCGTTGGTTCAATAACTAATTTTAAATAATTTTATGAACCTTTTTTTTAATAATATGTTATTAATATAAGTTTTTCTCAATATCCCCTGTAAAAATATTCATAGGTTAGGAATTTATGGAATCGATAATATATTAAAATTAATCTAAAAAAAGAACTAATACTGGGGGCGGTCACTGTTATAGTTGGGTAGTGGGGATGATGGGATACATTAAGGTTTTTAATATATACCTGTAATCAACGATAAATCATTGCTAACGAAAAACGATTCGGAGAGAAGTTCGGTTATACTTGTTTTGAAAGTCCATAATATTTACGATTATTGTTAAAATTTGATTTTATAAAACTTTTATTAAAATAAAAAATAATACACTACACTTAATATTTTTTTGATCACTAAGTACGATATATAATGAACTTTCTATTTAATTTTCAAGCAAGTTAAGTCTAATAATATTATCTACATAGTACTTAACAAATACAAAATTACATAAAAAAAAACTCGAAAATTAAAATGTCTATAAATAACTCAAAAATGGTTCAAATGATTTGAATCATGTCTAGAAAAAGCAAATACAAGTTTTCTGTCAAAGTCCCTTTGAATATTTTTCTTGAATAATAAAGCTTGAAATTGGTAGGAGGTTCATTATAAGTCGTACTTAGTGGTTAAAAAAAAATTTAGTTTAATGTAGTATATTTTTTTTTTATGAATTGTAATTATTAATTAAGAGAGGCCGTAATTAATATGGACTTTCAAAACAAGTATAACCGAACTTCTCTCCGAATCGTTTTTCGTTAGCAATGATTTATCGTTGGTTACAGGTATAAATTAAATAACTTTATATATCCCATCTTCCCCACTACCCACCTACAACAGTGACCGCACCCATCTCCAGTATTAGCTCTTTTTGTTTAAAACAATTTTAAAATTATTTTATAAGCACTATTTTTACATGTTCTTTCAAATTAATTAATAATACAAATATTCTTTAGCCACTAGTTCTGTGCATAAAACCAGAAAGCTCTTAGAGACCTGCATGCATGGACTGACATTTTCTGGTCCGGTCTGGCCCCACCAGGTTGTATAATAAACCAGACCAACCCGGCTTTTTTGTGAGAAGTTATATAAAAATTCGGTATGACCCAGCCCGAAATTTTATTGGTGTGGAAAAGTCCAGCTTGGCTACTAGGTTTAAACATTTTTTTCAAAACTCACCGATCACAATTTAAGGTACTTAGATATTTCGTATTTAATGGAAATGTCTTGTTTTTGCACGGTCCTCTTTTGGTATTATATAATAATAATCATTAATACATTTGCAAATTATTAAAATATTTACATTAATATAGTGAAGAATATTTCACCTTATATTTTTAATGTTACGTACAGGGTCTTCTAAATTATATGTTACGGTTTTGAGTGTAGGCGGAGTGTATATCATAGGTACTCAATACTCCTACTCTCAAAACCTTAATATATAATTTGAATACTCTGTTACATCATAAAGTAATAATGAAATATTATCAGGAAACCATATTCGTGTGAAATTTTCATAATTATTGTTCGTTGAGCATAAAATTATTAATTATTATTATGGTTATTACATAATCTAACAATTTTATTTATCTATAATATATTCTCCTCGAATCTTAGGTATCTTAGGTACTTAATAACTAAAGTATATGTAGTATAGGTACCATATTATGTGCAATCATGCCATCGACCTATTGGTATTTGATACAGCTAAATAGTAATCGCGAGCAAACCGAACTCGCAATGGCATGTGATTTATGATTGTCGTCAAGGAATACCATTTTAGTATTTTTTCCATACATATTTTCGTAAAGATATATACATATATATATATATATATAAAAATGTGATTGATTTGGTAGTTGTATTATCACGTTATTATACACGTCATTGACTAGGTACGTACGTATGTATATAGGATGTCCCATAAAGATATACCCCTTGAATATCTCCGGAGAAAAAAAAATAATCAAATTCTGTTATTTTTTTTTTTATTATTACTCACAGGGATGAGGACTATAAATATTTATATTTGAATTAATTTTTTTTTTTAATTAAACAAGTTTAACAAAATAAGTAACTTTTATTTTATTATTTTCTGAAAATTTTAATGTATCACACATAATTATATCCAATGAATAGTTTCTAACTAACAACCGTTTTAAATTCTTCTAATCCATATGAAAACCAATGTTATCTAAGGAATAGCTTAACCGCGTTACGCGATAACATACTATTACGATGTTACTTAAGAACTATTCATCGGATATAAATGTGTGATACATTAAAATTTTCCGAAAAATTTTTTTTTTTTTTCCTTTATTATTAAATACACAATCTGTACCTCGTTGGTACAACAAGAGTATTAGCTAAAATATAATAAAGTAAACATGAATAGCTTGATAAAAGCAGCCACCCAGTGATGACATTTANAAAAAAAAATTTTCTTAAAAAAAAAAAAAAAAAAAAATGTAATTTAAATATAGTCCTCGTTAGTCCTCGTTTCTATGCGTAATATATAAAAAAAAAAACAAAATTTGTATTTCCGGAGGTATTCAATGGGTATGTCTTCAAGGGACAGCCTGTATTATCAATTTATCGAATAAATCGCCATATTCGTTTGGTTAATTTTATGACTGATTCATACCGTAACGTCCTCAATTTCAATTTACTCGGTGAGATGTAGTCTCATCAGCTTCTAAAATTCTTAGTTAACTTATCATCATCAGGTGAAATAGATTTCTCTGTACTTATACTATTATCCCTCGTTCGCTTTAAAATAAATTTACCATTAGTTATAATACTATTATATACATCATCAGTAGAGTATACGGTGGAGTTGGTGTTTTAACCCTCTACCATTGTTTTTTTTTAGCTATATGAAAGGTTAAGAAAATTCGAACCCCTAAATGTCTCACATTGATAAATCCTGGCTACATCACTGTACATCATCATGAACCATTCTATATAATTATGTCTTCAACAAAACACATTGTTAACTATTATTTAAATTCTTTGGCTGATTTATTAGAATTAGAGTGTGGATTAATATTCTCTTAAAATAGCCAAAATATGATGCTTAAATTCTCTTAAAATTTTGAATATATGCTTGTAATATTCTCTAAAAATATTATTAAAATATGAAAAAATATGTTTTTATATCAATATATTCTCTTAACATCAAAATATGCAAAACAATTTTAACAAATAATAATTAACAAAATCAATTACATTATTAAAATTAAAACAAACTCATTTTTAGGTTATTATTTCGGCATTTCATTAAACTAAAACTTGTAAATCAAAACACAACAGTCTTAAAAAATGATTTTTTAATTTTATTAGACTTGGAATACAAAACGAAAACTCGTTATCACTAGAGGAAAATATGTGATAATTTACGCGGTAACAAATTATTATCAATTATTCGGGTCGTAGGTAGTCTGTAAATTGATAACTAGATATCAAAAATTCGACCAACAGAACGTGTATCAAAGTAATTTACCGTATTTGTATTATGATAAACAGTAAAATAATAATTTTCGCACTTCATTATCATTTGCCAATTATCAAATCGTAGTGGTATTAAAAACTATCATACGACTTACCATTAATAAAATATTATAAAATAGAAAAAAATGGAAGTGGTTGAAATGTATATAATTTTTTAATTCCTGAAAATATTTCAATTCATCAATTTTTAATTAGTCAAATATGCAAAAAAATTATTCCATATGAATATATTCTCTTATCATCAAAATATGCACTTAAATGCAAATTAAAATGTTGTATTCAGATTCTTTGTACTGTGAATCGTTGACATATCTTACTTTCATGGTTATGCATACATCCATTAAAAACATATTTTCACGTAGAAATCCGTGCTCTAATTATAATACTATTATGTACATCATCCGAGGGGAGGTTGGTGTTTTAACCCCTTTTCATTGCTTTTTTTTAGCTATAGATAAGGTTAAGAAGATTCAAGCCTCTAAACTTCTCACATTGACATCTACAGTCATGATCCATTCTATAAACTACACAAATAAAAAACCACCTCTAATATGCTAAATATATTTATTTACCATCCTAATCAAATTCTGAAAAAAAAAGAAAAATATCATCTTTTTATACAGATATATCTAAATATTATACCTATATAGTATATTACGTATCGCAAATTCGTACCAATCTATATATTGCTATTATGCACCTATCTAAATTTTTTAATTTGAAATACGAGTATAAATGCAAATTATAAAATATCTATGTACATTATCTATTGTATCTTGTTCGAGATGTTACCTAACCCAAACAATTAATAATTCGCCTGTCACAACGAAAAAAGGTCATATCTTACTTTTCCCAATTTTTTTTAGTATAAACGTTTAAAATATTTAAGTATAAATAATTATTTTATAAAAACCGAGATACGACTGTTTTCGTTGTGACCCACGAATACTGTACAATGACGTTATATAATTACGGAGTAAAAACTACAAAAACTGAGAACGACTTTAATAACTTTATATTAAAATATATTTTTAATTTCATTTTGCTATCCGTAAATACATTTTGATTCTAGATGATTTAATTTATAAAAGTTTAAAAAAAAAGAAAGTTTTTATCGATAATTTTTCCCTTTAATTTGGATCACATAAGTCACAGTGCCATAAATCCGCTAATATTTATTACACATATATTTGTATACAGTATAGAATCTAAACATTTTACAGGCTTAGCGATATTATCAAATCTAAATTATAGTATTGAATTTAAAATTATTTACACGAAATATTGTAAAAGTCCGTTTATAGGTATAATATTGTTATATCCGGGAGAAAAAAAATATACCAACATTAAAACGCATTAGAATCGATCTATTAAGGACTATCCGCGATCCCGATATAAAAACATTTTTCGATATAATTTTGAGCATACTGTAGTTAGGATGAATACGTCATTATGTATAAAATGATTATAGATTATATATTTTGATTGTTAGGTGTGTTATATTTTAGCAATAGCCCGTTTCCGTTAAATATGGCGTAATGTTGTAAAATTCTAATTAATTTTGTTATTTGTTTTAAAATTAATTTAATACATAAGTATTATAATAACTTATCAGCTACATAAATGTATAATATGGTAATTCTTGCTCCCGTATCTATATCAGTGGCCAACCCGGCCTACTTATATCGCTTATTTTATATTTTTTTTTATATAATATCTACCATTAAAATTACATTATAACCATACTTTGTTGGCAGGTATTAATTTATTGTATTATCAATTATTCGTATCGATAATGTCTAATCAGGATAATATTCAAATTCGGACACGATAATATTTTGAACAGGTTTTTAATGAATTATTTGATAAAATTTACAAATGTATAATATATCCAAATTATAAAGTAGCCATTGAGAAACACAATGCAACTAATATATATATATATATATTTATTTTACGTAGATTATTCGACATTTTGATTTCGTTTTTTTTTCACGCGAAATAACGATTTATTTATTTATTTAAGAATGTCCAATATTAAGATATTGGACATTTTCATAGATAAGTACATTAAATATGGAATATATTTTTCTGTTATTCTTTCAAACTTTATGTACTATTCCTAGGCCATTAAATTTTAAATTTAATCTTCAAAAATAAATGTAGAAATAAAAAAAAAAAATTGGTAACTAAATACATTCGATAAAAGTCGCAAAAAAAATACCGTACTTTATTTATTATTAGGGACACTTTTTAACATTTTCAGCAGATACTTCTTAGATATTTTTTTTCTTGAATATAACTTTTTTGGTTAGTAAAAATACTCCAAATTATTCGCATTGTATCTTAAAAAATGCGAATTTAAAATTAAAAATGTCTAAATTCCCAACAGTTTTTCCTGTCAGAATCGTTTTATGATTATAATGATTTATTTAGTTGCTCTTAATTTATAATTTAAATTATCCTATATACCAACTAAATTTTCCATCTACTAGATAAAGTGGTTTACCTAAAATGTAAAGTACGTCCTGTTGGCTATGGTCGAATATATAATCTAATACAAGTATTAGATTTGATTAATAACAAAGATATTTATGTAGAACAATTTTAAAAACATGAAACATTGTCTATTTATATTTATATTTTAGTAATATTTTACATATTTTGTACACAATTGCGTCACATCGGTTTTATTGTTTTTAAATCGTTATATTATATTAGACAACATACCACACTGTTTTGTAAATATCTTATATTTAAATACTATACAGGCCTAATATAATATTTATAGGTTTGAATAACATAATATAGAAAACATTAAATAGTATACATCTGGCAAATTGAAGATAGGTAATATTATTATATTGATAATTTATATTTTAATATTATGTTATAATCTATGTAATAGTGATACAAAAAATAGCTGTACAACCGTATAATTAAAGTATAGAAATTTGTATACTAATTTTAAATGGGCAGAACATTTAAACCATGTAATTCATTGGAAGCAAAATTAAGAACATTTTCTTAAGCGGCGAATCAAGTTCATAAATCTTCTATCCAGTCTTCTTCATCATACGTTGCAGTTGGTCTAATTATGTTCAATAGCCCTAAGGAATATTACATATTTTATATTACGATAGATTTAGAGTGAATTTGAATACTTGACTATTACAAAATGCCCTTTCAATGTTTATCCAATGTTTTACTATCTTATAATATACTTTATGTATTTTCCCCTTTTTTATTGTTATGAGTTAATAATTATTATGTTATGATCACGTTATTATCATGTTATAATTATGCTATGAATACTGCAGTGCACCAATATGGACGAATAGTGCCCACGCAAAAAATATTGATGTTCAACTTAATCGCTGCATGCGAACAATAACTGGCACAATAAAATCCACTCCCCTTCAATGTTTACCCGTTCTAAGCAATATATCACCCCCACACTTACGATGTAGAAATGCATCTTAAAAAAAATGGAGAAAATGCAACTCTAAATTAAGTTTACCAATACACACCTTCGCGAAATCCCTTCTGAACCCACCAAGACTTAAGTCACGTAATCCACTTTAAAAATCCGACATCGTGCTCTATATAAACGAGACATGGAAAAACGAATGGAAAACTTCAAAACCAGATGAAAAACATTACCTAAAAGAGCCAACAGAAAAACCTCGTGGAAAAAATCTCCCCAGAGACTACCCTAATTCGTGTTCGCCTCAGTCATTGTAGATATAGCTACTTCATGTACAAGTGGAATATCGTGCCATCCCCGAACTGCGATTGCGGTCATCCACATAAGACAAAATTTCATAATATGCTAGTAGTATATTATACTAACTGAATGCCCTATTAGGAATTCAATGACGAACTCGAAGATATGATTCGTTATGTTCAATGCTTTCCCAGAAGCTGTGGCACAGATAAAAAATCTTGACATTAAACTATAGCTGTTCATCAAAAGACGAGCCATATACTTTCCAAGGATACTTTAAGGAGTACGGTCGTTTTTTGGACGAAAATTACTGTGGAAATAGAGATAATTTAATACCATGTTACTTAAAAATATCAGCAAAGTAGTTTCCAATCACTTTTTTTTTTTTTAGTTAATAATTTGCAAGACGTATTATTCTAAAAATTCACTCAACTGCGAAATTGATAGTATAGTGAGTCGAGAGAATATTCCCGTTGTTCCCGTTACTACCCGATAAGTTATTAATGAATTGCTGCATAGTTTTAAACCTAATAATAGATAATATATTATCTAATATACTTACAAAAATTACTTAAAAAAGATTTAAATTTATTATTTTTCTACTTGAAAACTTGGTTTCTACTTAATAATGTTGAATACAAAAATGTATTAATTTATTATTTATTTTAGTTTTCAATGCCTGACAGAAATTAAACAAAAAGAAGATATACCTATTAAAAAATTAAAAAATAATAATAGTAGTGATAAAGATAACATTTTTAAATATAAACATAATGTAGATAATTAGTATTTTAGAAATACAAAATTAGTACTTCACAGAAGAAAAAAAACAATTTAAAATATCAACAAATAATAACGATAATTTTTTTCTTTCAATATTGGTTTTTTTTTTTAAATTGCACGATGATCAGACTTTTGTGACAAGAAATAATATCATAAGCAGGTATACTTACTAATAGTAACCAATCTGCTTAATATTATTTATTCTTTCTCGGAGAACCTGTGTTACGTACACACGGTTTATGATTCGTTTTAAAAATAGTCAATCAACCTAAAAAAAAAAAATATGTATATATATATATATGTATTATTCGTATGTAACTATGCAAAAGATATTATTTATCAAGTGCGAATTTATGTAAAACTTTCTCGTCTACGCGAAAATCGTGCCAAATTGCGTTTTAACGATTAATTAGCCCCGGTTATGTAAAACATTGACATTGATTTAATAATAATAATAAAAACAAAAAATGACTGAAAATAATTATAGTTTATTATAATGCATAATATATGAGATTGCACTTGTTTTATTTTGTATAATTATATTATTATCGATGTCAATTTATCGTTTTTAATTATATATCTATACTGCGTAATAAAAAAAAAAAAAAAATTAAATCTCGTTATCTGAAAATGGCAAACAACATAAGTTCGTATGATACATTATTATGCACTCGAAATTTTCCGTTGATGATTCATAACTATTATATAAAATAGTACATTAACTGCATATGTTCGAGGAGAAAAAAAAATATGCAATTTAAAGAAGAAAAAAAAATTAACATCGATATTGATCTCATTACTATTATAATATTATTATCATCTACAGTTGAAATGATTTTGGCTTTTTTTAGGACCTAATATGGTCGATTGAAAAAAAACATCATATTTTAATCATAATATATTGAGCAAGTACAATAACTTCAATGGAAACAAAGCTCAAACGCGTGTATTGTGATATATTAATAATAATTGTACTGTATGCGAACGAATGATAGCTATAAAGCTTTATTGAGTCTCGTCGTCGTTATTGATTGCCATCGTCGATCGATTTAATAATTATTATTATAAAAAATATTAACCTATCGAACGATTTTACGACAATCATATAATGATAAAATATTTAACAATGTAAAAAAAATAACTCGACGGTGATATTAAATCATTATCTTATACTATTAATAATATAATAAATTAACACTATAATATATAATTTAATTACATATATTGTTTATAGTTATTAATTATTTTTGTTTAATGATAAATTCGTACACATTTATCATCCCTTCTATATACATCTCCCCTATCCAAATTTAAAAATAGAATATCTATATCTCGTCAATGGGAATAATAAATTTCAACACTAAAATTTATTTTTTATTAAATTTCATCGATTTCTGAAATTTAAAGTACAAGTCACTACTTGGAAATCAAACTTAGCTAGTGGTTACTACCGCCAAAATTAAAGGTTCTGAAAAATAACGGAAACGTAATATTTTAGAGTTGCTTAATGTAAACTGTCCAAAAAATCAAAAATTCGATAAAAATTAATGAAGAAACCTTCATCGAGAAGTTTTATCGAGAATCGATCACGACTCAAGAGTTTGTGTAAACACAAGAGAAAAAACACCATAAACCTACCTGCGGATACCGAACTACGTTCAAGATAGTTTTTTGATTGCAATTCAAAAAAAAATTGCCGTTCGAATCTCTCGGTTCCGGGTAGGGTACATTTCGGACGGGCGTGCTGACACGAATCCCGGTATAATAATGTGCTGCGACACATCAATATTATCGTCGCGTGATTTTCCGTACGTATTATATACTCGTCGAAAATAATGCGTGACATTATAATTAAATTACTGTTACCACTGCTATATACCTATATATTTAATACCCACTACCTGCAATATTTGTACGATGTTTTATGGTTATTGCTGCACATTTCGAAATCTGCGCACATTCACACTTCCATCACCGTGTCGTGTTTTAATGTTTTTATTTTATTAATAATATATTATATCGTTTGTTGTTACTATTATTGAACGTATTATTGTTTGTCGCGGAATGTACGACTGTGAAAAATTCGCAACCGTACGACGACAGCGACGGCCTCCGTGATGCCTCCAGAATATTAAAGCCGAAACGCGTCGTCGTCGACGAGTTACTGCTGACACGATAACCACTAGCTGCGATTCAATAATATTTTGTGTGTAATTACATAAATTATAATTAGATATTACTATACAGTCTAATAATCGAGTATATAATAATCGGCTGTAAAATAGTTGTACAAGTGTAATATTGGCGCATTCGAATGTATTTCAGTGGCGTCATTTCAATTTTTTTTTTTTAGTACTTGTGTGTGTATACAGGCCACGAAACCCGTTAAGAATTTTCAATGCAATAAAATTAAAATAATGCACAAATTTTCCAAACAAATTAACTAAACCGCCATCTAATAAAACGTTAAATAACTAATTAAGTTTCATTCAGGGATCATCACAAGTACACAAATCTTGATAATGTCTTAATCATGGTTTTGTTCTTAATTCAAAATAAAAAGAGAATTATTAATAGACCAGTAAGGCACAAACCACTATCCATCACTCAAGCCAAACAATTTATAATACGGGCCAAATCACTATAACAACGATTTAAATACGCAAATGTGTATAGCTTGCGTGGTCAAAATGACGCCACTGGTGTATTTTCTGGCAGGTCCGATTATTTAATTATTTATTTAAAACCAACAAAGAATAAACATCATTCAGCTTAATTTAACGGGTCGACTTTAATAAAAGCTATAACATAAATTAACGAAAAACAAAAATTATGTAAAGATACAATAAAATGTATTCTGAAACCGAACAAAAATGTTTAATGAGAAACACAATAATATGGCATTAATTCAATTTAACGTTTATTGATATCAAATAGTAGACAATTTTTTTTTACTCTAGGAAAAAAAATAGTTTACTATTGTTATTAGAATCTGCGATATTTGTTTTAAAATCAAATTGCTTCACGTGTTTCATAAATTCAAATGCGATGGACGGTACTTACCATCAACGATACTTACATTACCTATCTATCTGTTTTAAAAACCCGAAATAATGAATTGTGATTTGATTTTTTTTTTTTTTTTTGTCAACAATTACTATTATAAATGTTATAAAAGTTTATAAACTATTATAAATTACTATTATGCATGTATGCGTAAAATACGTATATTTGGTTGGGTTGCTCAGTTATTTAAATAATTAGATTCATATTTTGTGATTGGTTCACTTATAATGTATATTTATGGTTGGATACACCATCCAGGGTCATTGAAAGGTTCATTAAGCAAGGCTACAAAATTATTATTTTAGTATGATTATGGCTGTACCACTGCAATCAAAACAAAAACAAAAACTGATAGTATTACTGAAGTGTGTATACTTCAGTCCCTTAACATTTATAATACAATTACAACAATGATGTAACAATTACGTTCATGGGAAAACAATGACGCTGAAAGATAAGAGGTGACTTTATTGTTTATTTAATAATTTTTGACAGATGTTATTGTTTTTTGAATTTTTTTTTTTTTGTGTTTTACACGAAATAGCTAATAAAAAACAAAAGCTAAAAGGACAAAATGTAATATTATATTATTTATCGTTGCATTTTAAAGTCACAATCGCGCAGTTTAAATAGTTTTGGTTTCAGTTTGATGTACCTATTATTATTGTTCAACAAAGGAAACTGCACATTTTTAATTGGTATACGTTTGTATTTTATATTAATAAGTTTGCATAAAGTTGAAATTTTAATTGTGTTTGTTTAGGAATAAAGTAGGTAGACGAGACGTCTGATTTAGAAATGTGCAAGACCTAAAATCCTTTCTTTTGGTTTAGGTAATTGCATAGGGAACGGTTAAATAAAATATATTTCTTTAATTATTTTTTTTGAAATCGCATTTATCGTAATAGTACTTTGTATACATATAGTCTTAAAAAAAAAAAAAAAAAAAAAATTATATATTTTCTTTACAACGAAAAATAATTATTGAAATATTGAAACCGATATGATAAGCAATTATATATTATATCTTCAACAGTTTCTGGTTAACTGTAGCAGTTATAATAATATGGTCGTATTACGTTTTAATAAAGTCGTTAGCTTTTTTTAGTCGTTTTTCAACATAAAACTACACGCAATAACATTTAAGGTTTCCACCATGTCGCTATGTCTTTTGACTAAATTAAAAAAAAAAAAAACCGAAATAATGAATATTGGGGATAGACTCTTGTTGTGTAGGCGGGAACTTAGTAGGTGTGGGATAGGGGGTATTATAGTTTGTATTCCATAAAGCATTGATAAATTATTACAATCAAGAAATTATTTTATACAGAGCTCGGTAAACTAGTAATTGGTAAGGTTAGTCGCGTGTTTATGTGGCTTTGAAATAAAACCGATGTATCATCATTAATTGATGTCGGTTTTGGCACGTTTTTAGGAAAAACCGTTAGAGAATCTCTTTCTCAAATAAAGTAGCCCAATCGAAAAACCCGCATCTTTTATGGCACGATGTAAATAAATTATGGCATTTTAATACTAATCGAAATATTAAAAAAGAAAAATAATAACATCTTACAAAAGTATAACTTCACTTAGTATCAACAATTTGTATTTTATTTCATACGATTTCAGGTTAATCACAATGTTTTCAATATTGTTTTGTATTCAGGATTTTGTATTGGAGTAGGGGAAGGCTAAATACGTTTTTGCATGGATCATGATAAACGTAAGTAAGAGAAGTTTGAGGGATCGACCCCCAAAAAATAATTTAGAAATAAGTTTTCATTAATATGCATTTTAATGTACCTAATACTTTAAACAAAAATTGATAAAAATAAACTTAATAATGAAATGAGAATATAAAATATTATGTATATGTCTTGTAACTAGGTATGTACCAGAGGTGGCTAACCTTTTTTGGGTCAAAGTCAAAATTTAATTTAAAATTATGTATGTTATTTTATTATAATATACGCGTTTGTTTTATTTAATAAAGTATGTATAACTATTATTATATATTTTAATTAAATATAAAATATTGAATTATATATATTTAAAAAGGAATTATATTTTAGTATGATTTAGTATTGTTGGTTTTTAGCAAAACAATATTTAATACCAAGAGTGTAATATAAAAGTTATAGAATACAAGAGGTGTATTTTGGTTTCATTGGCCAAAGCACCTCTTAGCTTCGATTTGATCAAATTCATTATAAAGAATAAACTTTCACAAGCGTAAGTTGACGAAATTTTTTTTAATATAGAACATGGTACTTTTTACATATAAATATGTCTGGACGCCAATTTCAGACCTTCAAAATTTAATTTTCTACATTTTTAGCGATAAAAATAATCTTATTGTCCATAGGAATTTTATCATTGTTATGTAAAAATTCAATGTACTTATTCAATATTTTCCTTAATTTTTTCTTAAATTCATAATTTTTACATTGTTATGATAAATAGGTTTTTTTCACGTGCCATTGAAATTTGACTACGCATACTATATAGGTTGGGTGCCACCTCTGCTATAAATATATGTAATATACAAAAATATACACCCCTCTGACAGCTACCTCCTCTCAGGAGAATTTTGAGCAAAGCAGAAATTACATCTACTTCGTTCATGTTTTCTTTTTTATTTACATTATAGTTATGGCTAACCCATTGGTCTATTTTCTGACCTAAAGGGCTGTTTCTTAAATCGTTTTTATACGGTTCAGCGGAGAAATAGTCGGAAACTTCTTTCGGAAGAAATAATCGGAAACGTAACATAGTATGCATATTGTATAATATATTATATAGCATACATATTCTCGGCCTACGGAGGAGCCCCTCTTGTCTACACTTCTGCATGTACCTAAATTTATCGATATATATTTTATCTGTTAAAAAATTATTTATTATACCTATTATACGCCATAAAATAACTAAATTACGATCTGATGTTATTTGACCTTATATTATTAATTATTATCGAATCAATTGGGTATTTTTTTTTTTTTTTTTAAGTGGCAACTATAACCCACGGGGTATTAATTGAAAACTCGATGATACGACGGGCAAAAATAATATTGCCAAAAAAAACCTCGTCTCGTACATCTTGCGATACGGTTTTTTTTTTTTTTATGCAATTGTGCGTATATACGATGACGCCTTTGAACAATGTGTAATATACTAACCAGGAGTGTGGAAATATCGATAACAACAATAGTAATGAAACGTATTAGAGCGAATTTTTATTTTCTAAACTTTCCTTTTTTATACTGATAAAAATACTACACGAATACACACATGATCTTGCATAGACGCGTTGGGATAAAAAAAACAAAACACATCGCCATCTCATCAATGTAATTTATTTTCTTCAATAAAGTTTTAGCCGATTACTATATATTATTATTCTGTTTGTGACATTACAATCGGAGATCGTAGATTAATGGTACTTCGAAGGTCACCGGTTTAAAAACACAATTCGATTTTTTAATATTATATTCGTACGTAGGTTATGTTTATATAATACAGGTAGGTATTCGTTCGCAGGAGTGTTGTTTTTTCTTTTCCGTCCGCGCGCATGCTAGCGGACAGGAAATAGGAACGATAGATAACGAATTCGACACGACCCTATATACCTTATTAGTTATTGTAAACGAATAATAATTCGCGAATTTATTTTGTTTTAGAGTCGCAACACGTCGTATATAATATATCAATACGTATAAAATATAATAATAATTATAAGTGTTTTAATTTTGGCGTTGTCCGACCTCGCCATTGAGTTTATGATAGGTATTTAGTATTTATTTTGCAAAACGATTTACGTTAGTTATCAATAATGATTTCTAAAAAAAAAAAAAAATAATAATAATAATAATAATAATAGATAGCATCATTAAAATATATTATCTTTAATTCGTAATAATACGAAATAATAAATTTGCGTTAAATCGAATACATCACGTTGCATTCCATTAATTTTTTAAAATACTAAGTGTGTACATTGTTGTAAATAATTACAATCATTTTTTTTTTTAATATTTGTTGTATCCATCGTGATAATTCTAATGATTGTTTTAGAATAAATAAATATACTATTATGTGTTGTGTTAGTGTATTATATAATCGATCATTCATAGAGTAGGTATTTTAGTTAATTTCTATTGTACTAAATACATAATTTAAGAAAAATGCTAATTAACCATGGGTAATAACGGCAAACCAGTTTCTTATAAAAACTTGTATATTAGGTATTTACTATTTGAATAAAATAAATCGTCACACTTAACCAGTGGCGTACCTAGATGGAAAATGGGCAGTTAAAATACTATACCAGCTTTAACTTATATAATCTTTATGAAAATTCGAAATATACCCACACGTAACATTTTTTTTCCAAGTGTGAATACATATTATGGAACTACAAATGAAAATAATAAACGGATCATTTTAAATATGCAAAGTAAAAAGGAAATCCAGTGTATTACACTATACAACTTATATTTATCAGTAATATTACTGATAACTGATGTACTGAGACAAAAATATTTGTGTTTGATATTTGATTTCACAATATAATAATACTGTCAAAAGACTATTTCACAATTTATTATTTATGCGGTAATAGTTATTTCAGCCGTCTTTAATCGCAGACCATTGTCGTGGTCGTGATACAACGGCAAACAATGTTTATTGCATATTATTGTATGTATTATTATTCTATTTCAATCCCATAATTGTGACTGGAATTACACGTACAATTCGGAACATTAAATACATCAAAATTTTGCAATTATTTTTACGGAATAATTTCAGTATTGTCCAAGGACACCGAGGCCCCCTGAGCTCTAGAGCCCTGGGGCACTGTCCCACTTTGCCCTAAGATAACTAAGCCTCTGCATATTATCTATGTATAAATGCAATGGCATAGTGGCCAATGAAGGACATTTTTGTAAATTGAATCAAAATTTGTTTCGAGGAAACAACACGAAAACACGATTAAGGTATCATAATATGTACATTGTTTTTTTTCTAAGGCATATAACAGCCTTTAAAAACCAGTTCTCCTTTAATATGTCACTATCGTTTATCACTATGCTTTCTGTTGTTGCGTCTCTCCGTGTTGTATCTCGGTTTCCACCATTTCTTTATATTCCTTAATACATAATCTTCCCATTATAGACGAATTCGTTTTCCCGTACCGGACTCTCCTCGATCACTGTTTCTATTAATGCACATGCTCGGCCCATTATATCCATCTCAATGAAATCTCCCTAGTTTATAGCACTAGTGAGTTGAAACAGATTCACGAGATGACAGTTTTATTCATTCATGTTCCAAAAATATTTTCGAGGTTTTCTCTTTTAGACACTTCTAACATTTTTCAATTCCGCTTTCCTGTATTCCCGATCAGTATTACAGGTACACCATCATTAACCAGTATTAAGCATGTCAAAATTATATAATTATGTAAAATATTAAAATAAAATACTTAGAACGTAGATGAGCCATTGTTGTAGGTGAGAAATTGAGAAAGTAGTAGAGGGGAAATTTAACGTATGTCTATACGCAACGATAAACCATTGCTAACCATTGACCACAAATTACGACTTGTAACAAACCTCCTGTTAAATGTTCAAGCATTTCTATTTAGTCAAACAATTTTATGCACAGAGTACCTAATGAATATAATTTACGTAAAAATCTCACAAAATATAAATGTCTATAAATAGCTCAAAAAAGGCTCAAATGTTTAGAAAATTTTACCACGTTTAAAAAAAGCAAATAAAAATTGTTCGTTAAAATTTCAAGTCTGTACGAATATTTTTAACTAAATTACATTGAAAGAAACTTTATTTAAAATAATAAAAGAATAATTTTCTTACATGTTCACGTTGTTTCTACGTATTTTTCGGTTTTGCTAAATTTTTAAATAAACTGCAAGGAAAACCAAAATATTAACTACTTATTCACGAATGAGATTGAAAATACAACAAAAAAAAGTTTCTTATCATTTTTCTATTGGAGCAATATATATGGTAGAAAACATAAGCCGTAACAATTTTAAATAATGAAATCGTTGCGCCGTAATTTGCTGATAAGTTTTTACCACAAATATTGCTTCATAAAAAAAATTATAAGAAATCGATTGGAACAATATTTCTGGTAGAAAACATAATTTTCAAAAATAAAAAACAATGAAAACGGTAACGCCGCCGTATGCCGTAAATATTTGCTATTTTACCTATAATTTTATTTCTGGTTTTTTCCAATTATTTTTAAACCCCATAGAAAATCAAAAAATGACCACCCCAATGAAAGAAAATTACTCTTCAGAAAAGTTACTACGCTTGATACTTTGGAACAAGAATTTTGGTAGAAAAATTATTCATGCATTAGTAAAATTTATATAAACGGTACTACCGGTTATAATTGATAATTGAAATTATTATAAAATATATTTCTTTACCTTAACCAATTTAAATGGGTAAAATAGGGGTTTTTAGGTATTTCTGATACGAATATCTAATTTTTTATGTTGATTTATTTATTAATTTTGGTTATTCATGGATTACCTTGATGATAATTCGGTTGTTACAGACTAGAAAATTATTATTATTGTTATTATTATTACTACTCGTATTATTTACACTATATTATCTAGTAATAACAAACCATTGTCGGGTCAGTTAGTATCAGTGTTTATTTCAGACCTTCATTCTTGGGGGGGGGGGGTATCGTAAATTTCCAAGGGGGTATGCCAAAGGCAGAGTCAGAGTAGGAATTTGTACACCAATGATTTTTTTTTTTTCGTAGCTCGTTAAAATGCGGTTACCTACTTATATAACCCAATATTTTTTTTGAATTTTACTGTCAACAAGATGACTCATAATCGTTACTCATTTCACATATTATATTATTACACGTAGTTTACATAATAATGCCGAACATTTCAGGGGTGGTATATATTTATCTGCGGAGAGGGTAATTCCTCACGTTTATCCCCTTAAATAAATACTGGCTAATGTTACATAAATAAATACGAAGCAGTTTACAAATATTATTTTGCCATTAATGTTATTTAATTTTTTATGATTAGAACTTGAAATAATAAACGATACAAGTTTGCAGTGTTGCTATATAGATGGTAAAGATAAATCAGAGTGTGCGGAATATTAAACGACGCTTTTTTTCAGAAGGTGTGTGGTTATGATATCCGCCGTTTTTAACGGACGATAAAATTATTCGCGACCCGATCGAATATCTACTACAATAATATATCTATTATTTATATAATATGCAGAAAGTTTTCGTTTAGGCGCCAAAAAAATATCTTAATTATTAACGGGTTGTAATACAATAAATTATTTTTATATTAAATGATCGTGACAAAATCTTAACGCCGTAATATATATTATTTTTTTAATATTTATTTTGTATGCGCAAAGCAAATATCCACAGTCTCGTTAATATTGGCGAAGCGACGGCGACTCGGTCGACGGTATAGTAATGATGCGTCGCACAATATACATTTTATTGTCAACGACAATATACACACGTGTACCATACCTAACCGGAGATATAAATTTGAATAAGTAATTTTTTCCAATCCAAAGAAAAATACACGTATGGTCTTAATATAATGTTCAAATTCACAATATCGATATAGCGCTCGGTAAGTAGGTATAATATAGAGTTCGCAAAACCTGGAGGATCAGTCATCACCCCGCGGTGGGCCACGATTAGGCAAATAACTATGCAATCGATAGTTTTTCGTTAAAATGGCGTATACCACTAAAAATACTTTTTGGTATCAAAAAAAAAAATCAGAAAAATTTGGAGCACAAACTGGTCAAAGGACGTATTTAAATACAGGTAATTAAGTTAATAGTATCGTCTACAAGATATCCAGGCGTCTTTTTAAAATATAATTAAATCAACACTGATTTGTTAAAAAGGCGTATACTACATTCAACGCATGTATACTTTGTGTACAAGGTTATAATAAAGGTATAATGTGTAGGAGCAATTGTATTGTTTTTCATGATAAACATTATTAAAAACTGTTTTGTTGTTATTTTTGCTTCCTGAAAAAAAGTGAAATTTGTTAGACGCCATTTTAACAAAACACCGTCGCAGTGATCAGCTTATCTGCACGATTTAGGAATGAATGACCGTCGCGCGTCTTATTGTTCTATACGCTAACGAATAACATACTAATAAATTATTGTACAATGTATATATCTTTTTATTTTTATTTAGACTCAAACGTTTTGAGCACAAATGAGTTAGAATTGTTTTATAGGTGGATTGAAGTTTTAAAAGGTTGAACTTCAATATGGATTTCTCCATGTTATTGCTGCGAGAGGAGAGTGGTTTTAGCTTTGGACACTCTTAAAAATCCTTCAAATAAAGCCAGAAGAATGACATTTTGTCCATGCATCGTAACGTTAGTACCGAGGATATGCTTATTGGAGGTTTTAAATTTTAGCTCTCATTTCTGTACCATCTTTATGCTCAAGTTTCACCATATTTTTGATAGTAATATAATATCGTACAATATAATTATACAGATAGTATAGAATTGTATTATTATAATATTCGGTTATTTAACCTACAAAATCGGTTACAAAATAGGTTTAGGAAAATTCAAGTGTAAAAACGGAGCTCTTCTGCTCACGTGTTTTTTTTTTTTCTAAATTTTCTTCTAATGTCGTCTGTAAACCAATAGGATGTACAGTAAAGAAAATTCGATTTTGCGTTCTAATATAATGCGGGCATGCAGTGCCGCCCGGAAATCATATTTCTTTGAAAAATTATCTCAATTTCCTAAACACGCTACTGCGGCGTCTAATAATAGTCACGGTTGGATTTATTTTAGATGGTTTTTATTATTATTATCAACGTACTATTGAACTACGAGACGGAAATATGACTTTGAATATAGTCGAATCTGCAGCAGTGACTGAGCTACAGTTTATTATTTGTGTACGCATATTATAGTATTATAGTAAAATTATATAATATTATTTTTAAACTTGCGTGGTGTCGATCACGTCGATCGCGGGCGTCCTTCGTGCGATTTATTATTATTATAACGAGACGCTATAAAAGCTGTTGCATACTACTAACATAATTTGATTATCGGATCGGGTCGACGACGGCGGCGGAGAGTTCGACACTCGAGAGGTCTCGGGAGATAAAGTATTGGTTTGGGGTCGCCAAAAAACGTGTTAGACATATTTTTATACATACGTTTCGCCTTTACTAGACGCGCTATTGCCAAACGCAATATTATTTTGTTACCGAAATGTAGATAATAGTCGATGGTATTAATCTCGTGTTTATAATTTTTTAATTTTTTTTTTTTTATTATTTTAATGGTATATACAGACTGTCCCACGAATATATATACCTTGAATATCTCCGGAGATAATAAAGATAATCAAATTCTGTTTTTTGTTAAACTCACAGGGAAGATGTCTACGGATAGTTGAATTAATTTTTTTTAATTCAAAAAAATAACTTTATTTTATTATTTTCGGAAAATTTTAAGACAGCCATTCTGTAAAGATTATTTTTCTGAAAATTGTAATGTATCACACATTTATATCCTATAAATAGTTTCTAAGTAACAGCCGTTTTAAATTCTACTAATCCGTAGTGTGAAAACCGATGTTATATAGGGAACAACTTAACCATGTTACGCGATGTATATTATTATTATATACTATCATAATAGATGTCTACTAGGTACTCGAAAACCGATCACGTCTATCAATCGTTACAATATTATAAATACCAGTGCACCATCAGTTTAATAATTAATATTTTTAAACTCGTGTTAATTGAGTATTATAGGATCAGAATTATTACAATTTAAACAAAATTATTTAACAGATGCGACGTCGTACAAATTGCTGCACAACATATTCATGTTGTCTACATATTGTTCACGGAAACAATAAGAAACATTTTGTACGGAATTTGTTCCGTTGGAATAAGAATAAACATGTTTAGTGGAAAACGTTTTTTTATTTTTTTTTTTCTCGGAATACATACGTTTCTGTCGTGCATATACGTATTTCCTGAAGAATTACCTATAATCCTGTCTGAAAAATATTACGATAAAAAGTAGCGATAGTAACATTCATAATACATGAGCATATATCGTCAAAAACGACGTTCTAATTTAGATCCGTATGTTATTGTTTGATTAAATTTCGACGACCTGCCGCCGGGCTGATAACAATTTAACTCGAGGTGGATATATTTTCAAGAGTAAGTATACACCTTGAACGTATTATGCTATTATATACTATAAGTATATCATCTATAATAATGTGTACGCACATTAGCCGTGTCAGCGAAACGTTTTCGTTACCTATAATTTCTACACACCTGATAAAAACGCATTCGTTATTCTATAACAGGACTACAGGAGAGCACGTGTGACGTCATCTGATGCAGCTACATATATTGATACACCGACGCCACTGCCGAGCATTTTTTATTCTGAGCATAGCGAGGAATATATTGATTTTACTACGCTCTTTTTTCTGAAAAAAAAAAACCGGAAAAACGGAAATATTTACACAATAACGGTTTCTGTTATTTTCGATTTGGTTTTTTTATTGCGATTCAGTAAAAATAATCGTAATAATCTGAAAATTTTACTGAATACTATTATTATAATAGTAATTATTTTTAAACGTAGCATAAATAATTTTCAATATAATCTGATGTATTTCGAGTTGTTTATAGCCGTTTGAAAATTGCTTTACAAAAAAAAAGGTTTTAAATTTCGCGAAAGAGTCAATGTATTGTTAAAATTGAAAACCTGGTGAGTGATGGTGACAAACGGGGCTATTCAGGTGTACGCGATACAGCTGACCTATATAATAAATTTGTTTGCACGGGCTCGCCCGGAAACACATTTACTGGCATGCTTCAGTAATAATTTGTTATCGAACTCGACTCGCACCGGATGGGATGATGTTATATACACCTAAAGGACTTTTGATTTCCATGGGGGAGAGGGGGGGGGGGGTTGAGGCGAGGTTTACAAGGCATTTTATAAAAATGTTTGTATTGCTCGAATAATTACTGTTTGACTTGTTGCGGCCGCAAGACAATTTCACCGGGGCCGGTGACTTTTTATGCGTTGTGTACTCGTATGAAATTCGTATATTATGTCTTATACACCTTAACCTAACCTATATAATACAGTAACGGTTTCCCAAATGCGTATAGAGGTTAGAGTTGTCGCGATTATTTAAACGTAAAATGTAAGACAAATCACAAAAAAGTAAATTTTTTATATAAGAGCAGTACATTATGACCATGTTTATTCTCGAAGAATAATAACGGTATAAAGCAATATGCGAAAATCGTCGCGTGAGAAAATACACGACATTACCTGAATAAGTACGATCACAATATAAAGGTAGATTTCGGAGTGCACAAAGACGGTCATAAATTATTTGGGAGGTATTCCAGTGAACCGAAATTTAATTAAACACTGCAAATACTTGATCAGGGGCTACGAATTACCTCTAATTTGTCATTTCGCCTGTGCACTTATAAGTCACATACCGGGTTAAAAAAGCCAAGTTAATTAACAAATATAGTTATTAATAATATACAAGATGATTCACTAAGCGTACGACTCACCCCATTTTTTGGGTATATTTTGCATATTACATTTAAATTCTGGTTTTAGGAATTTTTAAGTGTAATTAAAACCGATATTTTCAAATAATAAACATTTAAGAAGTTTCCTAACTGTAGTGATATCAACTTTGGTTTTTCAAATGAAAACAGTCGAAAGGGCAGTCTTGAATAAATTTCAAGTGAGAACCTATACTGAAAAATCTATAAATAGGTGCAGTATTAGTTCAAATAAAAATTCTTCAAAAAATGTTTGATTTCCATCAGTCCGTTGACGAGATATTTTTTTTGAGTTTAGGTAGGGGAAGAGTAATGGCAGTACTAATAAAACGCTGCGCTCCGTATCACCACACAAATGACACTCTCCTAATTCTCCTTACCTAAACTTAAAAACAGAAATATCTCGTTAATAAGTTCACAGAAATCAAAAGTGTTAATTCCAAAATTTATTTAAACTAATGTTTATGTATTTTAGATTCTGAGCGAAGCGATGAATCTTTAGTTTTTACAATGACGTTTATTTTTTTTCCGTGAACAACATTTTACCTGAAATTTTGCTCCGATTTTTAAGTTTTCAAGAAAATCACTCTGTATACTTATACTTGTTATGTGATATATTTTTTTACAAATTGTCAGTCTCGGTTTTTTTTTATATATATTTATTAATATTCACAGCATCTTGCAGTATTGTGCCTATATAATGTATTGTCTAGAGATATACTCGTATTATATATTGGTAATAATAGAGACAAAATTAGTTTTAATAAACCATCCTGTAGTTGAGCGATTATGCGAGTAATAATGGGCGATATACTCTCGTTAATCTAAAATTAATTAATGCTGTTGTCTCGGTTTTTGAAACTCTGGAAAAAAAATGGTAGGCTTTTTTTGTTTGTATACGGGAGGCCTGTACTAGCCGTTTTAATTTTTACTGTATATAATTGATTTTAATTGTTAGCTAGTATAATATTTGTTTAATACCTACAACGGTGTAAAATGGCTTCAACATAATATACCATCAAGTTGTACGCTACATATATACCTAGTTATAATAATACGCTATTCGATTTTTATCAGTGCTGAGATAATGTAATAGTTGAATAATGTCGCGGTCCCTTTTTTTTTCTCTGCATCAGTCAACACTTTTCATACCATGTATTATTATGGTCGTACAAGCGTTATCTAATTTGATTGAAACTTTGTCATACTGCTGTTGATATAATTTTTTATTTGATTGTAAAACAAATAATTACCATTTTAATGAAACTGTATAGGTAGGTATATACATTATGTAAGTAAAAGAAAATGTATTATTATTTTTCGAGTACACGTAGTGTTCCATAAATTATAAAACAATATTTTCATATTTTACGATTTTAAATTTAAATCATTAGCTATATTTCTAAAATAATATTGTACAATGTTTCTAAGAATTTGTTAAACGATTTCTTCAAACTGTGTTGTTTTAACTCAATAGTCAATAACTCATTGTATTAGTGTAATTGATCTAGTTATATCAGCTTAACTTTTAATAAGCTCATTTAATAATATAGTTAAATAATATGCTAATGTGGAACATCTGAAATTATTGAACTTATTAAAATTAAATATCCATAAATAAGTTCATGTGTTTATTTGTAATGTACTTTGTATACTTTTAAAAAGTATTTGCATTTATATTCAAATACTTTTAAAAGAAAGTATGTTTAATACAACTGAATATAAGGAAGTCATTTTGAAACGGGAAATAATATCGGCGTGGATTTTTGTTCTTTTATGTGTGTTAAGTAATTTAATTTAAGTAGTTATAAAATTGATTTTTTTTTCTCCCAATAATAGGTTATTCGCACCTAATTATACGATTTTAGATTCTTATCCTACAAAATGAGAATGTAGGTATTAATAATGGTTTTATAATGTCGCCTTGTTTGTTTTTTTTTTAGTCTGTAAACAACGCGATAATACGTTCGTGTCCAAAACACGTGTGACTTGTTGTCGTAATATTTTTGCATATTTTAGTAGAAATGCATACATTAATAATTGCACATAAAACATTGTATAACAATATGAATATTCTACAAAAATATTTGTATACTAAAAAAATTGTCCAAAAAGTCAAATTACATATTATCGATACCTCTATTTTTACTAGATATTTTTTGACGCGTGTATTTTTTTTTTTTTTGTACTTAAATCCTGGTACTAATAAATATAGCTATTACATAATATTATAATTAAAGATAGTTCACTGTATAAGTGAATAATGGAGAATACCGAGTATTTATATTGAAAATGTTTTTTTTTAATTTCAGCACATTAGCCTTCGATTGCTGAAGCGAATTATGATCATGCTTTGGTTAGGAGTATTGTGTTTGGTGTGTGCCCCGTTTTTCGGCTTCGGTCTTTATTGGGACTCGGACAAATCGCAGTGCATCCGTTATCGAAACGCCAAAAAACCATTGGACGTGCTGTACGCTTATTTATACTTCAGTTACGGTAAGTTATACGCCCACGGCGACTGTCTATATTACATATATAACAATATTTAAAAATATATACCTACGACACATAATAACATTATTATATAGTTATACAAACATTGAAACATTATGATACGTTTAAAAATTAAAACTTTTTTTTATTTTATCAAGAACCAGTTATTTTCTCAATATCACAATCATAAAACAATAACTTAAGTACATAGACTTTTTATGCCAATTCAAGTGTATACCTATCCTGTAGCAATATGAACTTTTGTTTTTTTCAAATTTACTTACAATATGTTCAGCATTTTCCGAAAAACCGAATTTGCTCAAATCTGCATTATTTAAGTACAAAAATGCTGGAGTGAGCGTACTTAAACGAATCACCCTGCATACAGTACCTAATCGCAATCACAGTCAGTCGCCCCGAACATGGGGGTCTTCTTAGGGCAAATCCTACAGCACTTTTTGATAGTGGCAGGATGGATTAAGATAAAGGATTGATAATTTTAACACTTTAACATATTATAATATTAAAAGTAGGTAATTGTTTGTTTTTGTGGTGGTGGTTGGATATGTGTAAAATAATTTTGACACTGGGAGTTTGAATAAAGACGGATGCCGCTGATTATAGTGCGTATAATATTATTAGTGTTATTTTTTTTTACGGACCCACAGGTGTTTTTCTGTGTATCGCAATAGTCTACACCAATACGGCAGTTATGAAAGCTCTGTGTATGAAGGATAACCCTCATAGTGTTTTGATGAGACGCGCGAGTCGAGGAAACTTGACCAATGCAGCCACACGGGAAGAAAGGGCATTCGGATGGCTTATGTTTTTGCTGTGCGTCGCCTTCCTCATATGTTGGGTTCCACAAATGGTAATATTAGACGTCGTTCATAATATTATTATATTGTATTGGTGTATTATAAGTATATGTACCACAACGACATTTCGCCTCTCGCAAATAATCTCTCCCCCATTGAAAATCTGTAGAGTGGACATTTCTCACTATTCCAAGAAAACTAAGAATAGGTATTTGGACCTGGAGTTAAGAAGAGCTGAATTAATTTGTTGCGTAATTTTGAAATAGGAATTAATATATAAAATTTGATATTTTTTTTTGTTCTAAAGAGGTAGTATCTTGATCATTAAAATTACAAAAATTAGATGGATCAATGTCGAAAACAAAAATATTTATGTCATTTCAAAAGTGGCCATTTTGACTTAAACCTATAAGTTAATTCAAGAAATTTAGTTTGGGTCTTCTTAACCCAAAGGCCCAGATATATACGTCAAATATACATCATTATGATTGTAGTTTGGAATTTTGAAAGGTACAAGAAATATACAATGTAGGGTAATTGAGCCTGTATACGGAAGAAATGATAAATGATTACAAAAAAAAAATTGATTTTGAACGGTGCTTAGTAAACTGTTAAGGTTATATTGTGTTGTATTAATATCGTTTACAAGTCATTTTTTGCAGTTAAGAACCCAATGTATACAGTCTAACTTTTAGCATTGTTTTTAGTCAGTAATTTGATTGGTCTCTGAATTTTTGGCCAGGGAAATACATTTTGAAATATCAAATAATTTTTCATATTATATAAGTAGATAATATGGTTAAAGGTTACTTAATGTACGTTATATTTGTTCATCGTCCCGAGTAATTCGTCACATTTTTAAGAATTATTTTTATTTATCTCGTATTCGAGATTTGTCTAAAAGAAAAAAATATTTAATTCTGACAATAATATTATAATAATTATACGCATATTTGAGTTACGCAACCATTTTGTTTTTGGTTTTATTAATCCATTTTTTACGATAGTAATACAAATTTGAGAACGATGTTTATACTGCAGTTTTGTATTGCATTAAGTGGCATGCAATAAAATTACATATTATTGTCGATATTTAATCCTTGAATACTATACTCGGTTAGTTTAACAATTTAAAAAAAAAAAATCGAACAATGGGTTACACGATAACATTTTTTTTATCCACGTTTTAAAAACTTTAAGGTATACGACGATTACATAATTGATCATGCATTCCTGATAGCGCAGTGCAATGGTTATAAGTTGTCGCATAAAATAAATAGGTATTATAGATATATATATATACCCACCACCTAACTATTTCCTATCACTATTTATAATAATCTATATATGGACAGTCGTAATCCAACATCAAAATAAAAAACCAGTTTATAAAACTTGGGAATCGATGTTAGAATAAAAAAAGAGCTGGTACTGCCACCTATGGGTGTCACTGCTGAAGGGGGCAAATTGGAAAACTAGGAAACATAAAGTTATTATTAATTTATATCTCTATATGAACAATATACCATTGTTAATATAAAACAATACTGAGCTAGTTATTAGTCGGATTTTTCCGCTTTCCAGTGATCCAGAAATTAACGAAAATTGTACAAAAAAATTTCAGTTTTTCCTATTTGTTAAGAAAACTGATAGAAAACCAAAAACGTATGTCCCCACTGCACCAACTAGATCAAAAACACTACAAGAGTTTTTCTAGAAACTTTTTGATTGAAGCAAAATTTCTAGTAAAAAGTTGTTTATTTACATAAACGTATCATATTTAAACTAATACAATCCTCGCTTCTCGCAAAATTTAAAAACTGAGAGCTATATCTTTCATAAATAGGTATTATAAATTTCACAATCAGTTTGAACACGTGACCGTGGAAAATTCTATGATTTATTGTATTGTATAATTATTATAAAAACCAACTATATACCTATTCATGTCTCCCTAACCTAGTCTAACCTACGGGAACACATTCAGTTTAGAGTCCACGAATTCAAAATATTATCGAGAAAAATTATTCGATAATCAATCTCTTGCACGTATGATGATGTGATAAACGTAGCTAACCCCAGAAACAATATCCTGGTTGAATTCAGGGACGGATCTAGGGAAGGATCCTAGGGGCCAAGGCCCCCCAGACATATTATTTCTTCAATTTTTTTTATGATTCTATGGATCCTGAAATAACTATATTTCAATCACTGATATGCATAATAAAATAATATATTATATTTTAATTGTATTTGTGTTGTAAAAAAATTTTTGCCTCCCCCCCAGATCTTTGCTCTGGATCCGTGCCTACTTCGATTTTTTAGTTTTTGATTTTTAATATGGTAATAATATTTTGTTTAAATCTGACTTATTTATTTATAATGTATCTTTATTCAATCTGTATGCAAACATCCGTTCCTTAAATATTGATGAATTTTAGTCGGGCCCATATCGTAATAATCGGAAAAACGCACAGTTTAGCGCCGCGACAAAAAAACGTAAACTCAAAATATTCTGCTCGAAGTTCAAACGAAGCATTATCGTGTAAAAAATAAATAAATAAAATTAAAATTATGTATAGATATTTTTATTATAATATTGTTTATTTTCTCCGCTGTAGTTTGTTCCGAACCGAACATGATGAGAATTAAAGAATATCTAATTCCAAATCGAAAATATTTATATATTCTCAAAGAGGCCATATTTGAAGAAAAAAAAAACCGTTCCCAGAACGAATTTATAAACATATAATAATATTATCTTATAAGTTATAGTATAATACGCAACTAAAAAACCGGCTAAAACTCGGTTTCTACTTTTCTAAGAGAGTGGACACGGACGGGTGGAAGGTTGCCCACGCCAATATATATAAGTCCGTTACAAGATAATATTATAGGTATGGCTACAACGTTATAACAACATTTCATTTGTATTTTATTAATTTTGTCGGTTAAACATAGGTATACGGATAGACAGCTCCAGTCGCAGATATACATGTATTATAAATCCTCGACTAGTTTTTACCGTGATAAATGCACATATAAATAATTTATGATCACTCGCAAGGTGCTGCGGGAATTGGTATAGGCATACCTACTCACAGGGGGCCAATAGTTGGGAAGTTTGAATTTATAAATTAGGAAAAGTTGAAATTTTAATAGACCTGTGTGTTTGGAATAAACTCGTTCGATATATTGATTCTAATCCACACAATTATTATTATTTTTATCGAGCACATTTTTTATGACCATCATTTCGTTGGCTTTCACTGAAATCAAATCTATAACCTTCAATAAATCCTCCTCAAAACAATTGCAACTTAAAATATTATTCACACCAAACAAAAATAATTGCTTAGAAAACCGTGATAATAAAATTAGTATAGTTAAACATAGAATAATTACCCTTTCTATAATAGTATTTTTAAAATTGAGATTTACGATGGCCTAACATTTTTCGGAGTTAATCACACCTCCCTAGTCCCTGACTATAAAGAAATTTAAAAAATCCTGATTTTCGGAAAATCCACGGTATAATTACGCGAGTAACATCTAATAAATTATTCGGGGAAGTATCATTTACATCGGCGATTCATATCCACATTTTGAAATCGTTCACGTACCTACCACTTGACACGGTTATTAAGCTTTTTTTTTCACTTATCAAAAAATTTCTTTGCGTATCACCTATATGAGCTTTCAGCGTACCACAGGTCGAGAATAGCCAAAACAAAATTGGTTTGTTTACACTGTATAATAGTTGACACAGAGGTCAAAGTCGTCTAGACTTTGACAATTAATTTTATAATCATAATAGCAATAGCAATCATATTAATAATAATTAAGTACTACAGAGATAATAATATAATATTGTAATGAATAATTGTTCGTAATTTAATCAATTAAATAATTAATTAAAGAATGATTTTAGTATCACATACCTACTCAGTATTTCATAAGTACCTATATAATTTATTATTACCTAATACGATTATTTTCGATATGGGACGTACTATGGAAAATAAATAATAATGTTTTAAATACCTACCTATTGTACATCTGTTTTAATCCGGCATACTTGATTTACCTATGCACAACTTTCGGGAATGATATATAATTGGTTCAATTATAGATTATAAGTGTAGCAAAGAAGCTATTAAAGTTTTTCTAAAATGTATTTTTTCTTTCACTTTTTAGGTTAATAAAAAGTGCAACGATATTTTCGCGCGTTAGCTTAGAGATACGGAATTTTCTCCTTTAAAAATAGTAAAAGGTTACCCTTAGATCTTTTAATTTTTAATTTTTTTTTTTTTGTGAAATAATTTTTTAGTTCGTAAAACGTGTCAAATTGCTTGAGCCGAACATTTCAATTCACCATAAGTGCTCTAATAACTATAGCGTTTAGACATACAATTGCCATTTTATATTATATACAATATGTAAATTAATTGTAAAGTGAGAAGGTCTAATTCGAAATATAATGTAGATATTGTAGTGTAGTTTTTTTAAATGTAATTTAGGACTAGTAGTCTCCCTTTTTAATGGTCTAAAATTTAAAAAAAGTCAAGAACCACTAAAATTGTTTTTTGATTTAAAAAAAAACTGTTTAAAAATTCGAGAATAGTTGTTAGAGAATGTTTGTAGAGTTACTTATTTAAAATAACGCAAAAAAAAAAATAATTTTAAAATCAGTTGAATTTTGAATGAATGAAAGAAACTCCTATTTCCAAAAATACAGCATTTAGCAATGTAGGTATATATATATATACCTACAATAAATAAATATTATTACTCTCTTATTACACTCTTTATTACTTTTAGATTAGCGTTTTATAATTTTACAATATTATGCTGTATTTTTGGAAATAGAAGTTTCTTTCATTTATTCAAAATTCAACCGATTTAAAAATTGTTTTTTTTCCATGCTTTAAATAAATAACTCTACAAAATAGCTATTTTCGAATTTTTAAAAATCAAAAAAAAAATTGTAGTGGTTCTTGTAGTTTTTTTATTTTTAACCATTATAAAAGGGAGGCTATTAATCAAATATTACATTGAAAAAACTGCACAACAATATCTGCATTATATTTCGAATTACAGTTCTTGACTTTTCAATTAATTTACGTACTGTATACCTATACAGTACCAAATACCTATATACTTAACATCAATAAAGTAAACTCATTAAATTTCCTAAGTAAAATAAATGAGATTCGTTTCTTTGTTTGACGTAATTAAGACTTATGAGGGTTTTCGATGGATATACAAGAGACAAGACTTGTCTGCCTATCTAAGATACTACGCTCATTTCTGCAGTGGCGTAATCACGGGGAGTCTGGATGTCCATTCCCTCCTTTGGGCTTTTTTTTTTGTGTTAACTACGTCTATAATTCTAAAATAAAAAGTAATTATCTTGACGAGGATTAAACGATTACTTTCTGCTATCTTATTTACAATAACTTTTATATCATAATATAGTACATGGGCAAAGACAACAACACTGCCAAGACTAGATAGGTAGGTTATAAAATCCGAATATTTGGGAATTTTCTTCATAGAACCATGTCTATAATAATACATTATTATCATAGATAATTTATTTAAAGTGTGTTTGATAGATCCAGTGGTTGTACTAATATATACATGAATTAGCTGTGTGTAAAACCAAGAAAATTACCTATATATGTATTAATGTATTACTATATTAGTTATATATTTATATATTATATTTGCTCAAAATAATGTACCTATATATAGGTACTCGTATGCTGTATAGTACCTACATAATAGTAATAAAACTGTACAATTACTTAAAAAAAATAATAGGTTTTTTAAATGTATACTTGAGACAAAATATTGATTCCTCCCACTGTAACCTAGCCCAATAATTATTACGCTACTGTATCTCAGAGTAATACCTATAGGTGAATGGAACACCGAGGGGAGCGAATACAGAGCTCAATTTGGAGTAGGCAGCAGAGGTGCAAATATAGTGCTGAAAAAAATAAATTAAAAGACCTTGTGAACCAAAACATACTACTTCATTCGGGTGTTGGAGGGGGGAGGAAATGACCACGTTGCCTCCTCTGGATCCATCACTAAACACCGACCGATAGGACAAGGCGTGCTGATAGGTAAATTTAATATTGGCGATATTCCAGCGACGTAGCGTTTAAGTAACATAAACTAGAGAAAAGATGGATTTATTCCAACTTTGGACATTTTTATAGGTAGGTCTTGCAGATTAGGGTTAGATACTCTGAATGGGGACCGAGATCACAACGGCCAATCAGAATTCTATATTAGCGACATCACGGCACGCCACGTCGCTGGGTAAACGCGAACATTATTCGGATATTAGTGTGACTTGTACGTCTTATACGACCTAGGTACTTTTAGTGTAACAAACGGAAAACGAAAAAAAAAACCATCGTTCGTGTCGATTATTGTTCGCAGATATGCATACCGTTGGCCAGGTTCGTGGACGAGAGCAAGATCAAACCGGTGTCGATCGCAGCCGACCTGTTAATAGCCATGCACTTCGCGCTCGATCCCTACCTGTACGTGCTGCAGCACTGGACGCTGGTCAAGTCAATTTGCCTAGGGCCGGAGACCAGGAAGACCGCGAACGGTGGCAGCACGAGCGTGAGTCGCAGCAGTTCGATGAGAACAACGTGCGAAGTATTATTGGAGCAGCCGCTTTGATGGTTATATTATTACCCGCGCAGTGCACGTGTGTTTATTTCTCTCTCTCTCTCCTATTTTTTTTTTTTTTTTGGAAACACTTAACGTGTATAATATACAACAATTAACTTGTACCCACAACACTTTTTGGCATGACGATGTTATGATATATACGAGCCCACCCCAATGTTATATCAATAATAATAGCATTATTGTTATAAACGAGGTTTAAACGAAATGATATTATAATGTGATGGTCACTGCGGTGTAAGATCTATATCGGTTATATGCCATCAACGTGGAGGGACAATACTGTACGAGTATAAATAATAATAATGGCAAAGGGGAAAATATGTCCAGGTAAAAATGTACCTGTACTTATACCAAAATGGCCATGAAAAGCTAGTGGTATAGCCTGAAATTTTGTTTGAGGGAAGGGACTAAGTCTTACTGAAAAAATAATTCCCACATTAAACATTCCCTTCAGTTAAACTTTCTGAAAAATTTTTTTTAACAAATTTTTCTTATAAAAAAAAATCGTATAAATATTGCTTCATATTAGATAGAAACGTGATTGGCTAGTGAGAAGACCCGTGATGAGGTAGTCTCATATAACCGAAGTACCGAGACACCGGTCTATTAAGCACGGCCGTGTGGTTAACTAATCATATCGTTGATAACATAAAAAAACATTTCACAATAATTTTATTATTAAAGTTTTCATAAGGATTTAAATTTTTTTTAAATGTATCAAGTAATATAATAATATAATATATCAAGTATTGACGGCTGTTGGCTAAAATAAACACGATCAATGGAAGAGAAGCAATGGTCCCTTTAGCCTCCTTTTGGCTACGCCTCTCACCACAGACAAAAATACGAAATGTCCAGTCAAAAATATGGTTACGGCAAAAATTGAAGATTTTAAAAAAATTTTAATTAAATTTTTTAATTTTGTCCATTTTTGCATTTGGTCATATTTTCCACTGATAATTTATGTATGTTACCATATTATTTTCCTCTGGCAATTTTGGTATATGAACATCATTTTTCCTCGACCCTTTGGCCATTATTACCGATTACTATAATATATATTGTATATTATAACTTTTAAGGACTGAGAGGACGACTGAACTGTATAATAAATGCATAGATGGATAAAAAAAAACAACCTATTTTTAAATAAGTTATTATTTTAGAATATATTTTTGGACATAAATTGTGTAAATAATTATGTTTTATATTATTCTTATTTAATTAATATAAGTATTACGATGTTAAAACCATATAGATACCCATGGCAAACATTTTTTTTTTCCCAGGTATTTGTTTCGTAGTAAAATCACGGGTTTTTTTTTTATGTAGATAACAGTGATGCACTCATCACTATTATACTATTAGCGATAACCTATTAGTTTTTATTATGATAATTGATAATTTTATAATACAATATTATGATCCAGTGAATTTATTATTATAAGTACCTACCTACTTAAATTTGACGCCTGTTTTTTTTTTCGACATTATGAAATTATTGTTAAAGCTTTTTTTCTACACTATATTTTAAATAGGTACCTTAAACGGTTATTAAATTAAATTAATTTTCAAATGACAACTCCATTCCCACCCGTTTGTCAATACATATTTTAAAACAAAATTGATACGCATGAGATTAAAACGCTGTACACACGCAACAGCATTTTGTTGTCTCAGTCTTATGAAACACATTACAAAGCAAACTTGCGGTCAGCTTGTCAGCTTGTCAAATTGTGCGCTGTTAGTTTTAATTGCTAAGTTAAATGACCTAACCCAATCCAACCCTAAATGGGAGAACATCATCAATACATTTGTGCGTGGGTTTGTTTGTTATTTTAATTTCCAAGCGAGATACGAGCGTGTGAAAAATCACCATTTTAAAAACTGTGATATTTATTTTAATTTACAATTTCTAATATCAATTTGATATTATACTGTTGTATTTGTGGTATGTATGTCGGTGCAGTCCGGCGGAAGGTCCAATGCAGCAAGTTTTCTCGGCGGCAACTTAAATTTCGATAACTTTTTTCCCAATCTCTATATAGGTGTATAATACCAAAAAAATGCAATGCGTTTCAAACGGACGGAGAAAATTCGATTGTTTCGCTCCCAAAACGTATTAATATGTCACTCCACTAAACAATATATTATTATGTAAGTACCTACTGACCATATAGGTATGTTGTAGCGGTAGGCGTAGGATTTGTATTGCACAGGTTATCATCAATTGTTATATTTTATTTTTTTTTTCAACAAATTAATACAGGTTTATTGATTTTTGCAATTCTTTCGTGCACAAACATTCAAAAATTTAATCTCGCAACGAATTCGTAAAGTTCACAAAAATAGGGTACCTATCTACAGGTTAGTCACCTCTTCCATATGATACAAATATTATACCTACCTATATAATATAATACGATGGTATGTTAATTTGTATAATACCTATGTTAATAAAAAAAAAGGGTACCTTATGTTGTACCTTTTTATATATTAGGCAGGTACTACTATTAGGTTAGTAACCACTAACGAATATATTTTATTTCAACTACTAGAGTACATAGTGAAATTTTTTGTTTCGGGAAAGGGATCAAGGAAATGGCTACAAGTAGTCAACTAATAATTAAAACAAATCAATTTGAGCCAAAATACTGGGATATTAAAAAAAATAAATCTATAAATAATTCGGGGTAATTGAGTCCTATAGGCACCCTCAATGGAATCAAATACGCCGCCGTAGGTACGTTAATTTACCTAAGTATTGATTTTTTAAATATAATATTGTAAAATTTATTAAAAATTCAACCGTTTACCACAGAGAAATGTATATTAAAGGTGTTTAAATATATATATATATATATAAAAAAAAAATAATAATAATAATTTTCATTATTTTTAGAGACGTTTTTCAATTTTCAACTATTACTTACTTAGTACCTATCCAATACATAGGTACAGGTTTTTTTTCAACGCGTGCGACACTTGGAATATAGTATAAATATAAATACACCATAGTGTATTATTTCTTCATACATAATGTTACATAGATACGGTACTTAACCGAGAGAAAAAAGTAGGTAAAATAAAATTAGACAATCGTAAATTCATTTTTCGGGGTAACCATTCCTGTAATATAATTATTTTCGTGTGCAGGTAATACTATACTATATAATACTTATTTTTTTTCGCCACTTTGCGCCAACTGCAGTATTATTTTGGTTAACTTACCTACCCACAATAGTAAAATGTTTGTTATTTTTGCATTGGCTTATATATCTATATAGTTGAAAATATAAAACGGGTGCCTAGGAAACTTTTTTGTAAAGAAATAATTATCTTTGTCCACCTATAGGTATACAATGTATACTATATGTATAGTATCTATGTATGATTTTGGCTATAATAAGACTACATAGGTAGACTCCAGTGGCGGATTTAGTTCTTTGCTTAGGGGGGAGGGCAATATTTTTAAATATATACATACATGCCCATATGTAATTATAAAAAAATATTTACGCCTCTGATAGATTTTACATGTCTTTTAAATTAAGTACCCAGGTACCTGTTTTTCGATATACATAAAATGATTTTCTATACTTTTATGTAGGTACTACGTTACATTTATGTGTAACTATATTAAAATTTAGAATATTATAAAAACCTATCTACAAGTCAAATACCTACTTTAGGTAGCACCTTTAGACCAGTTTCATATTTATACACAAATTGGATTTAAAATACCCTACCTATTTAAAATATATACGTATGTATGATCCAAAACCAGTGGTTTAAGTGGGGGTTGACGAAGATTTTATTATTATTTAAAATAAAATTATCTGTACCCTTTATTTTAAGTCATTGGAGTCTGGAGAGAAAATTTAATATTGTTGTTCTAGAGTATTTTTAATGAAATATTAAAAACTCAAACTGACTTTATTAAAAATAAATTCTTTAATATTGGCATATATTTACATAACGACTGTTTAACTTTATTTTTACTGATCAGTTGTTTTTTATAGTAGATATAATTTTTTGGAGGAAATGTTTATGTTTGAATTAATGTGTAAAACTAATAATATGTTCATGAATAAATGAGTGGGAGAGAAAAAATGTTTTATGACTTAACTCTTGACAACACAGGTTTCCTGAATACCTATTAGATAAAGTTAGTGTTCGGAAACATCCTTCAATTAATGGTTAAATATAACCCGGATCACCTCTTCAAAGTTTTTTCGACTTTATCTGTAGTCCAGTTTTGAATCTCAATAAGTTTATAATCTTATTGATAGACTACTCTTAATAACATTTGAACAAAAACAACAAATGAATTTACAAATTGCTAAAAAGCTTTTCACCAGGAGCAAACCTAAAGGCGTTTTTGTTGGGAATTTGAAAGCATTTTAAATTTGTTTCAAGACCCTCAAACTCGTCCAACGTACATTTAAAACCACTATTTTCCTGATATTTTTATCAATACCGGTTAGGTTTATTATCATTTTAATAATTCTAGGCTATAATAATAATATAATAACATCATTTTAAGTATTATTTGTTTGGGCATTCGACACTATTAAGCTATCTGTCATTTTATACATTTTTCTTTATTGTTTATACATACATTTTTAATACCACAATAATAATAGTTAAATGTACTTTAACTATACATATATTATATGCACATTTTTTTTTAAATATATAATACTCAATGTTTTTTAAATCACTTAAAACAACCCAATTTTATGACCTCGCTCAATAATTATACATTATGATAAAAGTAATAATATATACCAAGTATATATCTACTGTTAGTCATTAAAAAAGTATTCACAATATATTTTGAATACTATGTAGGTATTTCAAACATAGCTCCTTTTAAAAATTTTTTAAATCATAGGGTAGTTTACCTTTACAACTCTTATTCTCTATTCTAATTGATTGCTGGATTTTTTTTTTTAATAATTTAAGTTTTAATTCAGTCATTTTTAACTTGTCCTATATACAAGTAACGAGGTAACTCCACTGTACTCTTCATTGATTATGCGCTGTATAATTATGTTATCCAGTCCTTCTGGGTGTCCCAATGCATGACCAACCCCATTTTTTATAGTCTACCTCTAATCAAAACCATGTAGTGTAGATTTTCTTAAACAATATTAAGTATTTCTTCATTAATTTTTCTTTTGAAAAATAAATTGTACAAACTTGGGAATATAAAATGTTTGTATTTGATTATTTCCAAGTTTGGTACTGAATGTGATATACATAAAGAAAATACTTAAATACAAAGTAAAATAAAAGTCGAAAGCATTATACACCAAATAAAACAAATAGGTGAATTATCCTATCGAACAAAATAAATTATAGTTCATATGTCACTAAATTAAAAATACATTAAATGACCAGCACATTTGGCATTCTCGTTAAATGTAATATTGTGTATATATTATAACATCACTTTAATTTAGACGTTTGCTACATTATTGTTTATTTAACCAGTATTTGTTTTTGCCTTTCTATCATGATCTATTATATAGGTACTTATATATTGTTTTTTTTATACATAAATTTTGCTTTGCAAGCCGTATTGAAAATACGCTTATTAGTGTTGTTATTTTTACATTTTGTTTGCTTTATTATTATTTATGTATCTACCTAATAATTGTTTAACATAATATAATGTATGTACTCAATAAAATTAAAATTATTATTTATGCATTATTTTTTTATCTTAAACAATAGTATGCAATTGAAAATATGCCAGCAGACAACTTTAATATGACATTATTATTATTCTGATAGACTAACAAGGTATAATGGATACCATAATAATCATATTTAACATATTCAGTTGTAAGTAATGAATTAAGTTGATAACCTTTTATCTATTGCAAATTTTTAGTTTATAATAATTTAAAAAAAAACTTGTTATTTTTGCTTTTATACTGACAAATCATCAAAATTGTTCACAAGAGGGTCCATCAATTATACATTTTATTTTTTTATTTCAGAAGTGTCATAATATAAATATTCAAAAATTATAAAAATCATATTTTCAAATTGCCATCAAGTATGAATTTAACTAGGGATATTTTTAAGAGTGCCCTTTACCAAAAATGCAAATGTTACAACTTTTAATTTATAGTAGCTCTTAAAGTACTCATTTCATTACATTTGCTTTCAAATATAATTTATGAAAACTAATTAAAATTTACAATACACTTGATTATAAAAATAAAATTGAAGATAAACAAAATCATAGTTTGCTTTAAAAGCAAATCCATATCATCAATTTTTTTTTTTTTTATGTATCTCTTTACACACATCAATGTTGCCTTTGTGCTCTTAAGTTAAAAAAAAAAAAATAATAATTGCTAATTGCGGTTTCGGAAACTACTCAAATTTAAGAAATGCGGCACCATTGGGTAATGTCATAAAAAATAAATAAATGTTTTATAATAACTTTGGAACCATGATAGTTTTTATTTTTACTTATATCATAATTTATGTTTTACAGATGTTTTGCGTGTTTAACATGGCCAGAGTGTTTTCTCGACTAAAATCTCAAATTGTTCATACTTTGTAGCCACCATTTTTGAATACACCATTATTTATAATAATTATTGTTACTGTGATAAAATGATATTTTTTTATATGTATTATATAGAATTATTTATTTTTACTTAAATAATTTAAGTGGAATCTTTATATTTGTAGCTAATATATGAAGTTGACAAATTAAAAAAAATGTATGACAATTTTTTATTTATTTAAATAAGTGTCACAAAATAAAATATTTCATACTAATGCTGGTACATAGTAACCACTATCTCTCAAGACTTGATTGTATGGTTCGGTTGCCTTCTTTGTCTTCTTAGTTGCTTCTCGGGTTAATTTCTAAAAATTTAAATTAAATTAAAAATCCGCACATATTTCCATAACAAAACAGTATAAACTTGTATATATTATATATATGACAAACTTACATGTCTAATCTTCAAACGCTGAGCACGTTTGCCTTCACGTTCTACACGACGAGCTTCGTAGTCCTTGACAACATGTTGATATTTCCAGCCAACTTCGTGTGAAAGACGCCCGACATCACAGTATTTGCGTCCACGTTGTAAACTCAACATTCTCATAGCTAATGGTACTACCATTGTTTTCTGAGACGTGTAACGTGCTGGAATATCTTCATACGCTTTCATACGCCTTAAAGCTTGCTGGCCACGAGTTGTTTTGTGAGGGATCATACCTACAAATACAAAATTTAATATAAATTAACATATATAGCACTATACTACAGGGTTACGCATTTTAAATACAAGATAAAAAAAAAAAACAATAAAATTATAAAAAAGAAGTAATTTATTTATTATTTTTATTAGATTTTGAATAAATATGGCCATAATGCTCATGTATTTGTAATTTCAAATATTCTTTAGTCTTCACTTTAATTAAACTGTAAAAATTAAAAATAATTTATAATTGGAATATTACATTAATGTCACAAGTACTTATGACATAAATATGCAAACATCTTTAATAACTATTTTTATTAAATCAAAATAAAACGTCTAAACCAATGGAAAACATTTCCCGATTCAGTTATTTTAAGGTATTTAATGACATTACTGTCCTAAAAGCAATTAAGACCCAGTAGACCATGGCATACTACTGTTAAAACTTATTGATACAGAAATCGAAAATGTTGCCTTAAAACTCTTTTGTACGCAAGTACCTTAAGTACCTGTCTTTGTGCCCTCAATTTGTTAAAATAAACACACTAAGTCCTCAAGAGAAAAATTAAATGCGTGTATGCTTATGTACAAAATACAAAGTTTATTTTTAATATTATTATTAATAACAGCTTAAAATGCAACAGTGCTATAACTATGTTCAATATATTACTAATAAGTGTTTTCTTCTCATTTATAAAACAATTTCATAGATTTTTAACAACTTCAATTAATGTAGGTAAGGTAATATAAAAAATAATCATAGAAGAAATTATAATTACTAATTAAGTATAATATGAATTTAAAAAAAACCAAAGTGAAATTTTTTTTCATAATCAAGTAATTTGATTTTATTTTAATGGCTACGAAAAATTCTTATAAATCAATTATGTATAGTTTTTTATTAAAAGTATGACAAAATAATCATCAGGTTGTTTTAGTTCTTTTCATACAAAAAAATGTATTTTCATTAATTTTAATTCAATTAATGTAGGTAAGGTTATTTTTCATAATCATTAAAGAATTAACATAGTTCTAAACAAATTGACTAAAAACTGTGAAGATATCTCATAATATTATGATTTTTCATAAATTAATTTCAATTAATGTAAGTAAGGTTTGTTTTTTATTAATCATGGATATATAAAACACAAGTTTTATTCATTATAATATACTTACTATTATGATAAAACCACTAATATTGTGTAACCAAATGTAACAATCGATTCTAATACTAAATGCAATAATTTTAATATTATAAAATATTAATAAGTAAAATCAATTTACTTGGTCATAATTAGAGAGTTAAGTTCATTAGTAAAGTTACAATTTAATTATAAAATAGATTTTATTTGTATAAGTGTGTATAACTTATCATGGTAACTCATTGGACATAATAACTCTTTTCATACTTATTTTGTTATCAAAGACATCTCAATTAATGTAGGTAAGGGTAATAAATTATTTAATCATAAAAGATATAGGTATGTCCAAATATTTGTATAAACTGTTAAATAAATTATTACATAATGCTTAATACAAATGGTACAAGACAGACCATAACTACTTTAGAAAAAAAAACATACCACGAACAGTTCTCCTAAATATACATCTGGGAGCACGGTGATGGAAAGGTCCGCGAGCCGGGTTCACATTACATCTCTTGCGTAAAAACGACAAGTACTTAATTTTATTTCTAAAAATAAACAAAAAACAAAAATACATATGCATGAAGTAAAGAAAAATTAAATCTTATTTCCAACCTGTAAAAGCTACCAGCAATGTTAATTTTGTCGCAGTTGAACACAACTACTTTGTTCCCTTGCAGGATAGCTTTGGCTACGTATGAAGCCAATTTTCCAAGAAGATGGTCTTTAGCATCAATGTAGATACGCTAAAGTTTAAACAGAACAATTGTATTTTCAAGTACATAATAATTATCAATAAAAAAAATATGGGGCAATGAAATATGATTAATAACTGGTACATTATAATGATACATCCTCTATTGAGATAAGTAACTAATGAATATTTTACAGAAAACACCAATGCAATAACAATTTGAGAGAATGGTTTTTGATTTAACGTAACGGAAGTTCAGTTATGGGATTAAATCAATTGGGAAATGGATTTTAAGTTACAACCGTATTAAGTCAAACATGTAAGCATAACCTCAAAACAAATAAAAATCAAATATTTAGCTATAAACGAAGTAAAAGTAATATGAAGTAGGTTACCAAACGTTCAATACATACCTTGTTAAATAATCCATGTTTAGGAGCCATTTTGCTCGGGTAAAATTACAAAATAAAATAAATTTTACCAGAAGCCAAAACAGAAACGTGTGTAGAAGATTGTACAATACCAAGAGACACGAGGAAGAGAAGGAGTGTTGATGTATCCGGCGGCTAGTACGCTGCGATACGATGACACGGCGGGAAGGGATGGAGTTGGAAATATTACCATGGAAGAAAACATAAATTGTAACATTTTGATAGCAGTAATTAGGTAGACCAGTCATGGTTACATGGTATAAACCGACATTTATGATACGAGTTCTTGTTGTAGATTTGATACGATATCTATAACCTAAAATCTATCCAATAGATTACTCTGTGATCTATCCATTGATATATAATATACATTTTTATTATTAAAATATATATTATATTTTGGCGAACGTTTCCCAAAATATTATTATGTTATTTTTTGTATCTATGGATCTATTTATGCCACGGACTAAGAAATACTGTGTATCTTAGTCCGTGATCTATGTCGTCATATCAATAACTGTTACTTTGACCATAGACCATTTAATAAGTTGTACTGGTATATGGTGTACACATTTTATAAAATGATATTGATAAAAAAAGCTAACCTATGAACACATATCTAAATTATACTATTGTAATATAAATATCAGTGCCTATGAATTATAAATTTTGAATAAAAACTTTATTATTATTTTTTTAAATCCGAATACGATTCGTAGAGTAATTACCCTATGATACGATTATTTCCAAAAAGTGTAAACATTATACTGAATAGATAAAATCAAATTCAGTGTCACGAACTGAGATAATTCTAAAATTATTCAACACAATTGGTAGCTCTTAAATTTTGATGCGATTTTGGAGATCGACAATGCCTTATATTTAAAATGCCAGTTGTCAATACGAACGATTAGTTCTACGTCATGCACTTCTTATCAGACTGATATCAGTAATAATTTTATTACTTGGATCCAGATAATTGCAATTTAAAAATTCACATGATATATTTTTGAATACACATATTATATTAAATACGAGTATTTACATACTAAGATTTAACTAGTATTAAATAAGAGATACTCAGATGAGATTTTTTTGAAATAAAATAAGTATAAAAGTACTTGAACATTTTTTTTTCTAAAAGGATTTTTAATGGAAATATAAATAATAGTTGTCCACACCCAGATGTTACTACCACCGTCCCTCGTAACCGAGTCCTATTATACGACGACTCTTCCATCCAGTGTCAGCGTCCCAGAACGACGACAACTCGATGGTGGATTACCGATTCCGCCGTCCGCTCAGCAGTCCTGGGTTGCTAGATTCGAGGATTTTTCCTCTTTCCGGGGATTTTTAGGTTTTTCAAGGATTTTCGACAATTTTGTTAAAATGAGAACAAGTTTGGCATAAGTGCGCATTACCACTAGCCTCACAATTTTCAAATTTTCTTTTTCTCGAAAAGACATGTTTTTAACTCTGATTTTCAATATTTTTGAAGAAATGATTATTAAAGAAGTGATAACAAAACCTTAAATAATTTTGAACTTTAAAAACAAAATTTTGAATTAAAAAGAAACCCAGAATTGTTCTGCAAAACCGCATAAGCAGAGAGACTATTTTGTAGTCATTTATATCCTTATAAAAAACACACACATATATATATATATAACGTTTATTATAATATACTGATTATTGGCTGAGGAACATTACAGGTATAAATAAATAGTGAAAATTTCATAAAAAATACCATAAGTTATGATAAGCTGTTGACAAAAACCACGGTCATGAACCTTTAGAGTTAATCTGCAATGTCTATAATATGGTAGAACCAAGATATTATATTATAATCTATGAATTATAATATGATATTTCTATAAAATATCCAGTATTTTTTTTTTCGTTATCGTGATTAAATTATCAATTATCATACTAACATATTATGGTTACGGTTTTGTAAACAAATACCGTGGATATGTTAAATATATTGTGGTAGTAGAGTAAAGATAAACTAGAATGTATTAAACTATCGGTACAACTGTACAAGGGAACCGTTATTAAGTGCAAAAATAAAATTGCAGGAAATCCAAGGATTTTTAGGTATTATGGCAAGACTACATGAATTTTCACCTGGCAACACTCCGCCATTAAGACAAACCATGTCAAAATTCCGCCGTTGCCACAGAACAGTACCAAGTGCCGTTCTTCGGTTTCTCGTCATCAATAGCATGTCACTCGAAACGCAGGTAAATTTTTTTCCATATTATATTTTTTTGTTATTATATTAATTATTTCTGCTATGATATTTTTATTAATAATAGGTATTCGTACTTTTATGATTAATACCTGTGACCATCGCGGCCTACTTTTGTGACTTCCATGCTGAGACCACCGCCAACGCCACTACAATCGCCGCCGTCCATTGTGGTTAACGAGAATTCATCCATTAAACATTCCAGTAAGCATTAAACATCTATTATTATTATTTTGTACATATTGAATTTTCATTCGATATGCGAGTCATCTTATTTCCATATGTTTTTTTCGTTTTTATTTTACATTTTGAATGTAGAGAGGGATCTATTGATTTAACTATGATGTGTGTGTGGTTTTTTTTTTTTTTGTATCTGTGAACAATTTTCATTGCGTACAGATATACATTAAATTCCTCTTTTTATCCTACCTTCCCAACTTCTCACCTACATCAGTAGGCCCGCCCATCGTCTGAAGTATATTAGTCTTGTTATTCATATAGATTCACAATTGAATTATTAATTTTATATTGATATAAATTGTCAGCAAATAGGTATGCATATATAAGGTATAAAAGAACGCCTTGCAACTGACGACTTTAATACTATACACTCGTTCAGATTTTTAATGAAAACTAGTGATTAGATACTTTTGATATGAAAATCATGAAAAAATTGCACAATGTAACACTTTTAGTCCGCTAAAGATAAACTATACCCAATTTCCACGTATTTGCTTTTATTCAATTCCGACTCTGTCAAATCAAAAATAAAATAATACAAATTGTTACGGGCAAAAATTAAAAGTACAGTAGAAAATACTGTTTCATTAAATTTAAGTAGGTACTTCTTGAAATTCCTGTTCACGTCGGAATTTGGAAATCATCATATCAATCTGAGTTCTCTCCCAGGCTGCCTTAAATAATTGGTTGTTGTTTTTGTAATGTTTGATTGAACCTAATAGGTGTGAGGTGGTACTTAAGGGAGGTCATTTTTCTATGTTCTCAAGAGTTTTCTCATTATATGGAAAAATCGAAAAAACTAAGGAAAACCGGGAAAATATAAGAAATATAGGTATTAGTTAAAAATATCAAGTATACTATATAAGTTTTTTCTTTGCACAACTTTTATACCAGCAATTTTGCTCCAATTTTTAATGATAGCAATGCTTCTAAATGGAAATTTCACTAGGGAGGTACTTAATAAAGGCCATTTTTTGATTTTCCCAAAAGTTTTCCCAGCAAATGTGAAAACTGGAATAAAACATGGGAAAAAAGTAGAAAAACTGCGAAAATTAGTATAACATTAAACAAATTTTATTTGAGAAAATATAGAAACCTTATATAATTATTTTACTACAAAATAGCATATAGATTGTTGACAAAGCATCACTATTACCTGAACTTCGTTAAGAATTATTTTTTTGTAAACAATGGTTTATCATTGATTACAGTTGTACATTAAATTCCAATGTATATCCTACCTTCCTAATTTCCCACCTACACCAGTGACTGCCCCTGTCCCCTTCATCTTATGTTTCTTTTGGTCAATGAAATGGTTACTGAATGCTTATTCAGTATAGCACAAAGTAAATTATCTCAAAAAAAAAAATAGGTATCAAAAACTTCTAAAAATCAATTTTAAATTCAGTACTATATTATCTTTGTAATATTTGTATTTTGTTGCTATATATTTAGATTTATAATATTTATATACCAGGTGGTCCATATAAGTGGTTACACTCAAGATGTTCTACAATTTTATATTTATTTTTTTTTTTTTTGTCACCTTTATTTTTGGGTGTTAAACTATTACCTACTTTTATTTTTTCAAAAGGCAACCTATATTAAAAAAATAGCCCATAGGATGGAGTATTAGGTTAAATAAATTTTAGTGTTGAAATTTGTGATTCCTGTCAAGTCGTTAAAGAGATATTCAACTTTTAGGTTTGGCTTTGAGGAGAGTAGGTGTGCATTAAAAACAAAAATGATAATCCATTACTCTCCTCAAACCCAAATTTAAAAGTGAAATATATCATCAACGGGTTGACAGAAATCAAAAGTGTCAACACTAAAATTTATTTTAACTAATATTCCATCTATTTATGGACCTCCTTACAAAGATTGCCATTTGAAAATCAAAAGTAGGTAGGGGTTTTACCACATAAAATAAGATAAACATAAAATGTTTTTGAAATGTTCTAGAAACAAATTACAGAAAAGTTAATACTCTCCATAATAGTTAGTTTACTCACTTAAATGAATCATCTAGTAGATTCTATACAGAAGACTTAATAAAAAATATTTTTATTGGTTTTTCATCACGACAAGCTAAGTAATGTTAAAATAATGTAGTTCAAAACAAATAATTAAACTCCATCCAAAATGCAAGGCTAATGTTAAGATAATCCAAATGTTAACATATCTTTGTAACTAATGAGTAATTTTTTTTATAGTATTAATAATGGTATTGTCATGAACATGGACAAGGTGTTCCTATATCCCTGTCCAAAAAAAATGGAGTATATGAAAAAGAGATATTGTAAGTATTATTTTTTCAATGATGTACTCATACAACAATTGATTTAAATTAATTGAATTTATTACAGCTAAAAAAAAAAAATGAAAAAAAAAACTTTGAAATGAAAAATGTCTTAAAATAAGTGTTAATTAATTCTAATTTAGTTTTATTTTTTACAATTTTCTGGCCCAACACCATATAACGTTTTTTTGTAACAATTTATACCTATACTACAGCTATCTCTATCTCTTAACTTCTATTACAACTACCACTTAATTGTGTAGAAGAAGCACGGCATTTGTAGACAGTATTAATTTTCAAGAGTCTTTGAAAAATTTTAACTTATTTTAATGGTGTTTGAAAATTCGGTAGTAAATCTCTTTTACATTTTTTTGTCACCTACTTTTGATAGTACAAATAAGTTTGTTTATTACTTTTTGACAAGATTGTGTATTTTCTTCGCGTTTCTTTTTTTTAAGAGTTTAACATACACTATCTCGTTAAGAACTATTGAATAAACTTTTGTCTTATCAAAAGTAGAAGAAATAAGAAACAAAAGAAATTCTTTACCAATTTTTTAAACACCATTATGAATAAAAACAAGTGTTTACAAAGGCCTAATCCTTTGGAAATTCAAGAGAATCCGGTTTGCAAATATCGTGATTCTTCAATACAATCATCAAGTGGAAATTCTAATGGAAACTTCGCTTGTCATTTATTTAAAACAGATGCATTTTATTACAAATTATTAAGAGGAATTTACACACCATATGGCATTGTGCAAGACTATTGTAGAAGATGAAACTAAATCAGAATTGAATAAGAAGACACTATTTCAAACACCAAATAGAAGAAGGAATACAAAAAAAAGAAATATGAATAATAATTTGTTTACATTTAAGTATACCTATTTTATCAATTATTTTAAATCACCATTTTGTATTTTTACCTAAATTATATCACCTATTTATTTCTTAAAAAGGACTTAAACTATTAAATTTTAAAATTGAATTTATTAGCATTTTCGTCAGTTTAGTAGATTTATAAAAAACATTTTATTTATTTGAACTGTTGTGTTGTGGTATGCCACATTATTATAATAAAATAAAATAAGTATTTAAGTATTTATTTAATATGTATTGATGTTACTCCTCCACCTTCATCTCAACATAAACACCAACCCACAAAAACTATATGTATGTTGATTAATTCCAAATCAATGTTATAACTCTAAATTTGAATTTATATTTCAAATAGTTGTCCAAAAATATGAATTAAAAAATAAAAAGACAAGTTTTGTAAACAAGACTATATATTGTTATTTTATTTATAAACACATAATACACACATATATTGTCTTTATATATTTTTTGAAACCACCTTAAAATATAAAGTTATAGGAAACATTAGGTACTTCATAGAACCAAATCAGAAGAGCAATATGCGATTTTTTTTTTGTAGATGTGATTAGGAAATCAAGGATAAATCAATGTTACTTTATTTTCACTTTTTCCATTGTAATTATTAATACATGTTTATATATTCATAACAAAAACAAATTATACCATTGAATTCTTACCATATACCAAAGTAATAATACTAAACAAAATTAAAGTTTTGTACATTATGCAAGGACAATTTATCTCAGAATAACATTCAATAAAGGTGGATAATTATATATATAAATAATAGCAATAAATAGATACTGATTGACAGTTATTCTGAGACATATAGTAGCTATGTCATATTAGAGTGAAGATCTTTGATAATACATTGCAGAGACTGAACTTTATTTTCTAAATGTAGAATTTTTTTCTGTTAAACATTTATTTTTTTTTTTTTAGTTCAGTTATAGTCGATTGCCTGTACTATTGGAAAATTTCTCAGAGTTCTAGATAGACTTCCAAAATCTCCAAAAAGAGTTGAATTTGAAAGGGTTCTTTTACTTTTGCTGATGATGATGTAGAATCAAACAGATTCTGAAAATGTGAAAATGTATGATATGTGTCCTTAATTAAAACATAATTACACAATTTTTACCTTTTAGAATTTACTTTATTTTATTTATAATGAATAGCAAATATGTATGGACACTTGGAATGTCTAAACAATTAAATATATTTACTTAGTAGAATGATACTTAGGTTCATAGTATATATTTTGTAATTTTTTTTTTAAATTCATTTGATAACAATAATTGATTAAATCAATTATTAAGCTTAAATATATTTGCATATTATTGTTACTTATTATAATATTTAAGTATATCAGTTTTTATTGTGTATATTTTTCAGTTTTCACTAATTGTGTTAAATATCCTCTAATGAGTCAACTAGATGTAAAATGCAACAAAAATTATCTTGCTGCATTGTTTTTGATTGAAGCAAGATATCTTATTAAAAAAATGTTTTAAGACCAAAAGTGAATAAAAAAAAAAAAACAGTTACTATAAAAAGATACTGGGGACGGTATTGCCATTGTTATGGATTATGTCTAAAAGGTAGAATACCTATATAAGGTTTTTTAATTTATATATGTAAGTAACTTTATGAAACCAATGCTAACAAAAAACATATCTGATTGAAGTTCGATTACAATGTTTTGAAATGCTGTAATATTTATTTTTTTTCATTAAAATATAATCCAAAAATGTTTATTTGAAAAAAATTATTATTTAATACGCTCAAAATGTTCAATAAAAACATAGTTAACCTTTTATAGGCCATAGCTTAAATGTATAGACATTAATACAACTTTCTCACAGTAACGTAACTACCTAATATTTCGTATAGTTGTTGATAACATATCTTTTCTAAATTTATTAGTCATTTAAAAAAAATTATTTTGGTATAATTATAATACTTGCATTTATATATTATGCATCTAAAAACATAATTTTGTATTAAAAATAGCTAAATGTACTGGAGATAATATTAAAATATGTAACCATTAAAATAAAAAAAAAATACATTTTGAACAATTTTTATCCCACACAACCAAATATGAAAAATAAACCGCGCAACTGGTAGAAGGTTAAACTAAAACAAAACACATAGTAAACTTATCATTGGAATCTAAAATTACTAAAAACAAAAAATGATGCTAAATGCATGTATATTATAATATATAATATTATGTATGTTGTGGTAAATGTTATATTTATAAATTAACCTATTTTGTGCCGTTAATTTTAATATTAGAGTATATTAGTTTATTATCAAACGTAAACGTGAGAATTGTGTTTGTGTTTATACGTTGATTTTTTTTTTTTGGTATTTAAATTTTTAAGCATGATAGGATGATTCTAAAATTTTAATATTTTACATATCTGTAACTCGCTTGAAAATAAAAATATTGAAAAAAACTAGCATACAAACATAGATACTATTCTTATCTTTAGGTTTAATAATAGACAATTTTACCCAATGTGAAAAATAACAGTCGGTTTTCATACACAAAAAGTATAATTATTACAAAATTTACTGTAACATGTATATTTAATTATACATACATTATAATACCTAATAATATGTAATACAAATATGCTATGTTTATTATTTTATTATTAGTAATTTTTAAATGCTGTATAGTTAATAATAATAACTTCTTATATTAATCAATTTTGAGTTATTCAATTTTTTTTCTCTCTAAACAACTTTTCTTCTAGAAATCTTTCTTCTATCAAAAAATAGTAAGAGACTTTCTTGTATTTTTAATTTAGTTGGTAAAAAGTTCGTGTTTTGATTTTCTAACCAGTTTTTATAATATTTCGTTGAAACCAGAAAAAATGTACAAAAGATTATGGTACAACATTTATTATGTTATATTAGTTATTTTAGATTTTGACTTTTTTTTTTTATAAATCTGTTAAAAATTATTGTAGAGAGTTGTAATTTTCATTGAATTCTTATATTAGCTTTTTCTAATTGTAGTAAACGAATATTTTTGTGATTTTAAATCTGTTTTACATTTTTGATATTTTTTTTTAGTTGATACAATATTGATAAAATTGTTTCAACAAACAGAAATGTTTGAAAATTTAATCTCATTACTTCTTTTTTATTGACTATATATACATTATTTCCTTCATCTAGTTATTATTATTTTTAATTTAATTCAATATTTGAATGTATGTAATATTAAATAAAAAATAATATACTATTATGTACCTAACATCACATTTTATTAATAATTAAAGAATTCAATGGATAATAGTTTTTAAAACTATTAATAGGTAACTAATATTTGAGACATCTATTGCAAGTTTTTATGTTTATTAAAGTACTCAGAAAGATGTTTTATTTTATTTTTAATCTACAATGCTCAAATCTAGTTGTCACTGTATACAATGCCCAGACAATCTACAATGTGTATGATTCATAATTTTAATGGGTCAGTTAGTTGACAATGTATTTACATAATCTTATTTTACATGACATGTTTGATAATGATGCTTCTTGTAATGGAAAATTTGACAATAGAGCGAAAGCAAAAGAGAGAAAATAAAATGAGCAAAAACGTGTAGAGCGAAAAATCCATCATTTAAAGTTTTGTACAAACATTTAATAATTTTTTTTTCAGCTTTCATCTACTAAATTATTTACTAAATAATACAATTATTAAAGAGAATGTATCATGTAAGTTGCATATTTCATTTCTATTCAGTCATTTAATATATTGAAAAATATTTAGACATTTCAACTTAGTATCAAAAAATTTAAAAACTGAGAAGACAAAGTTACTATCAAAATTAAATATTTTAAAAAATATTTCATTTTTTTAAACATAATAAATAGTAGTATTTTACTAAGTAAAATGAAGAAACATCAAATTCACACTTTTCATATGAAACTTATAGTTTTATATGTATTAATTTGCAATTTATTTATTGTTTATATTATTAATATAGTTATACGTTATGTTGTAAAATTTTTTAATTATTAACTACAATTTAAAAATGAGAAACCATTATTTATGATAATTTCTTTAGATACCTTTTAAAAATACATAATAATTAATATGTTAAACGGAGCGCTACAATCTATACAATATAGTATAATAGTAGACTATTTTATAATCGTACATGTTTAACAGGTCACTGGATAGATAAGATTGATTTTAATTAGATCAATGTATATTAATTTAAATTAAATTAAACCAATTTCAATTAAAATTAAATTTCTTTCATTAGCGATTTAGAGGCCTGTAATGTGTCAACACACTAGTTCAGCTGGCATTCCAACAGCTAGTTACATCAGATTGTCAAGTTGTGAGGTCATCGAAAAGGGACTGTATCAGGGAAGGTTGCTCACGATTAGTACGAAATCACTATCTACAGGCTCTGTTCCCCCATGTGGGGAACATGAGCACCGTTCATAAATTGTACATGCCATATGACTTTCCTAACCACCAAGAGGCCGAGCACTGCAAAGCCTTGACGTCTTAGATGAACGGAGATGTTCCATGTGGTAAGGAGCTCATATGGCAACAATTTGTCTCGCGGAGCGCATAGACCCATGTGATACCCGTCCCACGGAACGCTCTCACATAAGAACACACGGACACTATGGTTACGTCGTGTTCCCGTGGGTGTAAGGTGTGTGGTGTAATGACGGGGAATGAGAGTCTATTCAGAGTCGATCATTTGAGTAATAAATGAAAGTTGGGGTGTTAAAAGTAGAATGGTAGGTATGAATGTTGCATAATGTAGGAAGTAGGTTTGGCTTTAAGGTCAATGTGTGCGACTCGTAAGGTTAAGGTGGTGTGCGTGGCTTGAAGGCCAGTGTGTGCTGCTGGTAAGACTGGTGGTGTGCGTGCCCACAATAATCGTACACAATGATCGCGCCCATGAGTCATCTAGCTTCTACGAAGAATAAGGTGGTACCCACGACAGGCTTAAAACTCTCGTGCACACGTTATGGTCTCGCTCTTCCTTCTGGTACTTGTGTGCTCAGGATTTCCGAGTCACGGTACTTCGGCGGTGAACGAGAGCCCTGATGCACACGCATGCAGCCATTAAGCCATACGCGTATACTATCCGTCAATGACAAGGGATCAAGGGACCGTTTGACATGATTAAGAATAACGTAACAAAATATGTACTCATTGAGTTCGGAGCAAATGTTCACAATCAGTTTTATTTTGTGGAAATTTTACTAAGTTTAACTTATAAGAAAATAAATTAAACTGTTTTATAAGTAGAAAGGAAAGAGTGTTTAAACTTATTGATGTTGCAGTGAAGACTGTTGCTCGTGAACTGATTTTAACTGTAGTGTCGATCAATCTCATCGAACCGCTCCTTTGACGATAACCGCGGGCATTCGGTTTCTTGCAGTCGCAATGCCGGAGGTATGTGACATCTTCCGAAGCTGCTGCGCATGCGCGTTGTTATACGCGTTCTGTAGCGTGCGTTGGAATGGGGATCGGTGGTTGCCGCGGCACTAAACCGGTGCATTGTTTTTGCTTTGATATTTTCTCCTGCGCAGGAACATGCCAGCTCCCGCTGGAAGCGGTGACCGTCTATTGACCTGGCAATGTGCATAGCTTGACCAGCAGACGTCGTAAGCTTCTTGAAACAGTTTTCAATATAGCCCACTCGAGTGAGGCCGTCAAAGCCAGGATGGATGTCAGTAACTCGACCCTCATTTCATCACACGGCTTTGTCCATTTAAGTCTTTGTTGCAGCTATAGTATGTGCTCAGGACCCCAGTGTTTCCAGAAGTCTTGCAGCATCTTTTGTAGCATGTGCCATCGTTCCTTGAAACTGTCTACCAATAGATTATTCGGTTCTGGAATACCAATGAGAAAATAACCTGGTGTTATAGAGCTTGTAAATCGTTAAAATTTGCTGAACGAGCGGTTTTGGGTTTAGCACCGCTTCAACTTGCGTCAGGATGGTGCTGATTTCTTCGAAGATAAGCATCCTAGTTCCGATGACTCCCTAGGGTAGTTCCCCTATTCCGGCTTCCTAAAGTCTAACATATACATAGGTCCAACAAAGAGGGCGTCGTTCAGAGAGATACCCAACGAGCTCTTAGCGGAGGTATCGAAGACTACCCGAAGTTTGGAGATAGTGCTATTTTCCTTCCGTACTCTAAGATGTGGTGAACAACTCAGAGTGCTCTGGGCTTAAGTTCTTGTTTGTGACTTTCATGTGACCCAGGTCTCGATATCCTGCCATGGAGGCAACGCACTCTTATCGTAACTTGAGTACTTATTCAGTCGGTTCTCTTACATAAAAATGAAATGCTGCAGCTAACCTCAGGAGGAGTTGCTCGTCCGGATGTTCCCCATACAAAGATAGATTTTTTTTAAATAACAGTTGCGGTGTTTTGTGAGTTATTTTGCCCGATATAGAGCAGCTGGTAGAACATTTCCGCGCCAATTAGCATGTCGATGGTACTTGGCCGATACCAGATTGGATCAGCAAGCTTTATTTCATGAGGGTTGATACTTCTTATTTTACCGACACGGGGGTAAAAAGCTGGTGATTTTTAAAACTACCAAGCAGTCAGATATGAAGATATCAAATGTTTCTGTTCGTAAGCCCAATATTTTGCGAATCTCGAAGTGAGGAAATGGTATTAGGAGCCAGACTCGAGCAATGCCCGTATTGGCTAGGCTGTGTTATGGGCGTCAAGAATTAATATGATTGAAGTTGCTAAGAGTATGGCTCCGGGATTTGGCGCCCGAAGCGTTGACTGTTAGGTTGCCGAGGAAGACTGAGCAGAAGCTGAAACGGCATTTGCCCGACCAGATAGTTTTGCTAACCAGATAGTTTCCGGTGTACCAAGGTGTTATGCTTCTGTTGACAGTGCGTACAACCACTTGTATCACATTCCGCAACGCTATGATCGACCTTCATGCAGTTGAAACACAGTCTCTTGTCCCTCAGGTGTTGTCATCGTGTTTGGATGGTCATAGATCGTATTAAAGTCTCCAACCTTTTAGACATTGAATCAACCAGGTAACGTGTTGTTTCTGCTGGGATTTTATTCCATTACTCTTCTACAGCTATTTTTAAAGTTCTTTTGCTTGAAATATTGTAATCTCGAATTTTTTTGTCCAAATGATCCTACGAATACTCAATAGGATTAATGCCTGGAGACTGTGGATGGAGGTGTAACGAAATATTCAATTACATTTTCAGAAAACCAAACTTTGACTTTTTTGCAATATACTTGGGATACCCAAAGAATCATTTTGAAAAAAATTAAATAAATATATTAAAACAAAATTTAATTAATATTGAATTTGAATACACCAATATTTTTCAAACTAATATTAACTAAATCTAAGTTAAATTAATTATTCTGCAAATCAGAAGACATTTTATGTTCAAGAAATATTTGCATCAGTAAAAGTAATAGTCATTTATAATATTATAATAATATTAAAATTATTAATTTTATTAAAACCAGGTTAGATGATAATATATATATATACATTACACATTGATGAAGTCACACTTCCAATGAAGTGGCTCCTGTACTTAATTTAAACACTTAAACTAAGTCGTATGGTTTCAGACGTTTATATCCTGTTAAACATATTTATAAAGACCATCAGGTCGTTTAAATAATAAAGGCCCAGGGCATTTAAAAAAAAAAAAAAATTAAAACCAGGTTAGTAATTATATATAGAGATGTTACTCAGAAGAATGGTTGTTGTTCTATATGATGCTTCATATACAATCACCAAGTAGTTACAATTTATGCATGAAAAACAATATAATACCATTAGTATACAAATTTTATTAGTACTATAAGACGGTATTTATTTTTAATAAATACATCTAATGAATTTAATAAACAGTTTTTTTCACTATTCAAAAATCACCTAAAAAAAAATCTATAATGTAAAAACATGGTATTCGTCTCTTAGATAAAATATCAGTTAGAGAAGTAATTACAATATGCTTCAAGAATCTTATAGAATATATAAGAATAAAGGCCTTGTGGATTTTGGTGAAGATTGTAAGGTAAGTGATCTAAATAAAAATCAAGTTGTCTAGTTTTCATGTTTCAGAATCTTGAAGTCAAATATTTTCAACCAGTTACTGTCTTCACTTCAAGAGGATCTGTAGTTGGTACAGAGTTAGCAAAATTTGTGTTTACATGTACAATTCTTTTGGCACAAGTAGGTGCTATTGTACATGGATTTGTCTCTGATGGAGCTCAAAAAAACAGAAAAGTTGTGGACTGAACTTGGAATAAGTGGCTAAGTTAATTTCCTTAAAAATTGGTTTCAATATCCTCTGAATGAAAAGCAGAAAATATATGTTTTTTTTTGATGCACCTAACTTATTTAAGAATGTGAGAAATAAATTATATAATGACAAAATACTAAAGGAAAGTTCTTATTACCTATCTAAAGCTATTTGTATGTTCCCTGTTATCATTGTGCTAATATATTGACTAGTATTAATTTAATTCATTTTGTGTATAATCCATATAGATTTTAAATTTCATGTATTTGTTCATTTATGTTAAGTAACTTAACAGCTGTGTGTGTATGTGTAACATATGTATATATGTTTTAAAATATTACTTCAATTTACATGTGTATTGATATGTTATTGTTTGTTTAATTTGCTTGGAAACTCTGTAGCTATATTTTATAACGAGATGTTTATATCATATGTGTATATTTATCAATAAAAACAAAGTAATTAATTCTACTTACATTTTGTATACAGATTAATGACCACTATATTTGTTAGAATCATATTAGTATGAGCAGAATAGCCAATTACTAGGAAATTTAAGAGTTTGTTCAAAATTATCATGAAACCATATATATAATATATATATTAGTCTTAGTGTATTTGATAAAATGAAAATTCAGCTATCTACTCAAGTAAAAGAAATTATTAAAATTAATTAATTAACAAAACCTAATGTTTGTTGGTTTTCACCCTTTTCTAGGCATTGTAGATTCATCAATGTTTCCACTATGTTCTTCCATGCATTCTTATCCATATCTAATTGTTCTTCATATCTTATTCCCAGAAACCTGGACCTTTCTTGACTTGGTCATTCTACTAGTATCCTCGGGATCTCTATTGTCTGGTTTCCAACCTAATATAATAATATATAATAGTAATAATTAGTATTAATTAATATTTAAATATTTTATAAACATACAATAACTTTATTTTGTCTCTTTAATCACTATACAGGTATTAAGTGATTCTGTCGCCAATGGTCTGATTTTCTACAAACAGAATAATATTCCTGGATTAAGCAATTTTGAACCAACAGTTGAATTTCGTTACTAGTTAAATGACTGTTTCAATGCCTCCAATAGGAAATATGGTGCCCAAAGGCTAAAAGTTGACACCAAAGATGATGAAGCAATATTTACTGATAATTTTATAAAATTTTTATTCAAATATTTGGTAAAAAAAACCTAAATAATTGACTTGACAGTTTCTTGATTTGGTTGAATGAATGGGAAAAACAGTACACAGATGGTTTGATAAAAAAAACAGAATCTTTAACTGATAGCACTGCTTGTGGGTTAAAAGTTACTGTTCAATCTATCCTCGATCTTTCATGATATTTAAAGCCTAATTTGAATTTTAAGTATTTACTAACAGGAAAAATTAACCAAGATAAACTTGAAGTAAGAACAGTGTTACAGTGACTATTAAATAATAATTATCGATGTTCTAATTTAGAATGATAATATATTGTGTACTACTTACCTAGATGTTTTTTGGAACAATAAAGCAGGCTGCTAGTCAAAATTATCACACCTCAAAAAAAAAAAAAAAATTAACACCTAGTTTTCTTCGACTGTGGAAACTCCACACTCTACAGTGAATGATGATTTTCCTTTAAAACCAATAATATTACTAACAGAATTAAACAATATTTATCAACATAAAAAATGCAGTCTAGTTGAAAATTTAAAAAAAAAATTGAATAATATAACAGAACAAAAATAATGGGGCTTTAATGATATTGTTGAACATTACTATGTAAGACCAGAAATTATAGATTGTTAAATTTAATATTTGATAAGTTATGGTATATCTTATTTATGGTATATTAATTTAAAAAAAAAAACAAATAGTAAATAAAACCTTTCTTTCAAAACAGTTATTGAAGTACATACAAGGTTGTACAGTTTGTAAATCAGCTTTTATTACCCCTTGGGCACATTCTCAAAAATTGTTTGCAACATTGGTGAACATGAAAACCAAAGGGTGATTAATTCACCTAAAGATCTTATATTTTAATTTTAATTTCATAAAGTAAATAATAGAAGAAAATTGTTAAAATAATAATACATCAAATTTTGTTTTTGTGTTTATAATTGATGATCTAATTAATGATCAACATATTATAAACTTCCCTTGTATTACTCATGGAGAAAATATTACCGTATTTTCTGTAACATATGCAAGGATGAGAATTAGACAACTCATACTTCATAGCCAAAAAAATAAAAATAAAAAGACAGAAAATAGAAATAACAAAAAAAAAGTGGCTACATTTTGTAAAACCTGATAAAACAATATCTCATAAGTGATACAAGGATATTTACTTTTTTAACATTATTAAAAGTATAATCTTATGTAATTATAATTATTATTAATTTTGTTAACTGTTGTTACCTTGTTTTAAAAGCTAAAATAAATGGTTGAAGTCCACAATGAGTCCACTAAATAGTACTCCAATTGTATACAGCAGTGTACAATACTATACTCTTGCTCACGAGAGATCATTACCGTTTGACACATGTAAACTGACGGCAGTGACCGGCCCGAGGCTATATTTCACACTATGTGCCACAACAGTTACGCGATGCGGCGTATATACAGAGTGATAAAGTAATAACCATATTTTTATTCTTTTATATTATTAATATTTATTTTTCAAGACAATTTATTATATGATATAATAATATAATAACGTATTATTTGAAATAAATAATTGTATAAACTATTTTAATACAAAGGTACACGTCACAAATTTATAACAATAATTATTTAAAAAAAAATAATAATTTACAAAATATACAAAACTAATCAAAACAATTGAAAGAAGTATCTCTTGTAATTTCCATTACATGCGATGTTTCATCTAATACTTCATCAGAAATGAAGTCGACATTGCACAATTTATTGTCTTCCTTAATTGTATGTCTAACAAAATTGGCCGTCATGTCTGGTGTTACGAGTTGGATGCCATCGATTAATAATTTCTTTGCGTCGTTCGACTTGAACGTCGTATTATTATTTTTTGTGTATTCTTTTACAACTGACCACGCTAGTTCTATTGGGTTAAGCTCACAGTGGTAAGGCGGCAGACCCCATACCATTTTATTCGATTTCAATGCTTTTTCATCAATAACATATTGATCATAAAGAAGTCTAATTTCTCGTACCTTTTCCATCAATAGACATTTGACTATCGGCTTATCGACAATACAACCTTTCGACGTTAACCATTGTTTTATTTTCTCTTTTTTCCAAGCCATTGTAGGGATGGGATATTTTTTTACTGAGTGGTACGAAGCATTGTCTATCACTATTACGGAGTTTTCTTTTAATTCGGGCAAAACTCCGTAAAACCAGTCATAAAACGTGTCCTCGTTCATTTCGTCGTGGTAGTCTGCTGTGTTTTTTTTAGATTCAAAACACAATAAACCATTCTCGACGAAACCCTCTGCTGAGCCTATATGTACAACAATCAACCGCTTGCCTTTACCTGTTGAATTCTTGGTTCTGTTGACAGTCAATTTAGAAATGCATCTCTACACTCGCCTGCCCACATCTCGTCTAAGAAATATATTGTTCGACCCTTGTTCCTGTAACGTCGTATGTCTATTATATATTTGTGTCGCCATACCACGATATCTTCTCTCTCAGTAAGAGCGCTGTTCCGGGCTGTTATGGAATATTCAAAGCCCAACTCCTTTAAAACACGTTACAATGACGTTCTTGGTATAGTTGGTAAGTTCGTATCGTCACTGATGGTTTGAATAATTTTTTTTTAGTGTTGGTATCTCATGTCTTAACCAAAACCCAGGAATCGTTTGCCTTATAGCTTTTTATTGATTGTTGGATAAATTTTTTTTTATTTGGTGACTTCAATTTTTTATTCTGTTTGTAATCTCTTACAGTATTACAAATTGTATTGTATCCAATGCCGGTCTGTTTGGATAAATATCCCATTAAATCTTTATACTTCATATCACAATTTTTTTCAATTTTGGTTTTATAATTATTAATTCCTGTTGGCTTCCAAAAAACTGAAAAAAATAAAAAAAAAATATAAATATAAAGAATATAGTTAAAAAAATTATGCATAGAAATATTTTATGATTATTGAATTTTTTTGAATATTTGGAATTCTTTTTTATTTGTATTTTATAAAGGAAAGTGTTAAAGATTTATGAGTAAAACTAATATGTTACCTATCTATTTTAAATTGATTATAAAATATTTCATTATTTTTGTAATATAAATTGAATTAATAAATCGCAGTTAAGAAGATGTGTTCCGATGAAATTATTGGTACATGAGTTGTATACACGTAAAAATTATAATACAATATATATTTTATTATCTGCTGAAAAATAATTTAAAAATTCTTGCTTTTCCGTTTTTATTCCATTTTACTGGGCGAACCCCGTAATTGCTTATTCATATTTTGGACGAATCGATGGATTCATTGATATCCATTTTGAAAATATCACAATACCACAGTGTAAATAATATAAAATACAAAATTAAAAAGTAAGCGCGCTCGACACAGATGACAGTTACAATGCATGTTCTCACTACAACAGGCTGTATACAGTTTATATTGTATTATCTTACGCCCCACACTGTATTGCGTTGAGCGTTGCCGGCCGTTCTGAACACCGGTCTGTGTCGATTGGTGGGGTATGCGCAAAATTGGACACGTTTTAGTCGTAACACGGTAATGATCTCTCGTGGACTAGAGTATATGATATAGTATTTATAATGAATAATAATTACATAACCTTAAATAAGTATAACCGGTAGCGCTCGTGAGAAAATTGTGAACTAAATCTGATTCAATAAACGGACATAAGTAAGGGGTGACAGTTGTCGAACCTGCGTGACCTATACTGTATTGTTATAATATCTGTTTGGGTATTGACCCAAAAAATAAATACGCGATTTATTGCAATAAACTCGTAGATAAACTATACAGTGCGCTAGTGCATAAGGAAGACTTTACCTACGGGATACTTTTTGACAGACATTTTGCTGTCGTGTACAATCCTCTACAAGGACCAAGAAATACTTTTAAGAACTTCTACTTTTCTATATACGTCTAGCGGCTACTATTTTTTTGTAGGTTAAGTTTGCTCGTGTTGTTTTCTTGTGTGTGCATTTATGTATGTTTTGTTTTCAAAAGAAATCAAAGGATCTGAAATTTAGGTGAGTAATTATTAAAATAACATTTAAGTTTATCATAATAAAATGAATAATAAATTACATTAACACTAATACATTGGTATCATATAATATACATTTTATTTTATTTACTTTAATTTAAAATGGGCGTGACCCAAAGTACAATCATTTTTATAAATTAACATGCAGCTAATTCAGCGGAAGTGAAAAACGGAACCAAGTATAAGAGTAAGAATATTGTAGTATTATATAATTATTTTTATAGTAATAATATAGTATCAAAATATTGTTTTTCTTTTACATAAAATAAAAACTAATGACCTAGTTCTTAGTATATTAAATTTTTTAAGGAACTATCACTATAATCTGAAAATAAAAAAATATTATTAATACAGTGACTAATAAAAAAAATTCAAAAAGTAAAAATTTCAGGCAATCCAATTTATTTGTACTTGCTAAAGTTGTTGAGTTATTTTATTAAGGTTTTAGGAAATCAAAATTTGATTTCAAGAATTTTTGAAATGTATTATCATTTTCCATTATTATACATAAATTACATAGGCAAATTACAGTATGTATAATTATGATTTTAAAATTAATTTTTAAAAACCTAATTCTTAATATTCCTTACTTTACTTAGAATTTAAAACTGTAAAATGTCTATATAATGTTACAACTTTACAAGAAATAATTTGGCATTTTACTTTGAGTTTGGTTCTTGCACATGCTATTAATATATTACATGGATCAATATTATTTTCTTCCACATTTAGAGCAGAGTTCTCTTTACCATCTATATTAATAGATTATTAGACAAATATATTAAACAACGTGAATGCAGCTTATTTGCTGCTCAAACATGAGGTAACAGTTCAAATAAAAATGATAATAGACAAAAACAGATAAATTATTTATTAACATCATACAATTAGGTATTTATAGATGATGTAAACAATTATAGTTACCAAATTTGTATACTACATTATTAATATTTATGTTATATTTTGTATAATTTAAACAAACTTTTTATAGCTAAATAATTTTTTAGGTGTATTTATTTGGAAAATTCTTCACCGAGAACAGCTGTGTATTATGAAGCCAATGGTAAAACCAATACATTTCTCACATTATTCAAAATATAAAACCAATTAGTGGTGGCTATCTTGAAAAATATAACAAGTGCTCACTTAAAAAGAACTAGTACCTACCACCTACTATATTTCGGGTAACCCAACAAATTAGTCATTTCATAAAAAACTTTTAAACCTAGGTAGCAACATATAAAGTTTATTTTAATGCGGATTTTAATTTTTTTGCAACTGGTTATATAAAACCTTTTGGGTTATAAAATTTATTAACTTCACACATACTTTGTACTAAGTATGAGTGAATACATTTTATTAATTATTCTCAACTGATGTGTTACGACCCCTTTATTAGACATTACTTTATTATTTAGGGTCACAAAATACCTTATGCATGTAGATAAGGTTATTATTTTTATGTTTCCCGAAATAGAATTTTTAATTTTGAGCTGTCACTTTAAAAATGAATCAATATTCTATATTCTAGAACTCATAGTGTAGATACTAATATATTAGATATATAGATTGTAGATGGCTACATACATATAGTACATTGTATGCATTTTTAAAAATAAATATTTTATAATAAATTACATCATATCTTTTAATTTAACTTGAAATCTGAAAAAAATTGTATTTAATAGAAAAACTGTCATACATAAGTAACAACATTATGGTATCATAATAAATTAATAAAACAATCTTTTATTTTATAATTGATTCAATTATATTGAACAAAAATGTTGGCATTCAGTTTCTATTTATAGTTTAGGAATGCCATTATCATAATACTATTTATTTCCAGTGTTTTCATCTGTCGTATCTGTTGTCACCATTGTAGACATAATAGCAATAGATTTTTTTATAATAATACTAGCTTTAAGGCACCTAGTACCAATGTCATTTTACCCACAAAAATACACTATGGAAGTAATGATACTGTTCAGTAGAATCAACCAAATTTAATTTTTTTTTTTTTAAATAATACAGGGAAATATTCTACAGAATGTATTGAACTGCGTTTTTCAATATTTTATTCTCAAATGCATTATCAGTCTTTTAAAAACGTAAATTTTAATTTTTTTTTAACCATTTTTGTACAATTATTTAAAATCGGAGTTCAATGCAGCCTTTAGAATGTTGTTTATCAATGAAAATTTGTTTTTTAAAAATATTGAATTGACAATGAGTTATCACTATTTCCATGAAGTCGTTTTCGTCAGTAAAAATGGCCCCATCCCTTTCTCCTAAATGGGTATTCGGTAGTAGATTAGTTGGAAAATTTTATCTTTAAGGCCTTAATTGGATTTTTAAAATAAATTTTAAATTTTTCAAAATTGGAGAAAATTTTAAAAACTGGCACCAATCCTCTTAAGTGAAATAATTATTTTGTTAAAAAATCTAAGACCTTGTGAGTTGATACTGGGATCTGGATGTCCAAGAATTATAACCTTCCAACCACAATTATGAAAGGGGTGCTTTTTAGCACCTTTTTAAATACATGATAGCCGCCACTGAAACCAACCAGTTTTCTTAAATCTTACTTTAGGTACGATACTAAACTTGTGTTAAAATTATTTTTAGGAAACGATTAAAGCAAGTTGCGAGGCCGTCACACCACTGCAAGAGTCAGCAGCAGTATTTCAAAATATGTCAGTAGAAACAAACGCCACTGCTGGTACATTTCCTGTTTTAAATGATAACACTGCTGGCACAACATCTCCTGTGACTCAAGGTAATTTTCTGTGTACAATTTTGTAAATAATACCTGTATGAATAAAATATAATATTACTTTATATAATTATTATAATATTTTTTTAATTTTGTTTTTAACAGAAATGTTGTTCCAACAAAATACTGACAAAAGATATTTTAAATTAATGTCTTTTGAAATGATGTCACTTATGCTAGTGTAATAGGCAAATGTCACTTTTGGAAGTTTTTACCTAATCAAATTTTTTCTGGTGCAGGTCAAAATCCCAAATTGGTCAAAAAACCAACAGTCACATACCGTATAATATTGAGGGAGCTTTCTTTATAATATTTATATTTTTTATGTTCACATTTTTTTAAATAAAGATGTGAAAATATTATATTGTAGGTACCTACCTAAATTTAATGAAACGGTATTTTCTATTGTATTTGTTATTTTTGTCCATGCCATTTTTTATTATTTCTTTTACCTATATTCATTTTTGGTTTTGACCGTGAATTTCAAAGAAAAGGAAATTTAACCTAACCTATCCTAAACCTAAAGTTCGACAGTGGAAAAGCACCTATACCCTATTATAGTCGTCACTCGCGGCGCGGCGTTCCTTATAAGTGTATTTACTGATAATTTATATTAATATAAAATTAATAACTCGCTTGTTAATCTGTATAAATAAAAAGACGGTCATACTAAGCACGATGGATGGGCCACTATTGTAGGTGAGAAGTTGGGAGAGTAGGATGTAAAGGGGAATTTCATGTATCTATATGCAACGAATAATCTTTGCAATGCCCTACAAAATTCGATTCTGAGCGGAATTCAGTTATACATATTTTAATATGTATAACTACATATATTTTACACATTTACGTTATTGTAGATTTTCCAAACATTTTCTATGGACAATTTTTCTACCAGCAATATTTCTTTGATTTACAATGATAGACATTTTTATGAAAGTAAATCTGACGAGTGGTACTTAAGTATATTTGGGTGCTATTTGAGTACTTTATAAATGGTCAAACCTACAGATATACATTAAATTTCCTCTCTAAATTTCTAACTTATAACCTACAACAGTAGCCCACCCACGTGCGAAGTATGTACGTTTTTTTTTTACATATTATAACAGTTTATTTTGTTCATCTTTGTTACCAAGGTAACATATCATAAGTCAACAAAAATAATTTGTTTTTGTACTGCAAATACTTTAAAACCGGATTTTAAGTTGGGTTAAATCACACAAATGAGCATAATCTTATCAAAATCAATTGTGTAGTTTTAAAGCACGTAAACTCGTTGTACGCTTAATTTTTATATATTTAAGATGTGTACTCTATTGTGATGAGTTATTGAATGTATTTATTTTATTAAAATCTTAAAATCTAAATAAAGTATAACTTAATTTTAGATTTTGAGTGGAGCAAAGTTTTTGGTTTTACAAAGATGTTTTTTTTTTTATCTGTGCGGAGCTCTTCTATCAGAAATGTCGCTCTAATTTACAATGAATGCACTTTTTCTGAAAGGAAATCTGACTGGGAAGGACTTTAGGGAGGTATTTTTTTGATTCTCCTAGGATTTTTCCATCAAATTTAAAAACTGGGAAATCATTTACTGTAGTTCTTATCTTAATTTAGTTTTTATTAATTTAAGTTTTGAAAATGTATGTCAACTGAAGCAGATTCAATAGGCAACATACATAAGGCTTTTAACTCTCAAAATACATTTGGAATGGTAAAACTTAGGTAAATCCAATGCACTCTACTTTTTTAATAGTTTACAAATTTACTGTGGTACAAACATATCTTCATTGTCAGTTTCGCTTTTGATATCTGGGCTTGAAATGTTATCATATTTAGCATTTGAATGAAACATACATGGAAATTCTGAAGCAGAAGCTCATTTTTAATTTAATAATACTACTAAATCTATGAACTATAGTTATCAGGGGTTATGTTGTAAATTACATATTTATATACATACTTAACGTCTAACGCTTTGAAATTACCTATCATTCGCCACGCTACTGTAATTACTTACTCTTTTTTAAACCATGATCGACCACTAATCTTATAACAAACCGCATCTGTCTACCTTGGGGTCAGGAAAAAAATCAAGTGGTAAAAAAGGAATATATTTATTTTACATATCATAAAAAAAAGGTATTTTATAATATAAAAAGTAATATTATTGGTTAGTACTACCTATTAGTAGGTACTATATAATAGTTATCCACACCATATTTTATACCATTGACTATATAATATATAGGTATACTTAATGATAATATTTTAAATGTTATCATAAAAATAATTATTGAAGCAAGTTATTGAAATCTGCTGTCCATAATCAAATGTAACAAAAAATAACTCCTATAAATGTTGTGTAAGTACAAAATATAGAAAAATCAACTTAAACAAAACATATGGCAATAGCAAATAGTGGAATTATTTATTTTTAAAAATCAAAAGCTGCATGATATTATTATAAGTATATTATATAATAAGTCATATGAAGTAATAGTATATCATGGTTAGGTACAATAATACAGTTTTTGTACTAAATTAAAAAAAAAAAAATTACGATAATTATTTTTGTTAAAACATATAAAATATTATCATTGAATATATAATATAGTCATGGTATTAAAATATGGTGTAGGTACCTATTATATAGTACTATATAATATTACTTTTTATATTATAATATGTAAAATACATTTATTGCTTTTTTACTACTTGCTTTTTTTTTCCAAAACTCGTTTATCTATGCTATATTGTTATTATTTACTAATTTATTAATTACTTACCTATTATACAGTTTTTATACAACTTTGGTAAAAAAATATATTACAATGAACAGCCACTAATATGTATATAACTATAACTGGTAGAACATTTGCTTAAATTCCCCCCATCCCCCTAAACATGTAGTTAAAGATAATAATTATAAATTGTCAAAAGGTACTGAGCATTCAGGAAATGAAGAAGATAATGAGTTAAACGGTAAGACATTTTGTACATAAATTTGATCTTCATAAAAAATTGTTTACATTTTTATTATGTGCAATTCAGATTACATTGGATGGGAAAAAATTGAATCATTTTATGTTCCATACATAAAACGGACATTTAACGGAGAAACTTTAAATTATGTATCTGTACAAATTGCAGAAACTCATCCGCTATCAAAATATATAATTAGTCTGCTTGTGAAATTGTATACTTGCCCGGCTGTGAAAAGTTTTTTCATCACGGAATTTGAAGCACAACTGCTCAATAATATCAATAAAGATCAATTTTATGGAAAAGGCCAATTTTATGGCGGCAAAGATTGCATTGTTCGTTTGGAGGACGTGAAAGAATTGTACGCGTTTATTGAAGCTTGTTTTAAACAATTGCTGTGTAATACTGCGTCTGCCCGCCAAAGAAAATGTGGTTTCATATCTATCAATTCAAAGTTTGCTGTGCCATACAGCATCAAAGACAACCATAAGTATATTCCACTCTTCTGCTTTGAAGGCGAAATAGATAGCTTAAGTCAACATGCTATTAAGCTTGAAAATTGGGACTTGGCGTACCTTAAATTCTGTTCTAGGGTTCAGGGTGTCAGAAACGAGTTAGAAACTAGTGACTCTTGCACTGTGGTTAGACTTGATGATATAAAAAAATATTTTTCATTTGACACTAATTTTGAAGAATATTGGCCATCAAATGTAGCTGACCTACAAGTTTTTCCCGATGAAAAAACTTTCAATGCATCTAGTTCCTGGATTAGAGTACCAGATCCTTCTGAAAATCCATATACTACATCAGCTTCAACACTTGAGGGACTACAACTGAGTGTGCCTATATGGTCCATTTCCAAAAATCAAATGGTATGTGATATTATTGATTTGTTGTTTTTTCTTTATTTTTAATAACTTTTATGAAAGTTTGATTTAAACTATCTGTTAACATAGTGAGCTCATTTAGTGGCATGATTTTAAAATATTGTTATTACAAAGTCTTGATAGACTGCTCTGAGTGTTTTGTTTATGCAAAAATTATAAATTCCAATTAATAATAATGTGAATATTGAATGCCTTCTTTTTTTTTTGACTGCATTTATTATCTTCAATATTTGTATGCATTACTTATTGGTTTACATAGGTCATTGGTTTACATATCAATTACCTATTTACTATTTTTTAGATTTTAAATAGCTTTTTACTATTTATGTTTATAGCGATTCATAATCTATTTAAATAATTAAATCAGTATAATACAAGGTGATTTTTTTTTTATCATGAACCAGCAATTATCATTATGGAATCGTTTAACCTTTATTTATAACCATCTGTAATGTTTTACCCCTATTTCATATACCTTAAATGAGTGCATACTTTTGATTTTCAAATAGGAACCCCCCCCCCTTTTGAACACAGATTTGAATAATGAATATTTTTTTATCAATTTTGATAATCATAACACTAATATAAGATTTACCATTTATGAGTTATAACAGTTTAAAATGTCGGCCAGAGGAGTAGAGAAGGTAATCATAGATAGGCAATTTATTACTTTTCTCTACTCCTCCAGTTTAGTTTTATACTATTATAATATTTGCACATGGCTTATGGACACAAACTATATGTCTGTATGTCATCTACCCAGTATCCAGTACCCCCCCCATAATTCACTATGGCAGTCACCATATTTGGGTATAGGGATCGGCGCCACTGAAATTAATAATACAAATTCATATCATATTATGATAATATAATTCTGTGGCTTGGTGCAAGAAGGGCCAATGTTACATTTCGTGATCGTTGGAAAATGGGCTTTGCAATTTTAATTCCCTATTAGGATCTGTGTATTTGATTAAACGTATATTTTTGTATAATTTTCAATTTTTACAAAAACTTAAACAATTTTTATTTAAAAAATAAAAAGCCGGCAACTTTGCATGTGGGTACAGCCACTGTTGTAGGTGTGAATTTGGGAAAGTAGTAGAGGAGAAATTTAATGTATATCTGTTAGCAACAATAAACCATTGCTAACGAAAAAACGATTCTGAGTGAAGTTCAGTTGATAGTGTTGCTTTGTCAACAATATATATGCCATATTATGGCAAAATTACATAGGCATTATATGTTTTCTTTAATTATATTTGTTTAATATTGTACCAATTCTCCCAATTTTCCCATACGGTTTTCCCATGTTTTTCTTATTTATCGGGAAAACTCTCGGGAAAAATCAAAAAACTATCTCCTTAAAGTACCTCCTCAGTCAGATTTCCTTTTAGAAAAAATGAATCTCTGTAAATCGGATTAAAATTGAAATAGAAAAGTTGTTCATAAAAAAAATAAGGCTGTAACATTTTTTTAGATTCTGGGTGGAGGGAAGAAGCTTTTAGTTTTACAAAGATGTTTATTTTTTTTTTTATCTGTTTTAACTTTTCTACCAGAAATTTCACTCAGATTTCTAAGTTTTGCACCTTTTTTGAAAATAAATCAGACTGGGGAAGTACTTGAGGGAGTTCATTTTTCGATTTACTCGGGATTTTTTCCAATAAATGGGGAAAAATAGGAAAACCGAGAAAAAAGTAAGACAAACGGAAAAATCAGAACAATATTAAACAAATATTATTAAAGAAAACATATAATGCTTATCATATTACTATAAATACACTGATACACAAGGCCGGCTCTAGACAAAATTTATACATAGGCAAAATCAAAATTTGTCACCCTTTCGTTTTTGATCTCTCTATTTACCCCTTGTCCCCTTAACCATATCTTCAAACATATTCACGTGTACTTCGAGTTTAAGCCATAGTACATTTATATAGTCCACATTTTCGTTAAAATTTAAGTACTTTAAAATAATACATTTTCTTATTACAACATATCCTAAATACGGTCCTGCCTAAGGAAATGCTGCCTCTTACATAATGCCGCCCTAGGCATAGGCCTGTGTTGCCTGTGCCTTCCGCCGGGCCTGCTGATACAATCGTAGTAATAACATCGAAGCAGACAGTAGTGTATAGTTCATAGCATGAATTAAGATATATATCTTAATTTATGATTCATAGTTATCGTATTGTTGTTAATATTTGTAAAAATTGATATTCGTAAATCGTAGTTATTGTATACGTGATCAGTGACGCACGCAGGATTTTTCAATGGGGGAGGAGGGGGGTTTGAAAATTGATAGTTAATCAGTTGTTTTTTCATAAGTTTGAAAAATAAAGTATGTTATTTTTTATAGTGGGTGCATTCTTAGTTCTGACTAATATTAAACATAAAATATACACACAAAAAATTTAAAAAAAAAGCTGTAATATTTTGTTAACTACAAAAATGTTGGCAGTAAAATATAATTTTTAAGCTAGTAGAGTATTAAAAAAGCTAGAGATTAACCAACATTTTAGAATATTATGAATTGTGGATGGCGTTACTTACCGTAATTTTTTCTTCTAACTAAAATTCGAAAACAAATTCAATCTTTTTTCTGTCATAAAATTATTTTAGTGTGAAAAACTATAAAATTCGTTTTACACAAAAACAATGACGATAAATCTAAGTATACAAAATATTGTTACTTTGGCACTCAAGAGACACTAAATTATTTAGACACATAATTGTTTTTCACTAATTAAAAGTTACCTATATTATTATTATTTACAACATCCGTGGACTAACTTGACGTGTTGATTGTTGCTAACAATCTAAGGTTATGTAGCAGCCCACGTATGCACGATAACACCAACCGTCAAATATGTAATAATAAAACCATTGTTTATAACGAGTGTTACCACAGTTAGATAAAAATAATATAATCTTATCAGCCTTATTCTGTGATAATATAGTAACATAGTATGGTTTTAATAGACAATGGTGGTAAATTAAATTGTTTTTCTTACGAAAATAGTGTATTTTATGAAAAAAATGTCCTTACTTACCAATTATTGTTACAGTTGAAACTTGAAGATATAAAATTGATATATGTATACAATTTTTCTAGGACAATTCACCGTCGTCATTATTTCGCTCTAAAAATAGTACCCTATTGTATTTACCCGATGTACAATATTATATTAAATTTAAAAAATTGATACATTTTCAATAATCGTTACCTGTAATAGAGTTCATATTTACTCACTATAATAACATTATTGAATATTGATATAATATGTATCTATTGATAAATTACTTATCCTAATATAAAAATAATAATAATAACGGGAATTTCATAGCATTAAGTTGATCGTAGTTATATTTTTCTAGTCGACTACTCGCTAGTGCGGTTTTAGATTCCGAGCGTAGCGAAATTAGGCCTATCGGATCTATGTAAAACATTTTTTGAAAAAATTTACTCCAATATACTTATCAAGTACAGCACTTATTCTGAAATGAAATTAGGTGACATCGACTTAGCCAAGTTCACCCAAATGGACACCCATTCAACTATGGTACAACAATGGCCTTATCGATAATTCCGTATTAATATGAAGTCTATTGAAATAACGTCATCTCAATAATTGTGTTTTTATTTTATTAAATCACAATATTAATATAATTACATTTTAAGATATAACTATTTTCAAAGTAACGTTTATTTATGTTATGTTTGTATTAAATTTTCAGAACACATTGATAAATCAACAAAGCATTTACACTCCAATAAATAACTTAATGGCACATACTATACCACAGCCTTTTATTCAGGCAGGCATACAATCGGTTCCCATTATGTAAGTTTTGAATATATTAATAATAGCTTAAACTAAATCTAAGAATAATGTTCATATTGATATTTAATTTGTAGCTATAATTTCCTTTATGTCAATAGGCACATGAGCAGTACGCCTATGTACAGTCCATTATACGACAATCAAATGTGGCAGTTTTATGATGTTCAACGTTTTAATAATGATGGTCAGGTCCAACAACAGCAACAGATTTTGAATCAGCCACATCAATTGTATGGCGCTCAATTTTTGCAAGGCAGAAACACAAACGCTCCGATGTCCAATAACAATGTAATGCTTTGAGAAAATATGATATAAATGATAAGTAAAAATAGAATAAAATTTGTTTTAATTAGACGTAAAAAAATATTTTCAATTCATCTATAGGAAACATCCTGTAGTTTGATATTCAATATTATAGTTTGATGCAGTATTGATATTCATTCTATTTAAATATCATCATCTTAATAATTGTGTTTTTATTTTATTAAACTATAATTAATATAATTCCATTTAAAGCTATGATCTTTTTCTAAGTCCCATTTGTTAAAGTTATGTATAAATTAAAATTTCAGAACACACCATTGATGCATCAACAAAGTTACTACATTAACGGACCTATGTACAGTCTAGTCTTTGAAAACCTACCACATGGTAATTAAGTAAGACAGTTTCACGTCACAGATCACGTCCAAAATATGCAACAAATGTTGAACCAGCCATAGAAATTATATATAATTCTATAAAGAATTTCATCATCTTGTCAAAATTTAGCTACTTTATTTTCTTTTTAGATTTAGAGCGTAGCAAGTAATCTATTGGTTTTACTATGTGTGTTTTTATATTTATTTTTTTTTGTATTTTTCTGTCAGTGAACAACTTTTCTTGTTACGAAAACTTGTTCCGAAGTAAAAACTATAACACCAGTAGCCATTATTTCTGATTTTCTGATAGTGCATATTTTAAAATTTGATACTTATCACTAATAACTGTAGGAAAGTTGTGGATTCACAATTAATTTTCTTATTCTATATTATACTGGTTATATATATATATTTTGATTATTTCATGAAAAATACTATAAAAATGTTATTTCTAACATCCCTCTTACATAAGGCGTCTTACCTCTACACAATTTATACCCCAGTAAAATATTTAACCTTTTTTTTATATATTCATTAACTTTATTACCTTTACATATCTAATAAAACATATTATAAAAACTTATTTTTTATTGAAGTTTTGTTATATTATCATATCAATAAATGTATTACAATATCATTTGTTTGTAATAATATTCTTTCCTCTACAATATTTTTAGTATTCAGTTAGATAGAGTAACTACCATTAGTGATTGGGGTAATTTTTTTAAAATTCTGATTTTACATTTTATTTTTATTTTAATATAATTTTCAATAAATTCTTCAAAATGATTGGTTTTTTTTGAAATAGAAGTGCCGTTTTCAATTTAATAATACATTTTGATTAAAATCACTATATTGTTCCATGGTTAAATCTTACTTAGAGTTTTGTTCACAAATTTGGTCTCTAAACTATTCTGTTCATATTTTTAAAATTGGAAATGTACAATTTATATTTTTAAAATACTTGACTTTTAAAAAAGAGCTACCTTTCTTTAAGGATTTATATTCTTTGATTGCAAACTCAATTGGCTTTGTTCATGTGAAATTAGTCACAAAGTTGCAGATATAATAATCATTTATAACCTCATTAATTATAATATCGACTGTTCTGATTTATTACTTCAAGTTGGATTGCATATTCCATTACATTTAACAAGATCATTAGCATTGTTTTCTTTACCTAATTATACAAATATTTTAGCAGCTAGTATTTTTTTTCCTTATAGCTTTACCTTTAGCAAATTCTGTGTGTATGTTTGTCGATTTTTTTGATATGTCTCGTGTTCGGTTTAAGTATAGTGTTTTGTCAATTTTACATTCTAATTCTTAATTTCTTATTATGTATTCTTTTTTCTTTTTATAATTATATAGTCACTTAATTTTTCAATTTATTAATATATTATGTATTTATTTATTAATTATTATTTACTTATTTATTATTATTGTACTACCTATTTTTAATTGTTTAATGCTATTTAATCATGTTCTAATTGTTAATTTAAAGGGCATCATGCCCGTTCATGAAATATAAAATAAAATAAAAATCTTCACTTTTTTCGGCATTGGGAAAAACACCTTGAAACCGTGTTTGCTTTATACCTATAGTTTGATAAACGTAATTGAGACATTATTTCCATGACTACTATTCCAACACTAGAGTTATCCAAAAAAAATAACCGCATGTAATATAACTATTTATTCGGTCAATTTAAAATAAATGGTAATATATTACATTTTTTTTCTGCAGGGACTGGTTATCGATACCAAGGTTTTACATTATTTAATTTAATTAATTTGCATTTATAAATTTATAATAATTTAAAATTGACTATTATTGGTTTTATTTCAATAGTACCTGATAAAATATAACCTAGAATATTTTTTTTATCAATTCACTCATAATTTTTACTCAACAGTTAATTTACTATGTCCACTTAAGCCACTAGGTATTCGTTTGTTATACGTACACATAACAATTTTATACATATAGTTAATAAGTTGAGCAGTGCATGTTGGCAACGTTACACTCATTTTTGTACGCAGTCGTACAAACGTACGCAATCGTTATCACCGAGATAAATGATTTGTGTTATTACATAGATATAAAAATACCTATGCAATATACTAATAAAAACAGGAAGATAACCACTCAAGTATGTGTTCTTTAACATTAAAATTTTTAAAATAAATGTTTATTTTTAAATTTATAGACATTGAGTTATAATAGGTTGATGCTAGATAGTCCATACATTTTTACCAAAATATTTCTTAAAATATTATTTTATATTTTATATTATATTAATTATTATAAGTAATTATCTTTTATTATCATTAGTAGTTACCCAGTAATTAAAATTTTTTATTAACCACATTATGGCTATCTTCTTAAATAGAATATTAACTGGTAGAATATAAAATTACTTAAAATTATAATCTGAAGAGCAGGGTTTAGCACTAAAACCATACTACCTTTAGGCTCAAAGGTAAATTCTGTGTCATTTTATTAGTTCAAAATTAATAAAATAAAACTAGTAGTTATAAATAATAATTATTACTGTTATTATCGGCGTATAGAAGGTATTTTATTGTTAAAAATTATAAAAAATATTAAGTTCTTTTTCTTAAATTATATATTTCTTAAATTCTCACCTATAACAATGGCCTATACATGGTATGAAGTAAGGAATTAAAACTTCAAAAGAAAAATATATTTTTAGTAGATCTCTACCAAAAAAATGTTTGGCCGCCATTGGTTGTATCGATTTTCCCAGTATTCCTATGTTTTTTCCGGTTTTCTCATGTTTTATCCCGGTTTTTTACATTTGCTGGGAAAACTTTTAGGAAAATCGATATTTATCTATTTTATATATTTTTTTTAAAACTATAACTACAAAAATAATTTTTATAAAATCTTAGATAGCTGTTTTATAAATATATTTTGAAATAAAACTATAGTGTTAAAAATATTGACTAATGGATTGTTAAATTTTTACAATCTTTTAAAGTTTACAGTAATTTAAATTGTTTTTATTTGCTACTACAAAATAATATCAATTGATTCGCCAATTTATTCATAAATTTATATTTTTCTTTTCTAGACTTGGTCAAATCCTCAAAACATTTGTTTCATTTTTAAGCTAGGCATTTAAATTTTTTCTAGTTATTTTACGTCATTATTATTCGGTATGTACTCTGAGGATAAAAATTGTTAGGCTTAACAGAAATGCATGCAATTTTAACAGAAGTTTCATTATATTCGTAATTTGCGATCAAAAAAAAAAAAATTAATTCAATGGAGTATTTTTGTTTGTTTTATAAAAATATATGTTAATATCAAATTTTGGCGAAAATCATAAATATACGGCCTTTCAAAACATGTATAACCGAACTTCGCTCCGAATCATTTTTCATAAATAATGGATTATCGTTGTGTACAGGTGTAAATTTATTTCCTCTCTATATTCTACCACCTTCCCAACTTCTTACCTATAACAGCGGCTATCCGTTATGTAAATATGTCTTGTATAATATATTGTTTTACAAAAAATATAAAATGGAGGAATCATAGGGCAATGCTCTAGAAATTATTATAAGAAAAAAAAAATCTTAAACAGAAATAACAACAAAATGAACAGAAAAGAACAGAATAAAAATTATTGTAGGTTTCAAATCCTCGTATTACATTCTGTATTTTATATCGCAGACAACGTATGACAACGTGCAAAGAAGGTAGGTACAAGGAGTGAATACGTATCGTATGATTATTATATAGGTACTTAATTATATTGTAATTTTAAGCTCACATAGTTTTATGATGATGCGTGTAGGTATTTAAATAACGTATGATTAGTAAGATAAATAATAATAATAATAATATTATTGTAATGGTCGTTATGGCTGGGTCAATTTAATAATTGTGTTTCGTTTTGTTAAAAATAATAATATTTAATAACAATACATTTTATATCTAAAGGTAATAACAATAATAATTATACATTAACATAGTAATATTATATAGATAGATAGTATAGATAGTACAGTATTTTTTTTTTTCAAAGATTGAACTTATTATTCTATATAAATACATAGGTACCTATAATAGTTTTTAATTTTAATTAATGATTTCTGCTGAACACAGTGTTAAGCAGTCGTTACCTATAACGTTTGCAGAGTAAATTATGTATCTGATCTAAATCAAAATCTCAACCCTCAGACTGACTTTTAGAATTATTATTAATGGTTAGTCTTTTAGGGTGAAGATGTTGATTTCAGTCGATTATATAATACATATAGGCATCTAATGCTACTTTTATAATTGCACGAATTACAGTAGCAGTGATTTCGCAGTTGGTCCGGACCAGTCCGTCCTTGAAAAATAAACGAAATTAATTTTTTTTTCTTTTTATCATATTCTATTATTTTTTCAAGCGAATCACATATATAAATTATAAAATAATTAATATTATAATTATAATATTATGATATTATAGTATCGTACAACGTTTGTCGATGTACAAAATTAACTTTATTATGTAAGTATGGGCATTATCATAATATTTATAAATGTATTACCACTATTTTATAGGTATTATATAATATTTTGTATCTGTATCATACAATGATGTTCGTGCCTAATAATGTACTGTAGTTAGGTATTCGTTTTTTATGCGGTGTCGGAAAAAAAAAATACAATACACGTGGTTTGGCATTCGTCGGAACCTATAGCTTCCGATCTAACTTCCACCTATTATAATATAATATATAATTTATATATGATAATAATAATAATATTAGATTAGGTATAGCAGAGCTCTAAGGAATGCCGTGTATCGGCGTGGTGTCTTCCAGACTGGTGGGCGAGTCTTTTTCGGCCGTGTATTTAGTTCTTTTCGTCCCGGGCTCTTGTAAACGCATTTTTTCCGGGTCGACCGACTGCGCCTCGTCCTTCTCCAACATGAACAGCACGCCAAAGTTCAATTGTCTGATATCGTAATAAATTGATAGCGTCAACATCACACACACGAGTCCCACGACCAGATAGCCTAAATGTATACACACAAAAAAATATATATACGTACAGAACCATTATTATATATAATATAAATCATTATTTTCGTTTTTCAGACCCATCTACGCATAAAAAGTCGCACCCATATTTATTTTTTTTTATGTTACCTATAGTACCTACGTCATAACAGTAGGTATATATGATACCTTTGATACATGCATTGGTATAGACTGGCCGTTTATATTAATCATTATTGCAGGACGAGCGATATTTTAAATCATTTTGACATTTTTCCTTTTTATATCTACCTATACCTACCTATATAGAAGACATATTATTATATTTACACCGAGTTACATATTCTTTATAATATAGAGTGTATCGCGGTCAATTTATTTTAAGTCCTTATCCTTACGTGTATATATATTTGACGGCTGCGTTTTTCGACAAATACATTTATTTACACACACAGACACACACACACACAGGCACACACACACATATACATACACACGCATATGGAGTGAAGTATCAAAGTGCCCGGAACAGGAGGAGAGGCAAGAGGCCGTATTAGGATTGTAGTCATTGAAAAAAAAAATGGTATTTAGAACAAAAAGCTGGAAAAAAAATGTAAGATTTGAGTTTGATTGGTTTTAATTTTGAAAACAGATTTGGATTTATTTATAATAGTTTACTATGGGTTTTGACGGACGCGATTCAAATATTCCGAAAATTGTTTGTGTTATGAGTTTATGACTTATGATGAAGTAAAATATAGATTCAAAAATACCATGATTATGTTAATCAGTATAAAAGCTAAAAAAAAAGAAAAAATATTTAAAGTCATCGCCGTCATAACTTACGGCGTTTTTTTGTTAGTTTCACTATTTCACTGAGGGCGCACTGAGTGCCACTGGCGTGTTCTATTTACGTATTTACATCACTGTGTTCTATCTTGAAAACTGCACTGTACTCAGTGCGGAACTGACGCACGAGTTTTTTGAGACGGGTTTTAAAGACAGTTATTTAAAAATCATAGGCATGCGCAGACCTTGCTGGCAGAGGGGGCAGAATATATATTTATATTATTATTACATATTATATTTTATATGTAATATAATTTAATATTACTTTGGTTATTAGTTAGTTCAATTAATATTAGTGATGGAAGTATTTAAATTTTATACATCAATGACTTAATCACAAATTTAATATAATAATTGAAATTGCACAGTTTTCGGAAGAAAAATTAAGACCACGAGAGGGGTAGCTGCCCTCCTCCCCGTATGATTGGCCAACATTTTAGAACGCATTATAGTGAAGAACGTTTCTATATCGTGGATCGATTATTATTTTTATAATACTACCCAATCATTTTTTATAAGTAAATAAAAAAATAGGAACGTTTACCAGTACTACAATTATTATATTTTTGTTGAGAAAAAATATAAGTACTCTACGATTATGTTCTTCTTTATGTATTGGGACATTTTGGTAATTCTACCGTAAATATTATGGTGTGTGTTAAGTTGTCTAGCACAAAACCATTTCTATGATCGAATTACAGGTACCCGTACCTGTTACATCCTTTCATTATAAGAAAACGCCACAGATACATTTGTCTCTGTATTATAAATGCAGTGCATATAATATATGTGTTCAGCAAAACCAATTTTGCACTGTCAGTTTTAATAGTAAAGGGAATTGATCTGTAATCGAACTTAAAGGTAAAAACATAATCTTGGTATAGGTAACTTTATTGTGTTTGGACGTTGTGAAAAATGTCCAAATATCAAAATGACTACATGAAAATATTATATTCCATTATTATATTCTTATATTTCCATGGTTATCTATATGGTCATGGAAAAAATGTTTATTTAAATAAAAAAAAAAATTGAAATTTAATAATTTCATCTGGCTATCTATATTAAGGAAGAAATCTGTGTTTTTTGTTATTTTAATTTTTAGAAGTGTGAAATATCACAATATAAAATGTATTTCCACGCTTAAAAATTAAAACCAATACACAAACATAGACAACGTTCTTACCTTTAAGTCTGATAATAGGTCAATCTATTCTAATAATAAAATCAACAGCACAAAATTTGAATGCAAACTTGGTAACTATGCCATCTATATAATAGGTATAGAATATGGAACAGTAGGTATATGTATTTCAAAAATTTCATTAGCTTGTATTGAAATCTATACGAAATTGATTTCAGCTCTTTTTTTCCCCGGGGCCAAAGATATTATATCGTAATGACTTACCGGTAATTATTAGCTTGTAGAGCGGTCTGTACTTTTGGTCGGGAGAATCACCCGGTATGTAGTCACCGAGCCCGATGGTGGTCAGCGATATGAAACAGTAGTACAAGGAATCCATGTAGTTCCATTCGGGTTCCAGGTACGTGAATATGGCCGCAGGCAGCAGCAGGAACAGGGATATCAGCGTGCCGAGTATTGTGCCGAAGTGCAGCAGTCGTATAGTGAATGGCGGGTACAGGTGTCCGAGGTGGCTGTTGAGATAATGTAAGTACTTGGTGGTAGGTATCATGAGCCGGTCGACTAATGCGGTCAACAGAACCAGCGTCAGTGGTATGCCGATGAGCGCGTAGAGCATGCAAAACAATTTGCCTTCTTGAGACAGCGGCGTGACGTGACCGTAACCTACGGGATGGTTAAATCATATTTTAAAATTTTTTTTGTTGGTATGTTTGTCGCAACTCACAAGACGAATTCAACGTTAGTAGGCAAGTACCTACTGAATAGTCAATAACGAACGAGGGTATTCGCTTAAATTGTTTTGACAGAATTAAAAGCAGAAATAGTATATCTACTTGGTTTTATTTGGCAAATATAAAATATTTGGCTGTAGATTGTAGACTTAATTATTTAATTTTTAGTTTAATTTCTCTCTCTCTCTATGCATATATATATATATATAGAGAGAGAGAATATATATATATAAATATATGTAAGCGGCTTTTTCCTGTCTGACTGATAAAGAATCAACGCACAACTTAAACAGTTGGGGTCAGAAACTCGACATTTTTAGTATATACCTTGACGACATGGATGATAATTGTTACCACCAAGAAAACCGTTACTTAGATATTAATAGAACTTTTAATATCTATATAATATAATTTACACTATTATTTTTTTTCCTTATGGAAGGGATACCTCTACGTGTCGTAAGAGATGACAAATGTGAAATATGGTTGTGTCAGGTCAGTAGCCGGTATAACATTCTTTCAAACAATATGGGAATTCCAAACAGAATTTGGGTGGATTATCCCATCTTCGGATATGCGCGGATACAACAAATGAGAGGAAGCACTATGGTATATGATGTTTGCAGATGATATAGTGTTGATATGAGAAAATCTTGAAGAAGTTTGCAATAGACTTAAGGAATGAAGAGTAACATCTAAGTGACAAAGTGACTAAAGATAAGTAGAAGTAAAACAAAGTATATAGAGTATGAGATTGGAGGAACAGGGCAAGATAGCTAAAGAAAATAAGTGGTGATATAATAGGCAAGGTTGAAAATTTTAAGTATACCTACCAAGGATCTTTTGTACAAAAGAACGGTGAATTTGACGAGTATTTAACAGTAAAATAAGAATAGATATATTTTTTCAAAGTGTTTCGTACTCAAGATTTAAAGTATATATAGGTATTATAGTAGGAACTTATGCAGTTAAATCTGAATGACCCAAGAGCTTTTCAAGTTATATTTGACACGGTAGTAGCGAGACTCTCTAAATGCGGTGTGCATTTAGGGGTCATTTACTACTAGGTTATACAATATTTTTAATATATTAATATATATGTATATATTACTAATTAACAATGAATATTGTTTTATAGATCCATTTTGTAAAGTTATCTATATCAGTGATTTTTAAACTTTTGATGCACACGGCCCCCCGATGAAAGACTTTTAGAAATCGCAGACCTCTACCAATTTTCTTTCGAAAACCTATTTTTATATTTTACAAAATATATTATGTTATTATAATCAATATTTACCGATAGAATCACCGCGGACCCCCGACATGAATATCGTGGACGCCTATAGGTAGCCTCTATTTCCTAATTTCGCATATCAAATATTTTATTTTCGAACAGTTTTTAAAAAAAATATGATTTGCTGTTCTAATTTGTTTTCATAAATATGACCATTAAACAATATTCTGCAAGTACATACAATTAATGAAATGCTCAAAAATCGAATTCTCTCAAATTCTCCGTAGATTTAATCATAATAAAACAATAAATAATCACTTTGTGTAATACAAAGTTACCTAACAAGCATTGCAAAACAAAATATTATTGTTTTAACAATAACAAAAATACCTATCTACGTCATAATAATAAACGATATGCATTTCTCAAATGAAATATCATTGGTTTTTTTTCTTTTTATTTAAATCGTTATTAGGTGTAGCAATAGTATTAGGTAAGTATTTAAGTATTGTTATACTGTTGTGTAAACTAATTCTGAATAAAATAATATAATAATTGTTGTAATGAATTAATGATTAATTAATTTTATGGAACTTAATAGATATAAAAATGTTTATTAATTTTCTCTTGAAAGTATAATTTTTTTACCAAGACTTATATCATGCATTTTTTTGATGGATTTTAGGAAGTAAATTTGATTTTTCCTATATTTGTATTATTAATTCATTATGATCATTATTATAGAATTATTTAGGCTTTATTTCATACTATTTTCAAACTTGTACTTCTAGTTTTTATTATAGTATCTGAAATAAGTAATAACTTTTTAAAATGTTAAATTTGATTGGTTTGTATGAAAAGTGGGATGGGGAATTAAAAATCGAAAGCTGATATATGTTTCCGTGTAATAAATAAAAGTAAAGTTGTAAAAATATATTTTTAAACATACGTTTTTATAATGAATGATAAAATACCAAATACAACTCGATTTTACTTTAAAATCATAGTAAGTAATGATTTCTAGATCACGACTGAAAAAAAATTACCCTGTATTCAATGTATTGTATATTTTTTAACTGTATTTTTTTTATTGTATATAGAAATATATAGTTCAATAAAAAATTATTGTATATTATTTACCTATAGTCGTTATTACGGTACAAGCAAAAAATAGAGACTGTCCGAAACTCCAGTTAGGTTCTCCAGAGACATTATTGGCCGCTGAAACGCCTCTGTTACTGGCGGCTAAAACTTCTTTTATGAAATTCTCCAAAGATATATCTGAAACGAAACGAAAATCGAATAGATTATATTATTAAAGATATTCCATCAATATAGGGTTTAATCGGTAAACCTATTAGTTATTACGTGCTATATTTGTATTTGCGTGTTTTCTTGTAAGATAAATTCTAATAAATTCAAAAATTAACGCGGAATATTTCAGCCGGATTTATTTAGATCGAAATGGATTATTATTAGTAAGATGGAGGTAGCACCAAATCAAACATCTTGCATTAATTTTTGATTCGGAGTGGAGCGAAAAAGCTTATGGTTTTACAAAGATGTTTATTTATTTATTTTTTATTTTTGTGGACAACTTTTCTACCAGAGAACTTGCTACGATTTTTACGTGTAGCACTTTTTCTGAAAAAAAATATGACTGGTAAGGTACTTTAAAGAAGTCATTTTTCGATTTTCTCAACAGTTTTCTCGCATATGTGAAAAATCGAGATAAAACATGAGAAAATCGGGAAAAACGTAGGAAATCGGTACATCATTAAACAAATATTATTAAAAAAAATATATAAAGCCTATTTAATTATTTTACTATAATATGGCATATATATTGTTGTCAAAGTATCACTATGAACTGAACTCCGCTTAGAATCGTTTTTTCGTAAGCAATGGTTTATCGTTGCTAGCAGGTATACATTAAATTACCTGCAGTGGTTGCACCCGTCCCCATTATCCTAGGACGTCATTTTAAAAATTAAACCCTTACAGTGTGCATATGCGCAATAAAACTTAAATTGTCGTAAACGGATACACCAAATTCGAATAGTTCTATAAGATTTTTCAAACAACATTTATCATTTTTCTTTCTCGAAAATTCACTGAGATACAGCCACCATAATTGATTAAAAATTATGATTTTTCCCGATTTTTTAAAAAATGTAAAACGTAATTAGGTATAAATTATTAAGAACCTATTATGAATATTTAATTGTATGTTTATATCTTAATTGTGTTTTTTTTAAGTAATTTCAAATTTCTTCAATCTATAAAACTTTTTACAAAATCGACAAAAGCCATACTATTTAATAAATTACAGACGACTGAGAGAATTTTTCAGATAGAAAAGAATTGTAGTAGGTAGTCAAAGTTGCTTTGAAAAATAGGACTATTCGAATCTGGTGTTAAATATAGGTGTTTCCATTTTAAAAAATGTAAAATACGTGTATGTCGTGTACATTTTGGTGATTCACATTTCTAAAAATAAGCTTAAAATGTGTAATTTGATACTCCCCCCCATCTTATAAAACATTATTTCGTGTTATCATTTTAGTGAAACACACTGTATATACTTACAGTATTGAATCATTATAAAATGTCGATATAGCTACTCGCGCGGAAATGTATAACAAATTTAATTTTATTGTAATTGTTTTATCGGCTTCAAACTTTCAACTCTTACAACACAATATCGATTCGATGATATATTAAAAACGGTTTCGGTAAATGCGTTTCTCTTGTATAAATACAATACGGATCAGTATCGTGGGTACACATACAAGGAATATCATTTACGAGCAATTTGATTCTATTCATTATTTATTATCCATTTGAGACTAACATAATAATTTAATTATTGTTAATTATTATTTGGCCAATTTTATTTTCAATATAGCAATATTACAAAAAAAATGAGCAAATACTGCATATTATGGGAAAGCCATTGTTGTGCTGTTGTAGGTGAGAAGTTGGCATGATGAGGATATATTATAATGTATAGGTTAATTTGATTTGTATGTATAATGAGGTATTATATTATGTAGCGATCAAATTATTGCACAAATTAAATTATTAAGTACAGCCAGAATGTGCCATCACCCAACCAACTCGAGCATTCTTTTAAGATATTTAAATTTTTTAAAGTTGAAAATATTAATACACGCTTTTGAGTTTTACTGTCGTAAAATAAAAACATGTCACCTTTGCTTGTTACCAAATGTTTACCAGAAATTATTGTATAACATGCTGTACATTTTTATTTTTTGTACTAAGTACAACGCCAAATGTATTTGTTTACACCTTTTTTTGTAAAACGAATGAATCTTATGAAGTAATTAACTTTAGCCTTTTTGGCTTACAATAAACTCTAAAGGGATTCTTGATTCTTATATCTGTTCAAACTAAGAATGAAACTGGAACTGATGACTTGTAGTCGATATGGTCGATATATCGATACAATTGGTACGTCGATAAAATCGTTTATCATGATTTATCATGTTATTATTGCCTACAGGAAAATGTATTTCTCGTAATATTTTCGTGATAAACTCGTAGGGTATAATTCGTATTCATTCGTAATCGTAAAAAATATTTCAGACAGTACTATATAATAGGTAATAATATGGTGATTCGTTATTATTTCTTGTGCAATATTTTAATTAGAGATATTTGTATAGGAGATATTTTTTACTATAGATATTGTTAACTGGAGATATTCTTAATTGGAGAAATTTTGTTGGAGATATTATGGCCGGAGATATTTTGACCGGTCACCAAAATTATATAGACATCTTTGGAGATCTCGACAGTCAGAAGTGTCATTTATAACATTAAATACCTTCAGGTCGTCAGCGAAAAGTGAAAATTTATAAGATGAAAAGTAATGATACACATCATTAATAAATACGGTAAATAGCCACGGAGAAAGATCCCCCCCTTGTGGGACATCCGAGGTAACGGTAGAGGGAAAAGAAGAACAATTATGCATTTTTACGAATTGGATACGAGAAGTGAGATATGAGTTGAACCATGCATAGGCAGAACTCGGGGAGGAGGGAAGCCGGGGGATTAATCCCCAGGCGTAAAATTTTAGTAGGCGTAATTTTTTTGTGGGCTTATATTTAGTGTTTGGTGTTAGAAATTAGAAAAATATTTATATTTCACATAATTTGTTTATGATGTGACGATGGCCACATTCGAAGGAATAAAAATCAAAAAAATAAAATCATACACAGCCTAAAATAATTAATCGTCATTATCTAATTAATCTAATACAGCGCGATCGGTGTACGGTGTGTGTCGATAGTACATATTACATAGAGACAGATTACAAAATTACAGACTAATAATAAAAATAATGTAATATAAAACATAAACCTATAAACGTATATGAATAATAAATATAAATATAATACATACAGAGTGATTTTTTTATCGATGTACACTCATTATTTCGAAAATAAATTTTTTTCACATGATAAAATGATAAAAGAATCATTCTGTATATAATAAATATGAACGTTATCCGCGTTATCGTCGACGCACGGCGATTATACGCGATGAGGACAAAAATAGTACAAAATTAATTACCATATTATAAATACATTATTTTGCCATTTGTCATTTACATGTTATATAATTGGGCGTAATTTTAACATTTTTCCCCGGCGTAAAAAAAATCCTAGTTCCGCCTCTAGATAACAAAGGATCAGATACATCAAAAAGTTTTAGCTAATTTACTAGGGAGTCATGATTAACGCTATCGAAAGATTTTTTAAGGTCAGTGTAAACGACATCAACTTGTGCACCTGATTTAATTGATTCCATCAAAAAATGGTGTAAGGAAACTAGATGTGTTACAGTAGAACGGCCGGATCTAAACCCATGTTGTTCGTTTATAAATATATTTTTGAAGCAGGAGTTAACTTTTGGTAATAGCATTTTTTTTAAAAAACTTAAAGATTGCAGATAAAATTGAAATCGGCCTGTGGTTGTCGATATTTGACTTATTACTAATTTTAAAAAAAGACGTCCTAGGAAATAGAGACGGGTGCAGCCACTGTTATAGGTAATTTAATGTATATCTGTAAGCAACGATAAGCCATTGCTAACGAAAAAACGATTCTGATATTTAATTGATAGTGATGCTTTGTCAAGGATATATAGGTCATATTAAGGTAAAATAATTAAATAGGCATTATATATTTTCTTTAATGATATTTGTTTAATATTGTACCAATTTTCCCGGTTTTTCACATTTGCAGGGAGAACTTTTGGAAAAATCGAAAAATGACCCGGATGGAATCAGTTGAATTTTAAACTGCACATAAACGTGATTGCAATAAATTAATATTTTAAATTTTGAAAAAAATGAAACAATTGTATCAACATTTTTAGTTTTATTTAGTGCAATTAGGCTTTTAGTCAATCCAAATACTTGTATTTTAAATAATAATAATAATTTTAGAAAAATATATCAACGGCTATGCTATTTTATAAGAATCTGAATTTATCACATACAATGTCTATATAACCTTATTCATTTGCTTTACTTTGTTCGTTAACATAGCTCACTCGATTTATTTTGTGCTTTTAGGTTTGAAAATTATCTTAAAGAATTAAAACAAATTATGAAACGTGCCAAATATCCTTTACAAGAGGTTAGTAACACAACTATTGAAAAATATAACAAAATAAATAGTTTTACTATTGCAAGTCAAATAAAATATCCATTATTTCAAAAAAAAAAAAATCTAAACATTTCTTAGGATGTTAGTGAAAAACTTATGAATAAGTGATTTTATATAAAAACTGTTTATTAAAATTAATTCTGTTAACAATAAATGTGTCATGTTAAAAGGTGGTGATTTAGTTATAATAAAAAATATAATAAAATTAGGTGATAGCGAAATAAAATTTTATGTCCAAAAATTGTTGAATGTTTCTGAAGTTTTAAATTTTTTTAATTATAACTTATCATCAAGAGATATTAGTTCTTTTGTTGTTGATTTTGATTCTGTAACAACTGATCAATCATATATAATACTGTTTAAATATAGTAAATATAAATAAAAAATGTAAATATAAAAATAAAAATAAATAAATGCGTCGTCAGGAGTATGATAAGTGTAGTATACGATCGGTTTTGAATTAAAAATTCATCATTAGGTATATTACATCAAGTTTTACATTTTGACTGTGATATAACTGATGATGAATTATTAATCGAAACCGATCGTATAATACACTTATCATACTCCTGACGACGCATTCATTTGTTTTTTTTTATTTTTATATATAAATTTTTTATTTATATATTTATTTACGAGTATTAACAATTTTGTTTTTACTTTATTATTTTATCATAAAATTGTTGTTTTTCTGAATGGTATTCAGTGCAAATTGTTTTTATTACAGCTATCTGTTTGTAAAGCAGTTATTATAAGTCATGGTTATTGATTATACTTAAGTATAAAAATATAATTCAACTGTTATTTAAAATTTTTTTTTTCATTTAACAAAACTGTCTTATTTATTATCATTATTTATTTATTTACCTAATTACGCACCACTAAACAAATTTAAAAGTAATAAGTAACGATCAAATGGTAATTTCACTACTTACTTACTTACACTTATAATAAGTATATATAGATATTGTGTATCGTAGGAGAGTTGTTGACATATCATTCATTATTTATACGTATTAGGTACCTACTTAAGTACCTATAGTATTTCAAAATCTTAAATTGGTTAGTAGTAAATTTTATAAATTAGAAAATTATTTTATTTAGATAATATGTATAGGTAGGTATTATAGGTACCTACTAATACAACTCGTTTTAATTAAATAAACATTGACAAAATAAAAATAAATAGGCAATAGGTAGGAAATGATAGTCGGCTATTTACTATTTAGAGTAAGTTCAGTTTAAAGTTTAGTCTCAGTTTCCAAAACAAATTGCCAATTTTGTGGTGTCGCTATATATATGTATAATATTTTAAAATTTAATTGAAAAATTATGTACCCATGAAACGTTTTTGTTTCAATATTTAGGTATTCTAGTGGTTAGGGCGTTAAGCAGTTAGACAGGTGGGTTATAAAGGGTCTCAGGTTCGATACCCGGTAACGAATTCCGTAGCATGTCCGCTTTTTGCATTTTTATTTCTCGTATTTTTTTTATTATTGTTGTACATTTATTTTAATTAAAAAAACGAAAAAATAAGTAGAAAGTACTGGAAAATGTAATATTTTATTAATACGATTCAGTTAAAAATGTTTGTAGAGACTTCACATTTTTACAATAAAATGGCTCAGCACTGACACATTGTACAATTGGCTCGAAAATTGTGTCAACAAATTTCTAATAATTTTCTAGATTTTGCTAGGTCATTTTAAGAATAAGTAGGTATCTAATACCTAAATATGATTTTTAATCTATTTATATGATAATCGTTTTACATTTAAGTTTATAGAACATAGTAAAAATATATGATACTATAATCATTATAAGTATCTTGTTAAATGCATATTTTATTTAAATAGGGTTGTCCCAAATGATAATCCTGTGCTCCTCATTCGTATTCTATAATTAATTATTAATTATTGCACGTCAACCTATTTAAGGTAATATGTATCGTATCTATACAACATCATTACATTATCATTTGAGTATAAGTACACAAACCGCAGTAATATTGCACAGATTATTGTGAACGTATTTTTGGTTCAGTAAATAAATTGCAGTATATTCTTGTACGATAATATATTATACAAAATCCTATAAGTATTTATTTATATAAAATTTTTTTTTTTTATTTTATCATTTAAATTTTAATAACAAGTACTTATCTAATCATTATATTTTTACGTTATATAAGTACCTAGCACTAAAAATAAAAAAAATAATAAATTCCTACCTAATCGACTTGACGGATAATCTATATGTAAGTAATATATAGATTATTTTATGATAAAATATGAGTGGGCTCTCGCATATAGGCAGGAACATTTAATATTGTTAGCGTCATGTATAAAATATAATATATTCTTATGTTACATTAGGTAGGTATAACCGTATGGGTACTGCGAAAATTTTACATTATGTGTTTGATGTATGTATAATAACTCAATTATGTATTAAAATTATATAACACAGAATATTCATTTGAACGCATTTTAACGAAATCACCGGAAAACGTAACTTTGTTTAATTTTGTTTCCGTTTCTACATACATTATTATATACGTATATCTACCTTCTATGGGCTTTATAATAACGGTTTCACAACTTAATACATTTTGGTTATATTTTATTAATATTTCAATTCCACGATAGTGTACAAATACGTTATAATTTGATTATTCAAAAATAGTATTTTGGGATATTATGGCGGTGCATATTATAATGTCATCATTGTGTACGCATAATTTGTTAGTGAAGGAGGTTCAACAAAGAGCTTTATTTAAGAAATGATGTGGAAAACTATTACCGGTTAGTGACAAGCTTTGTTAAGTGACAAAATATAAGTGACATAGGCGAGACGTTTAGAGGCGTGTACAAGCGGGTATTAGACTTTGTAGGTCTGACTTTGAACCATTAAATATACCCGAAATATGCTTTTCAAAATAAATATTTAAAAATTAAAAACAATCATTTTTGTGTTTATTATTTTTTTTAAAACACACCAAACACTGTTTGTGAAATGGAAGTATATCAGTGAACTGTGTAGGTACCCGTTTAGACGTGTTTCTATAATATTTTGTGCCGTGAACATCTATCTGTAAGCGTTTCTAGGAAAACATTTAAAGGTATTAATTTTTTTTTATACTGAACTAAATATGTTGTAAAAGTTTTATCAATATGTTCAAAAAGTTCACAAAATAAAAAAGCCGCAGAAGTAAAAGCTATTAAACCAATTTTGTTCTTTTAACATAATATTTGTTCTAGCATTTCTTGATAATATTTTATCAACTGTCAACACACTTTCAATACACTTGCAATCTTCTACCCTTTATTTATAAAAATGTTTAAATTAAGTAAATGAAGTAGAATCTACTATAACAGAGCTACTTTGTTTACTTTCGAATAAACGTTTTAATAACTTTTATACAAAATCCGGAATTACGGCTTTAAAATTAAATATCAAATGATAAAAAACGAAATAAGAACATTAATAGTAGCTATTAATATGTATTAACTAAATATTTTATTACTTCAATGACAGATTTCAAAAGTAATAACCGGATACGATTCAAAAAGTGCGAGTTTCATATTTTACAGTGATAATTGATACATAATTAATATTGGTAGGTACATGTACAAGTACAAGTACCGAATGAAATTCACAAAAGGTTTAAAAGATTTAACAACAATTTTGATTTTTTAACCGTAATATCAGCATTCAATTTAACATCAAACAATTTTTTAAAAGATAATTTTGTTTTAAAATGTTTAGGTTAATACGAAAATGATAAATTGTCTTAAATAAAGTAGAGTCAAAACCGATTGAAATATGTATAATAGCATCAATAACAGTAAACATATGTTTGATTTTCCAAAGAAATATGTGCGATATGGAAAAATCATATTAGAAAATTAAATTGGTTTTAAAACACTTGTTGATTATACCAATATGTTCAACATCAGCCGAAAACAGTTTATTGACGATAAGAATAATTAAGACCTACAAATATTTACGGACACCAATAACTACTATGCGTCTTCAAAATTTAGCGTTGATATCAACTGAAAGTAAGTTCAATTTGAAGAGGATAGTGATTACCAGTGTTCAAATTAGGGGGGGGACTGCGCAAGGGGACGGAGCTTCTCTACTATTTTTTTTTTATTTTTTTGCGTACTTCAACTATATTTTTTTACTGGAACGGTGGGACGCCAAAAACTCATGTCCGAAATAATTTTTATTAAAATTTGAATTTCAATTGTTGTCAATTAAAAAACGAATTTTACTATTTTTAATTTCAAAGTTATTTTTGATATTAGTTTGATATTATCATTTTTCTATGCTCCGATATTTTTTTACCACATGGTATATCGATATTTTATCACATGAAACCACAATAACCAAACGATACTGCATAGTTGAATTAATTTAACTCAACTTTTGACCATGTGGTTACCATAAAATAATTAATTTATGGTGGTTACATACATTTAGAGTTGCGCGAAGATAACTAAAAATGTATCTATATAAAGATAAAAGATAATTAAAAACAATTTATCTAGATAGAAATAAAATACTAAGATACTATTTATCTGGATAAAAAAAAGACAACATTTTTAAAGTTATATTTATTTAAAGTTAATTATAAAGTTTTAATTTTTTTAATTAACTACAATTTTTTTACCAATTTATATTATATTCTAAAATCTATAATTTCCATTAGAATTTAGAAATAACACAAATAAGCAACCTGGATAGTATTATTACCTATTACTTTATGTTTTTAATTTTGTTCTCTATTTGTACAAGGTCAGTTTATTAATCAGACATGGGTTTTAACTTTCAAGTTCAATTTTTCGGGATTCTCGGATACATATAAATATTTATTTATCTAGATGAATTGAGTTAGATAACTCAATTATTCATCAGAGAACTAATTTCGTTTATTATCTAGATAAGATAAATGATAATTAATTATTTATCTAGATAATTTATTTAGATAATGCTGAATACTGTATACATTATCCGCAGAAAAGCGATAATAAAAAAAAAGGTAAAATATTAATATAATTTTTATTTTTTACTGGAACATATAGGATGTATAGGTATTGCTATCAAAATATATTTGGAATTTTAATATTTGTAGTTGATAAGTGGTATTCAAAATTCTGGTAAGGTGGGATGTGGAGGATGGCGAAGCCCTCCACGGGTTTGTGTTAAGTAATTGTGCACTTGGATCGCAGTTTTTGAATTGTTGGATTGAGCTCCTCCGCTTAATTTTTCCCAATTCGAGTATTAGCGATTACAAGATCCTTCAAAGATTATTAACGAGTTCACCAAAATAAAAAATAAAAAAAATCCAATTTAATAAATAAATAAAATAAACAATTATTATTATTGATATATATTGTGATTGACTACAAAGTTCATTTAAAAAAGAGATTTAAAAATTCACTTATAAAAAATGTGTATACTATACAAATTATTCTTATAACCGGGCCTGTTCAGAAATTTGATTCTGAACATGTCTCTAGGCTCTGGTAGCAATGCAATGTAAATCCCAAGGAAAATATTTTGAGGAAAGCTCAGGAAAAGATGAATTGAAGGGATGGAAGAAAGTTCAAAAAGTTTGGGAGTTAAAAACTGCATAGAGACCTGTTTAAGGAAGTCATTTACTATTACAGAGTATACAGGTATATCGATAGCAACAAAGAATAATAAGAAATTTGTATTAAGAATAATAATTAATTAAAATCGGGAATCAGAATGGAATTTTAATACCTACCTACCTATCTATTATAATTACTACACTATAATATAGTATTCAAACGAGATAGTTTATCAATAATATTTTAGCACATAAATGTGAGTTAAGTAGGAAATACAATACTACGTATGTGCAGTGTACATTGTACACCATACGTATAACTGTATTATGGCGTTTATTAAATATATTTCTGCAGTTTTAAAACTATTATATTTCATATTGGAAGTTTATCATCATCATTTATACGGCGTTATAGAAGATTATGATTGATAATTTGAAAATTGTCTATAACTTAACCGTCGCGCACGCACATGGAAGATAATAACGTCAAAATGTTATCGCGATTATTTAATAATAATTAATACGGATTGACGCTCTTTAAGCAATTTAATATATTTCGTATCACGGAGTAACTAAATTTATTAATTTTTGCATTTTAATAGCGGTTATAATATACGAGAGTGTTTGTCTTAAATATTACGAGTTTTCACAACTACAGGAACCTATATCCTATACAAAGCACTTAACGCTCGTACTTATCTGAAAGTATTTAAACATTATTGACAGGTATTTATTAGCAGGTATATAGTTAAAATTCATTGCGGAAAGAACATTCGAGTAGTAAAAGTTTATCAAAACTACTAAATAAAGAACTATATAATGTATCTTTGCAATATTGTATTAATAATTAATTTATTATGTAAATTTTAATATCGGTGTCCCTATTGGTATTATATTTGGTATACCGACGAAAGTTTTTAGAACAATATTATCTAATATGATTGAGTGCATTTAAATATTAAAAAGTACAAAACGTGATTATTCCAGTGTACAAGTAGATCACATAAATACGCGTATATATTATTATTATATCACACTATGTATATAAGTTGAAGATTTGACGAAAATTCACTGAAAATTCACTAGAAATTATTTTATTATTAATAATATTAATCTTATAATAGATGTATAATAGATTATATAATCTTGCACGAAAAAAGTATAAAATAACGTCTTATTCTTATTCTTTTGGTAATGATCAATTAATGTCATTTTTATCGTACACATTTTCTTTATGTTAAAGCTAATTTTTGTTTACTCCACAGTTCCTATTTTAAAAATAGTATATAATTATTTATCTATATTAGAGGGTATTTTATTCAAATGGTAACACGAGATATTTCAGCCAGATGGCCTTAGATTGAAATGTGAGTTTTTTTTTTTTTTAACGATTGTGCAGGATACCGAAATACACATTTTTAGTCTATTTTCAAAATTGTAACCCTTGTGATACGTGATGCTTAATAAAACTTCAATTACGGAAAAAAAAGTGGAATTAAAATTTAATTTTAATCAAAAAAATTAATAGCATTTATTTTTATATTTAAAACTTTAATGTTTATTATGATAGGCATCTTACTCCACATCTACAATCAACAACATTCTAAGCAAATAATTCAATCAATTTGAATTTTTGACTTAACAGATATTTGTTTAATAAGACATAAGGTCAATTTAAAAAAAAAAAAAATTAAATTATTATTGTGTAGTTAAAAATTAATTCAATAGATACTACAATATTATTGTATAAACCATAATACAATACCAAACTAGTAAACAAATATTTAGTTCGAGAACATATTTTTTTCAATATTTTAAACAGTGTGAAATATCACGTTTGAAATATTTCAAACGTGAAACTTTCAAGTGAAATTGTTCGTACCCATAACGCTACATACTATTTACTTAATAAAAACTTGATTTAGAAAGGTTTGTCTGAGTTTTAGGGGGACTTAGCCCCCTATTTTTATCTTTGCAAATCTATTCCTGCACATCAAATCAAAATCATATACTATTATTTATTATGTTGTGGATATAATATTTGAAATTATAAATATACCAAATACAATGTGTTGTGGTAAAAATGTAAGACTTAAAATATCAAAATTCTATAATCACGCAATAGTAACAAACAAAAAAAAAAGTATATAATAAAATAGGTACTTTGAAAATAATAACGTGTGAAATTCCAGACGTATTGAATTTAAATATGTATTACTTGTTGTCATCGATTCATTGCGGGCAAACTGTTTGCGAGTTGTTTTTTGTTTGTAGTTATTTGTTTTGTAGTAGTCAGGCAAAAAGCTTTCAGCACATATAATATGTATATGGTTGAATTAATAATAAAATGGAATAAGTAGAATCAAAACTAAAATAAAACGTAATCACGATTGATTTTATATGAATAATACCATGTAACAACCTTTAATATCAAAAATAATTATCATACTACGTGGTTATTTTTACCATGGAAATAAAATTGTTCAAACGGAACAAAATATGGTTAAAGTATAAATTATTTATTTTTTTTTACACATTCAATGTTTTACATATTGACATAATGTTATATTATAATGCGCTCATCACCATAAAGCTACAAATAACACATTATTAATAAGCAACGCAAAATGTTGTTCATTATTAAGGTTAGGTTATTAATTAAATTTGTTTTTCACTCGAATAACACATTTATTATATTTTATAAAAATCGAAAACAAGCGAATGTATAAAAAATGAATTTATATAAAATATTTGGAAACGATTTTTTCCCATGTTAATTGCAAATAGTTAACACGAAAAGTTTAATATGGTTGAAATTATTGTGGAATAGAAAATATTTATTGTTATTATTATGTCTACAAATTTGTATTAAATGCATAGTATAATATATGCGACGAAAAATAAAATGACTACAGTTGTATTCTTTTTGTTAATAATTATAATAATGTGTAATCGTGGTAGGTACTATGGGCTTTATAAAAGTATTTTTGTTTTTATTTTTTATAAGCTATTTAGCAGCGATAAAAATGCTTAAGTAAATGTGTGGAGTGTTGAGATAAAATAGAATAATGAATGAGTACATAAAAAGTAGTAGATAAGATCAGAAACTGCAGTAGGAATTGTATTGAAAATTGACGTTAGAGAAAAGAAGAGGAAAGAAAGAATAAAAAGGAGATGGTTGGATGCTATTGAAAATGATATTAGGATGGCGGGTATATACTAAAACGATATGAGAAATTGGGTCAAGTTGAAGTTTAGGGCGGGAATAGCCGATCCCAAATAGATGGGATGAAAACCAGGAGAAGAAGAAGACTTTTTATAAGTTATTTAAGTACCTTTTTTAGTTGACCAACAAATTAGCGTAACTAATGGAATACTCAAAATTCCAGAAGGTTTATCATTTTCCAATGATATTGGTATTTTTTAGGTTGTAACCTTGTCATATATGGCAAAGCGTGGAGTGGACATGCCCCCTTCCCTTTCCAACGGATACTCATGAATTTAAATACAGGACAGCTAACATGTGATCTGTGCTGTAACATATCTAGATACATGTATCTAAAATAGAGTATCTAGATACTTTTTTTGTATTTTGTATCTGTATATATAGATACTTTCTAAATAAATGTATCTGTATATGTGTCTAGATACTAATTTAAAGAATCTTATTACAGCATTGCATGTAAATCGTGTTTGGAACCGTGATTTTGGTTCCGGTATATAGTTCAAATGATTAAATTATTGTTTTGAATCAATTTCTTATTTTATGATGTTCTATATATCATACCTATGTTCATTCTTCTGTTTAAAAATTTAAATTAATCTGGTGTTAATAGCCCTACAGTCTACACCATTCAAAGGTATAAAAACATAAGGCACATGTTATATATATATATAAATAATTCGATAAGAAGAAAATCAATATTGACAAAGTATTATTTGCCATGAAACGCAAAATATTGAATATTAACAATTTTTTTCAAGAGTAATTTTTTTAGGTTGATCAATATTTTGTGAATTTTCACGTTTCGTGGCTGATTACTTTGTTAATATTGGTTTTTCCTATTGACTATAGAACCTCATTGGAACTGGTTCCATATTATATGCTAATAATTCAGCTTAATGTCATTTTTTTTTTCAAAGATAATTTATACCGTAAAATAAATATAATACATACAAATTGCATTTTTCACCGAAAATTGTTGCTTGTGAATTTTTTTTTCGTGAAATAAGATTCGATTGTATTGTACACTTGTATTAATAAATTATAAAGATACGTCCGTGAAAAAAAAATTGTTTTGGTCCACCCTAAAATATATTGTACAAAAAACCTATTTACAACTTTTTTCATCATTTTTCACTTTCGATTTTAAATTGATAATTTTACATGAAATATTGTATGCGACAATCGTTTGATTTTTCTTGTTACTTTAGTGTAGGTAGTTCTTTGTTCACTGACAAACCTAGATACGCAATCGTATTCCAAGAAAGCTCAACACACGCATTTGTATTGTATACACTCGTTTGAAATGTTTTTTTTGGGGGGTGGGGCAAATCTAGAACTTTCGAATATTTCACTTTATTGACATAAATAATATATTATCAGAATATACAACCTTTTGTTTAGGTAGATAATTATAGTAAATAAAAACCTGGATAAACCTACTGAATTTAAAAAAAAAGAAGAAACATTTTTGTTTTTTAATAATTCGGGTAATTATTTAACGGATTATGACACTTTATATGTATGCTGTAAATAGCATACAAATAGAAAACCACTGAGATTTAACAGTAGTATAGCTTATACAGACAATATATAGCCTTAATAGTCAGATGATCTAAATAATATGACGAGCATCTTGTTGAAGGAAGGTCAATGAGGCAAAAACAAAATAATACATTGTGATACTTTTCAGGCATAACCATAACATATATCATTTAAAAGTAGATCATTATAAATTTAAAATTTCAAATAGCCAAGTGCAGATATCAGTGTTAATAACTTATTGTTGTAATTTTTTTTTGTAACGAATAATAATAAATTATAAAATTAATAGAAATACAGTATATTAAATTATTTGTCTACACAAATATAGTATAAAAAAAAAAGTTAAAAGTTTGATGCATTCTGCAGTATTCTGCAGTATTTTGCATCTGTGGAATTTTTAGCCTATGGCTTTTTAATATCAATATTTAATTAGGTAAAAATGCCTTATCAAGAGTTTATTTTGACTTAAAACTAATTGATATGTACATTTTTTTATTGAAAAGTTATTTATTTTAAAAAGTTTTGAGGATAAATAAAAAATTGTAGAGAATAGTGAATACTTTTTATAAAATTACTATTGCGCGTGAATCAAATATATTATACATTTAATAGAAACTATATAGGTTGATTTTTATCTTTGTCGTCAATGTGCTGATTATAACTTTACCGGTATATAGTACTAAAGAATAGTAAAAAAAAGAAAATTCACACGTTATTGTTAAAGCGCACTGAAACGAATTATTGCCGAAATGTCGGTGCCGGGACAGTTTTGCGAAAATGTAGACGCTTTATATTTTTGATTGGTTTACTATAATGTACATTGCAGGTTTACAACTCTGCTGTTGTAATAACGTGAATACGACCATTGTAAAGATCAAAGTGAAAAACAAAAAATAAACAGTTCTTTGTGATGGGATAGGATTTAGGTAAGTACTTAAACCAATTCAAAAATAAATTTCGTTTTGGATCGATTATAGGTAGGTATAGCTACTTTTCGATTTTTAATTAAAAAAGAATGACATACTTCGCACGATGGGTAGACAACTGTTGTAGGTTAGAAATTTAGATGGTAGAGGGAAAATATGTTTATCTGTACTCAACGATTAGCCATTGCTAACGAAAAACGATTCTGAGCGGGGTTTGGTTAAGTGTTGCTTTGTCAACAATATATACAACTTTATGGTGAAATAATTACATAATATGCATTATATATGGTTTTGATGGTTTTATAACAGTCATATACAAACCATATATGCATTTTTTAAAATGATTTTCATTAAATTTTGATATGAAAATTCCAATGAATAAAAATTCTATATTACAGTCAATTTTTTTTCCACAATGTGTGACCTATATTAATGGACTTCCTGTTAAATTAGTATTTATGTTCGGTCAAACAATTTTATCCATAGAGTACCTGGCGAACAAAAATTACATAAAAAAACCACCGTAAAATTAAAATGTCTATAAATAGTTCAAAAATGGCTATGTTTTGAAAATTTTACCACGTCTAAAAAAGTAAAATATAAGTTGTTCGTTCAAATATCAAATCTCAACAAATATTTTTAACTGAATTAATATAAAACAAAAAACAAAAAATTAAAAACATAATATATTTCGTAAATTTTTCCGTTTTTCCTACGTTTTCTCTCATTTATTGGGAAAACTCCTGGGAAAACCAACAAATGATATAGCAACCCAGTTAAATTTCCTTTCAGAAATAATGCTATTTGACCTATTTGAAAATCAGAGAAAAATGTCCGGTAGAAAAATTGTTCATAGAAAAAAAAATAAACATCATTGTAAAACCAATACATTTCTCAGAATCTAAAAAGTACGAACGTATTTCGGCTCTTCGGTTTTTTGTCGTACTACGTGTTATCCTGTACAGTAGACAACTGTTTTCATGAAAACACAATAATTGTGTGTATGACGTATTAAAAATTAAAATATATCACTAAAAAAAATAAATAGATTTTAGATAGTGAGTGAAGCGATGAATGTATTGATTTTATAATAATGTGTTCGACACATTTTAACTTGTGTATTGTGTAGTTGTGTCAACTGGGATGACATACGCCGATAAATTTGTAAAATAATAATAAGCAGGAGCGGACTCAGGGTGCTATAAATTAAGTAGCACTCCAAGACCCCATTCGTCGGCATTTTTTAAAAAATTTAACTATATATTATTGTAATGTAGAACGAAAAGATAAATTTGTATAGCAATCGTAGTTGTTGTAATTATAATTATAATTTATAACTTTACATCATATAATCGTATCACTCTTGTAGTCTACGTAAATAAAACAAATATTGATTAAATAATTGCATAAAAGTTAAATTATCATTTTTATTATCAAATACTGGCACTATGACTTTTATTGAATTAATCGGTAAAAGTTGTGGTTTGGGCCGGATTTAGGGTGGGGTCCATAGACCTCCGGCTCAAAGTTAGGCTCTTACAAAATTAAATTCATGCGGGACCCCCACGAAATAAGTATTTTTACCATTTAGTAGCAAGTTTTTTCGCAAATTTCAATGCCTACAAATTCTAATTTTAATTTTATTTAAATTTAAATTTACCTAAATTAGTTTTTATATGTTTGAATTAATCAAATATTCTCTTGCGTCTAATAGTCAGTAAACAAATCGAAAGACGTCAATGAATAAAATATAATCATTAAATAACAATGTACTAAGCAATAATATTAAATTAGTATACTATTTCTTGTTCGATTATAACAAATTGCCACAGTTTCTGTAATTTCTATTATTTATGTTGTATAATTATTTAATTATTTTTAAACCAATTCTTATCTTATAAATTAAGTCTATCATTATCCATACATGACTGTAGTCAATATATTACTCAATTTCGTTAAATTTTTTAAAGTTTTTTTTAATAAATTAATCAATTAGTTTTACTCGTTGTCATTCAGTAAATTTTGGTTATAGATATGGTTAAAATGTCAAAATGACTTAAAAAAAAATTCTTCTATCTAAATCTGGTGTTTAAAATACATGTTGATATTTATAAAAATGTAATTTGTATTGCACATGCGCACAAAAAAAAGACAATTTGAAAATTGTCAAAAAAATATTTTAGTATTCCCTAGCTCCTAAAAACTCCATTTTATTTAGAAGTCACTGAACAGAAATATTTCGTGTTACCTTTAAAAGGAAACATTGTATATTGGTAATACGTATACTATATTTTTATTGTACATTGTAATGTTTTGTTTAATAAAGTTTACTTAAAATTAAACTATGTAACTATCTATAAAAAACATTTGTTATAACATAAAATTATATAATTATAAATTATAATATAATGTATAATATACTATAACATATTATCATTTATAAAAAACAATTAGAAAACAATTATACAAATATAATTATAGACTTTAAAATTTGATTGAGAACGAAGGAAAATTGTTTTTGTACGCAACTCCCGGAAGTCTAGTCTGTCTTATTGTAAAATCGTAATATCAATTCTGTAAAATATATATCTTTGTGTGGCTCCAATAAATAAATTATAACAAAATAATACATATGTATATAAATAAAAAACAATTTTTAAGAGAGGTCTATAGAAACTACATAAGATGTTAGATATTGGTTAAGGCCTGTTGCAGAGAAACACTATCGTGGATACAAAATAATTTATTATATTCTCAGTAGCATTATAGGTAGCGCGAGTTGCAACGAAAGTTTAATGACAAGGATTTGCTATATGCAAAAATGAATAATGGATAAAGTTGAACTTGCTGTTAGGAAGTATTATAGGTATACATTATGTACTGCGCCACGTGGACGTAATTAAATATTTCGACATTTAACGCTAAAATTAATACTATTCTTTCGTTGGCACATTTCGAATAAATCCATTATAATGTTATTGCATATTATGCATGCGTACCTATTCGCGATAATAAACAACAGTTAGATAGTGTTAAGTATAGTAAACCAATGAGTCAAATTTAGGTTTAACGTATAACCTAAACAGAATTAACATAGGAAACGATTTTGTTTTGATTTGTCGGCTAAACTTAAACGACAAATGCGAACTCAAACAACAACAATTTTATAGGATTAAGAATATATTATCGTGTGGAAATATTATAAGAGCGTACAATAATAATAAGACAGGTATACAATAATAGTGTACGCGAGTAGGTACGTTTTAATTGTAGATTTTGAAAATAATAAAATAGTTATTTTTTTTTTAATAAAAAAAAAAATGTAATTCAAATAAACATATTTTTTGTTCTCATACCAGTGAGAAATATAAAAAGAAAAAATAATAGAATGTGATTATCTTTATTATCTCCGGAGATATTCAAGGGGTATATCTTCATGAGACAGCCTGTAAATAGAATTAATAAAATATAACATGTGTGAAGTTTATCGAACAACAAATTGATGAGAGGTATGGCGTAAAGAATAAACGTGCCTAGAGTTAATAAAGAACGAATTAGAAATGTAAAATGGTGAAGTAGATACAAGGAAAGTTGGGTACGAATTATTAAAACTTCTTGCGGGGTACCGGTGGTTAGCTGAAATATGCGGAGAAATGTGTTTTTAAATATTGTAAATAGTTAATTTTCTGTTTTTATTTCCATAATAATAATGTTTTTCATCTTAAAAATCTGACTACCTATTTGAAATATCCGCGAGCTCTGCGGCTGAAAGACAATAAGTTTAATTTGAATAAATTTTAATAAAAATCAAACAAATCAAAACATTGCTTTCTTACTCACCAACTAAATCTAAAATTGAAAAGGCTTCTTGTTTTTTTTGATTGATGTTAGATTTTGGTAGAAAATTTGTTTGCAGATAAAAAAAAACAAAAATCGGACATAATTAATGGGGTGGCCTCTGTTGTAGGAGAGAAGTTCGGAAGGTAGAGAGAAAATTAAATGTTTATCTGTACGCAACGATGATTCAACGTACTTATGCCAAACAAAAAATGATTCTGAGCGGAATTTGATTAATCATGTTTTAAAAGGCTGTAATAATTATGATTTGAAAATAATAAATTTCGTAAATTATCTCGTTTTTCCCATTTATTATTAAAACCCCTGAGAAAAAAAACATGACTTTCTTAAAGTACTGAAAAAGTGCTATACTTGAAAATCGGAAAAAAATTGTTGGTAAAAAAAGTATCCACAAACAAAAAAAACATAAACATCATTGTAAAACCAATATATTTACATAATAGTTTCAATATATTCCTCGCTCTTTATCCTCAGAATGTAATTTTTTTAACTTTAATTACTGTTGAATTTGAATATTACAGTATATCTTAACTAAAATATAGGTTGAATTTTTTAGTTGATGTTATAAACAATATGCATTTGTTTTCGTGCTCATAAAATACAAAAACAAATGATTCTCCCTGTCTATTTATGTATTTCTGAACTTTGCCAATATATTTATCCGAATTTGAGTTACTTGATCTAACTTAATTTCTATGAATATATGTGTATTATGTATGAAATTTGCATTCTTTTAAATGTAACAATATATATGCAATTTAAACTTAAAATTTAGAAAAATAAAAAAATTGTTCTAAATAGTGATAAATAACTGATGAATAATGTTCACGGAAACAAAAAATTTAAATCATTTTTATGAACCAAAAAAATATTTTTCGAGAAAAAACCACATACATCATAATTTGTTGTTTACATATTTTTTTTAATTAGGAATTACTTTAAAACAAAAGAAAATAATTTTCTTTTAAACATTATTTACTTTATACGTGAGCTATGCACAATTAATAATAATGAAACCTTAAGGAAAGTAATTTAGGGACGTCACCGACAAACATTGTACTAATTACTAGCCAAATCTATTTTTTTTCTGTAGAACATTTTTGATTTTATAATTTTACATTTTAAATGAAACCTAAATTCAACTTCATTATTTAAAATAATTTTTCTCACTCTTGATTTTTGGGAACACGTTATTTCTACACATTAATTATAAGTAATTTGCTGAAAACGAGAAATGAGCAAAGTTCTGAAAAATTTATTTTGGCACATTTTAATTAAAAATTGCATTAATGTGACTTTAAAATTATTAAGTATTATTTTTCATATTTTGAAATAATTGTATCATATATTTGACCTTATAAAGTTATAACGCACATATTTTGTTTTACCACTTAGTATAACTTATAATGTTCCCAAGGAACAAATATCAAATTATTGTGAATTTTTACGGGGCCACATACAATCCAAAAAAAAAAAAAAAACAGTTTCAAATATTTATCTACAAATAACATAAAAAATCAAAATATTTTTAGAATAACAATTGGGAATCAAGAAACATGTATTTTTTAAATAAAGTAACACTGGATGGAAAATCTGTGTCTTTTAAAGTACACGATGTGAAAGTTTTGAAACATTTTAACGAACCAAAAAAAGTGTTTTCCGTAAAAAAAAAACCACACAAACATCTCAGTAAAACTATAATAACTTTTAGACTTTTCGTTCAGAATTTAAAACTAGGAAAGGTTGCATGTTACAAAGAATTGAAATGTATGTTTTTTTTTTATTTACAAATATATACGTATGTATGTATTATAATTATGTATATATTGTAATGAAAATAAAGTTTTTTTAGTCAAATAAAATGTCAAATGTTTGCAACATTGAATTAACATTAAATATAGAACGATAGATTTTTCTTTTCGATTCTGTGCGAAGCGAGGAATGTATTGGTTTAATATTGATGTTTATTTTTTTTTATACTGTACAAATTTGAACCAGAAATCTTGTTTAAATTTTCAAAAAATAATAATAAATAATTAATATCGAGTAACTAATTAAATAGTTCAAATTCGTTAAAACTACTTATTTTATCAGTTTAGTCACTAGTCATGTCTTAAATATATTGTAGTGCAAGTAATAGTTATAAAACGTAATACTTACAGGGGACTTTTAAATGAATATGTATTATTAGTATATTGTGTACTAATAATAATAATTAATAATATGTATTATTGTTATTAGATCCTGTATGTATCGAAGAATGCTATTGGTTTTACTAAAATGTGATTTTACTCGGGAAACAATTTCTCGGCTCAAATTGTTTACATTTTATAATGTACTCATGAAAGTTACTGATTTTTATCTAGTGGTTTTTGAAAATTGTTAAGTTGGAGTTTCTCTAAAACAGTAAAACAAAAACAAACAACAAATGACGATGTATAGTTTATTTTTGGTCGATTTGTGTAGGTTATATTTATATACCATGGCTATACATAGGGGGAAAAAAACTTATACTATGACATTATCAATTTATCAAGCTTCAGAATCGGTTTTTTTTCACAATATTTATCGTTTTTTTTTTTTTTTTTAATATATCAGCTAAATAAATCTACACTATACCTTCAAAATTTCGTACCTACACCAGTACATCAGTATGGTGTAAAGTATATCAGACTTTTATTGTTTTACTTATTCGTATTTCTGTATTTCGTGTTATCTGTCATTCTATTTAAAGCAGGTACCTATATTATAAATTATAACATAGTAGGAGTTCTAAGTTTAATTACCGCTATTGGAACGGTACCTACATTGTTCATAACTTACTTGTACACTGAAGATATTAAATTAATAATCCATACTGTTTTTTATTATTCGTATTGAAATCATCGTGGAAAAAATATAAATAGAATATAATTATTATTAACGAATCTCTTTTTGTATTGTATTTTGATTAATCACCTACCTTTTTTTTTGTTTTCTTTTTTTGTAACCATCATATATACAGGGAACGTCCTGTTTTATTATTATTATTATTATTTTTTTGCAATATCAAATATAAAACAAAATATAATATGAGACCTTTTTTTTATATTTTCGAGGCAATAAAATATGAGTTATATACATGTCATAGGTATGTCACATATGTCCATGAGGGGTTAAAGAGTATCAAAACTTTGAAGAGAAATTTTAAACAGGTCACGTTTTATTTTTAAGAACACTAAACGAAAAAACCTATTTAATCGCCAACCTTTGTAAGTGTAACACTATGTTTTCAACACTTGTACTATAGGTATTCCTTTGAATTATTCATATACGAATTCAGAACCTATATTTATATATATATATAAAGTACTCGGAATTTTATTTTGTACCCACCTAGAATTTGATAATCTATCAATATGGCTATATTATTATTAATGTTATTTAATATTATAAAAATAGTTTTTTTTTATACTACAATCGGTAGTTGTACTGTAAATTATTATTAATCCAATTTTGTTTATTTGTTTTTTTCATTATAACCTATATATTAAACGTATTTCAAAATCTGAAAACATAAACCGAGCATATTTATTAAAACATTGATCTTGTTTTTAAACGTGAAAAAAAGTATAATAATTGCTAAATATAATAGGTATTTTTATAGGTACACACCGTTTTAACGTTAATCAATTATATAATAAGGGGTCAAATTGATAGTGGAATGTACGAACAAATTTAACAAAACATTTAAATATCAAGGTGATATGAAGAAGAATGGGGGAAAAAAAATACAAAATTGAAGGTTAAATAATAAAATTGATGATTAATGAGATTATGTCCTTTTTTATATGTACGAATATATTGATGGGTGTGAATAAAAACGTCTTTCTATAATGTTTTCTAAAGAAATCAGAAACTTTTCACGAAAATATCGAAGTGGCAATGTCATATTATTTTTTCATAATATAATCCACATAGTTTTTTTAAAATAATTTTAATTATATGGAAATTCGTAATAATTATTTATATTAATAAATAATAGAAATACTAATAATACAATAAAGCACCTAAATTTGTATGTTTTTTTTTTTTTTTTGAAAATGTAACTAATAAACGCTGCGGATGTATTAAATCTTATTAATTTCTTGTGTTCAATATTTCCATTGAATTTTTTATTATGGTAAAAGTCTACGAATTAGTTGTGAACAGTAAGTGGTACTGTATGATTATGAATATTAAACGACATATCGTACGCGTCAAGCATGTTTTTAACAAATATTTTTTTTTTCTTATACAATTTTTAAAAATCGTTTTATGTTGTTTATTTACCTACATTTACATCCTGTATATAGATATAGATTTATACATCTATAGGACACGGGGGAAAAAAAATGTGAATTTTCGATGGAAAAAATGTAATATAACATAATAATAATATGAACCCGGAAATTATATTAAATAATTTATGTATACATGTATACATTATAAGCTTTGGGACTTGACTTACTCTCGAATTTTAATATCATGTCTGGTAAGAAACACCGGAGATAGGTTTTAAACAATTCGATTATATGAATAATAATGAACCTACATGATCAGTATACACGATAAACCATCTATACCTACCAGCCAACCATATTATAATGTTGTTACATAGAAACAAAGCTTTACATATAAATTTAAATAAGACGATTATTATGTTGCCAATGGTGGGACATATTATTATTATCATTAATATAGAAATTTATAATTTTAACTATTGATTTGACGTATGATTATATTCACCATAATAAAATCATAAAATTAAAAATTTAGCGTTGAATGCGAAAGAAAACAATAAGCATTATTTTTTAATTAAACGATTTTTTAAAAAAAAATCAATTAAAATAATTACATTTTGGTCTGTAGAAAAAAGAGCTTAAGTCAATTTTATACAATTTTTAATAAAACTGAATTAAAATTTGAATATTTTTAAGTAACGTACTGGCATCACTGTTAAATAGCTAAATAAACTTATCAAAATGACCGTTCTATATCGCGTAAGATCACATATGACTTATGTATTTTTTACCAAACAAAACTGATTTAAGATGTTATAATTTTCAGTAGAGTATGTGTTAGAACATTCATGCACTTATGCGATTTAGACCAAACAATTAAGGGAAACATATTTCATACAAAATGAATAAAATACCGAAAATTGGCATTAGACTCCCTGGGAACAAAGATATACTTTTCAGTATAATTTCTCACATTACCTATATATTTAAAACAATATATTATCTTAAGTACAATATTGTACTTTATTTTAAATCATATATAATTCTGTTTATTTTTATATTTAATTATTAAATATAAAAAGCAGTCATAATTGAGTTAAATATTTCCATTTGAATAATAATTATAACCGAGAAAATAATATATGAAAAAAAAAAAACTACACACCTATTACATAGGTATAGAATGTATGGCATATGCATGTTGAGGATTTGTTATTACTATTACATTAAAATGTGTTTATATCAAAAAATATATTCAAATGTTAAACGTTGAAATGTATGCAAATTTAAAAATGCGGAACATCAAAATGGCTTTCATTCATGTCGTGCAATTTGATTGGAAGAATATTTATGGTACATTATTTTAACGAGAACGTTAACAAATCTGAATAATTTTTGAATACACAACATTTTTATTTACATTATACATTTTTAATGTGAATTTATGCCTACGTCATCCAAAACATAGTGATACTATTTTCAGAAACTGATTTTGATCATCAATATTTTGGGGATGGTTTCTGGTATCGAATTTGTATCTACTCAGTGCGTTGATGGGGTAGTTTTTTGTACTTGAACTTATGCCAGGAGAAAACTAAAACAAAAATCTGCTGGAAAAAGGAAAATGGGTTAACTAGATAACCCCCCTCCCCCCGTGAAGTGTTTGATCGGAGTAAGTAATTTCATCGAAATCATATGGGAAAAATGTTCTCTAAAACTATATAATATACTAAAATAAAAATAATATTATTCTTCGTTTCACTTAGAATCTATAATGAATGTTACATCAATGATAAGTCGAAAAACCAATAGTAGATGTTATTCTGAGATTCTACTTTGTACCCAATTATCGTCAGAGGCGGGACGATTAATAACTGTGGAAATATTTTCGAATAATTCGATTGCTACCTTACATTATATTTCCTTCGAAATAACGAAAAGGAATAGACATGTATTGTAATATGTTATAAAGCGTATAAAGCGCGAAACACACCGCGGCGTTCGAATAGCCAACCTATACTTAAACGGAATCGTTATAAACAATAACGATTAACTAAATAACTTAATTATTTATTATAATATTAAAGTAGGTATGCCAAGATATTTAAAATAATTGTATAAGATATTAATACTCGTAGCTATTTACTTTGTGTATCTTTTCGGGCCACGAATAATTGTCGGAATAAAAGTGTAGGAGAATGCAAGTAACTTTTTGGACGATTATAAAACACGCCGACGGAGTTAGCGCCTTTTCTGCTCTTCACCTCGTATCCACGGCGCAAAAATAATAATAACAAGCGACGTAATATTTGTATTGTTTACGAAGAAATAATAAAGTACACAATAATAAAACAAATATTATATGGAATTTAACGGTACTCGTGCGTTATTTTATATTATTATATTATGACGACGGTTTTGTAAAACAAATACGAACATCACTGTAGGTATACGGTGCTGAACGCCTCGGTGATTTCGAAACATCGCAAATTTGCTATATTATAGCAGACTTGGATGAGACTCACGGATAAGTTTTGTTTGCGTGGGTTTTTATACTGCCGTAACGTAGGTAGAACGACGCGAAAATATATATTTTATCTCGTCTCTCATGTATAATATTTATACATGTATATATAATAACGGTGGTGCAACGAAATGTGTGTAACGAGAATAAATTAATCAAATAAATGAAAATATAGCAGCATAATAAGATCTACGGAAAGTAATAACTCTGAATTATAATAATACCGCAGGTATTGAAAATTTGAATTCCTTTAAAATTATACTGTGTCGTCGTCGAACAGTTTATATTCCATAATATTTTTTGATTAGGAATCGTGTAATCAGAACGGTCGTTGATAATAATAATAATAAAAAAAATAATATGATTCTGAGCAAAATTCAGTTGTATACACATTATTTTGAAATTTCCTAATTTTTACGATTTTCGTCAAAATTTGAATTTATTATGCACATAAAAAAAAAACATTACATTATCTTCGAATTTTTATTTTTTTTTTCTATTATATTTCCAAGTATTTCTGTTCGGCCGAAAAAATGTCAATAAATAATTCAAAAATGACTTAAATGTTTTGAAAATGTTACCACGCCTAGAAAGGCAAACATACATTTTCTGTCAAAAATGCAAGTCTCTACGAATATTTTAAATTTAATTACAACAAAAAAATAAAATTGAAAATAACAATAGCATTATTTTCGTGCATTTTCCCGTTATTTCTAAGTTTTTTTTATCCGTTTCGCTCAATTATTAAAAAACTACGGAAAATTCAAAAACGACTTTCTTACTAATTAACTAGATTAAAAAAGGACAAAAAGGTTTCTTGTGTCGTTTTTCTGTTGGAGCAATATAAACTGGTAGAATGTATAAAGCGTAGACATTTGATATAATGAAATCGTAACACCATCAATTTATCAGTTTTCATTTAACATTTTTTCCGGTTTTTCCTAATTATAATGAATTGTTCTTAATTATTGTTGACAGTTTTTTTTTAAAAAAATCTAAAAAAAATTATCGGGAAGCTAGACATTTTTTTTCAAATAATCTAGCGTCCGGTGAAAAGCCCGCATCTTTTAATGTACGAAGTACGGCATGAACATTTTTACCAAATCAAAAAGAAAAAAAAACACAATCACACACATCTTAGAAAAATTAATATAAAGCTTCTTCATCGTACACTCAGAATTTAAAATATATAAGACGATATAGTCACTACTTATTACGAGTACCTACGTGCTTTTGAGATAATTCGACGAGTTGCGTTAAACTCGTCGTTGTTAAAATATTACAAACATGAAGTGTTGTATTTGTTTTTAACAATCATAATACTGTTTACGATCAACAATGTTATGAGTAAATATTATGTAAAAATATATATTTTATATGCGGCGAAAATGTACGACCGGAGTTTTTAGACTTTTTGGGACATCTGATTATCGTCGACGCACTATATTATGCTACGGGTATATCGTGTCCTTATCAGTATAAAGTTGTTGCGCGAAAACTTTTTGCATGTTATATTTGCTGATAAATAAAAGTTTTATAATCGAAATAGAGCACATTACCCGATTGGAAAACGAATAACTCACTTGGAACTATATACCTAATAATATTATTATAAATAACCTCAGTTCTAATCAGAATATGATACGATGATATTATTATTATGTAACATATTTTGCTGAATTATTGCCTTTTGTAGTTCTCTACCAATAAAACAAATAATAATACAAAAAAAAAAAAAAGAGTATGTTTTATACTCATACATAATAAAAAAAAATAAAGTGTAAAGCTACGAGTATTACGATATATAATAGTTAAAATATAGTTATATGGTTATAATGACAATTCTAGATTCCGAACGGAGAAAAGGATCTATTGGTTTTACTATGATGTGTTCTTTTCTTTTCTTTTTTTTTTGTCTGTAAACAACTTTTCGAAAAGAAAACTTGCTTCGATATTTTAAGTATAGCACCTTTTCTGAAAGGAAATTGTATCTAGACGATGCATTAAAGAAGTCGTTTTTTTGATTTTCCAAAGAGTTTTTAAAAAAAAAAACAACAAAAGACCTTTTTTGTTTCATTTTTATTGCAACAGTTGATGAATAAGAAAGTCATTTTTTTAAGTTTCACTGTAGTTTTTTTAAGCAACAAAACTGTTAACCGAAAAAAAACTTAGAAAAAACGAGATAATTTACGAAAACAATGCTTTTATTATTTTAATTTTTTTTTGTTTTTAGGTTGAAAATATTCGTAGCCTTGAAATTTTGACCGAAAACTTATGTTTGTCTTTTCTAGGCGTAGTAAATAGAAAATTTAATTTTGCGAGTTTTGTCCGTCATTTTTATTTAATAGTTACTCTGTAGATAAAATTGTTTGACCAAACAGAAATAATTGAAAATTTAACAGGAGGTTCTTTATAAGTTGTACTTAGTGGTCAAAAAAATTTGTTGAGTGTAATATAGTTTTTTTTGTAAGAGTTATAATATAAAATTTTGACGAAAATCGTAAATATTAGTTTCCTTCGAAATTGTATGTATAACCTAATAACTTTAAATTGTTTTGCGTTATTAATTATTTATCGTTGTTTACAGATATAAATTAAATAACTTTATATATCCTACCTTCCCAATTTCCCTCATACAACAGTGGCATACCCATTTCCAGTATTAGCTTTTTATTTTTTATACAACATAATTTTGAGGTCATCATAACGTAATAAATTAATACAAAATGGATTAAAGTCGAAATTTCAAATTAAAATAAAATACAAATTACAAAATATATCGCCAACTCGATTAAAAATGCAACAAAACTATAGATTTTCTACTGGAGTAAGATTTCTGATAAAGATAATTAAGCGTACAAATTTAAAGTAATGTAACCATGTGTCGTAAATTTGTTCATTTTTATTTTAATTTTTTTTGAGTTTTCACATTTGTTATTATTATCTAAATTATCACCGTAATAGTGATACGACCGTCATAGAGGAGTGTGAGTGGACATGGAACAGATAGCCTCGGGCGTGTTCAAGTGAGGTCCGTCTTATAGCGTTCGATCCGTTATTATCCATAAATACTTTTATTCAGTCATTAATTTTATTGTATGAACAAATATATTGAACCTATAACTTACTACCTCCTAGTTGTATTTATTTATTTAACAATGAAAACCCCTCGAAAAATCAAAAATGACCTGTTTAATGCACCAACTAAATCCAAAATTGAACAAAAAATTCTCTTGTAATTTTTCGATTGGAGTAAGTTTTTTGGTTGATAAATTCCGTACACACAAAGAAAAAAAAACAAAATCAAACTCACATCATAGTAAAACTAATAGATCTCTCGCTACGTTCAGAATCTAAAAAAATAATAATAATCAACGATTAAGACGTGAATTTCTTTATTTGCTTTTTGTCGGAAATGGTCATAACATTTACAACAATATCTAACAAAATAAATCAAGACTTTGCGTTTTTAGATATTTTATTTATAAATTAATTTATAAGTTTACATTTTTAGAGCGAAATTATTTATCTATACAGTCAAAATATTTTAAAAAATATTTAAAGTGTGCCAAACTACAAACTACAAAATAGTTGGAACAAAGGTTTTGACTACCAACTATTATGTCGAAATAATCATAATTATTTATAACTAGGTAGTGATTTATAAAAATGAACAGCTTTTTAGTCCGCACTGCTATTTATTATGCTCAAGCAGTTATAGTCGTTCGTGCTATATACGATGGTTACGAAATATGATATCAATCAGATATAATCATATGTTTTCCAAACCTTTCAAATATTTTAAAAGGTTCTAAAATACTTGACGTTTTTCAATGTGAAATATTTAACCGTTTGAAACCGGCTTTAAATATTAATTTTTACTTTGAAATTAAACGTTTAAATTAAAACCGAAATCCGAATAGGGATAAATTAAATAATACGAATATTATTATTTTAGGTATTATAATTATTTGTCAAATAAATCGTTTATTTATCGAATAAATTAAACAAGTAGGTTTATAAATTCATAAATTTAATGAACGTTGGTTTGAAAAACAAAAAAAACGAGTTCACTTACGATCTATTCCGGGATTTTCTTCGATGAAGTTCAGTTTAGCCAACTTGAGTCTTCCAACCACCTTATCTTGTTCCGGTTGTTCGATCTGTGTGAACACCGCGGCTCCCGCCATCAAAAAAGACACGTAAAATATTACATACCCGATACAAAGGAACGTGCTTCTCCGGAGTCCACAAATGTATATTATGTTTCCTTTGACAGACCACATTAATGATTGGTGCATCGTACTAACTGGGCAAATGCTCTGAGATTACGAAATACAAAAACGACCGGGACATTTTAATTATTCAATAGAACTAAAGAAACGAGTTGAATTTCTTCATTTGTACGCGTCGTCGACAATATTATTTTGCGCGGAAACAAATAACGAAAACTGGATGACAATACCATCATTATTATTAATTTTTTTACGATTAACCGGAGCACACGGACACAGACTTCCCGCCACGGCTAAATGGTAAAATTCGATTACTATCGCAGTCTAAGAAATCGTATTTATTATAATATGATGTACTCACGTTTCGTGTAAGTAGATTCTAGATTGTAAAACATGCGGAACAATAATAATCGTCTGATAGATAAGATAAAATTATTGTATAATATTATAATACACACACAATGTATGGACTTTAAACAACTACAGATTCGAAAAAAAATACGTCGAATCGTATGTATTGTACTCGAATCGCATCGGAACCTATATCGTTTAAATCAGTGATTCTCAACCTTATCGCCATTGTGCTTGTTACAGCATACATGATATTATGCATGTATGTATATGTGTACGAAAATATACGTAGGGGTCCAATAAAATTTGCCGCGTTATAATAAAAATGACTGAAAATCACTCGGGTGGATGGTCTGAACTGCATCCATAAGAAAAAGAAACGCAAAACCCGAGACGGTTACAACTCACAATGTTTATCTCATGACAATAAAGTAATAACAAGCATATAAGTACCTACACTAAAATCAAATCGTGAATAGAATAACATATCAAATGCGAGAATAATGTAAATAAATGCTTATATTCTTAACTTTTGTAATGTTATTGTTCCAAAATCAGGGGATATAAAATTAGTGTAATATACAGAACTGCGCCGTTCTTTTAAAATGTTATTTTATGTACCTATTATATAATATTATTTATTCGATTTTACGAATTATCTAGCCGGCTAATGATAAAAATTTAAATTTTATAAACTCCGTCACAGTAGAAATCACGGTTCGTTCGAATAATTATTTATTTGTATAAAATATTATTATTGTAATTATTATTATTATTATTATTGAAAATGAGTTCCTCGCCGTTTCTATATACTATCCAGATTTATTGAAAAATTATTTAAATTTATTAATTTAAAGTCTAATGAAACGGTCTTTTAAATTTACCATGTCGAAAAATATTCAGGACGTCCATCTACAGTCTTCGTGTACCTATTTTAATATTATTATTATATTATGCACTATATAGTCCATCTATATAGGTAATGGGTATATTTTCCTCTTAATCTGATTTGACACTTTGTGTGGGTTTTGATAAGGGCCATCGTTTTGAGAGTGACCCTTTTCCTATATTGTTATACGATGCATAACTTCGATCAAAAATATTATTATTATTCATTTTTTTTTTTTATCTTAATAGAATATACCTGCATTTTTTTTTTATCACCAATACTTACTCATCTTTCATAATAACAAATGCGCAAGAACTATTTTTCATATAGAGGGGCAACATTTTACATAATGTAAGTATCCATTAATAATTTATTAGGTATTATTTGTCGTTTCAAATGCCATAAATACAATATGTGCAGCAACGAATAAACAAATATATTATGTAAATATATCTAATAATCTGTAATTATTACCCCTACTGTGAAAAATTGAAATTTTTGGACGTTACAGTTTTGTCCGAATGAGTTTGGTTACTGTTTTTACCCGGCTTTTACCCGTAACATAATATATCTATACTTATGTATTCATATCAAACAATTGTATAAATTCTGTATAAAAAAATATTTACAACGGTTTAAAATCAATATTATAATTTCTTTTTCCCTGCAAACCGATCTATGACTATTTCTTGGATATCCACATGCTCTGTATCATTATCACTAGGTATACTGGTAAACACTAATAAAAACATCCAAGAAATAATACATATAAAGATTATAAATACTATATTATTTTATTACCTTTAATCTATAGCGGTGATTAAAAAATCGCAGTTAAACATTTCTAAGAAAGGGGTGATCCAGTTATTGCCCCCCCTCTAAAATATGCTACTTGGCTAATTTTATAGAAAAAAAACACGTTTTAGCCATCTGAATAAGTGATCGATATTACAGGTAATTTAAATTAGTATTGGATAAATCACGTAGACAATAAAATAAATAACCTAACCTAACTTAATCTTAACGGGTTTTTTTTCGACCTCGTAGAATAATATTCTAGTAACTTCTTATAAAATATTATTTGTTTCGCTTTGTAAACTCTTATAAAACAACGTGTTACTAGTCTAAAGAACAACTGCAGATTTAAGACCAAGTAATGTCTATAGACTATATTTATTTGTAAATGTATAATCGATTATTTCCTAATTTCCATAACTGCGTTCACAATACCTATGCTGTAAAATGTTCTACTGAGTTTAAGTAAAGTCTGCTTAAACCTTTTTGATAGCAACAAACACCTCTAAGCTCATAGGTTATGCCACTGATTTTTAAGATTTTATGTAAGTTTTCCAATACAACCCAGACATGAGGTGCAGAATCAGTATAGAATAGTTGATATCGTCATCTAAAAATTGCAAGTAATAAATAATTATAATAATAAATATTTGTAATTATTATTATTTTTATAGACTATGGTTTTAAATTTACTAAAGAGTAAAAATAAAAATTTAAAAAAAAAACTAACAAAGTGTAAAATAATCTTTTCAAAACATCCCTGGAATATTTTAGAACAGCTTAAAAATTAAACTTTAATATCTTATAACCATTTTAGGTATTCGGTGTTATCTTAGAATATTGATAGCACTAACAAATAATTAAACAACAAAACATTCGTTTTATCGGATCTAAATTTTTCTAGATTTAAAATGTTTAAATTATTCAGTAAAACACATAATATTCTGAAAATGTATGTTCTATACTAGGATACCTTTAACTTATATATTTTAGATATCAAGCGTAGCAAGGGATCGATCGGTTTTATTATGATGTGTGTGTGCGTGTGCTCAAAGATCTGTCTCGAATAGTTGATGCATTAAGGAGGTATTTTTTTGATTTTTTAAATAGTATTTAAAATAATTTAAAAAAAAAAACATAAACAAAATTATAGGAAAAACGGGCAAATATTTACGCTGTCACGAGGTTACGGAACTCATTATTTTAGATTTGCTCCCTTTGTTTTCTACCAGAAATCTTGCTTGGAATTTTTAATCTAGTTAGTGAGCAAGTAAATAATTTTTAATTTAAGTAAACAGTTGAATCACTGTAGGAGGGGAATGAAAGACGATATAACTACCTAAATATCTCATGCCATTAGTATATGGGTACACATGCACACATTGGATACGCATTGCGAATGTTGTTTAGTCAGCATGATTCATCATTCTTTCACTAGTGATGATCAATGTGGTGCATTTAATCCAGAATAAATGTTAAATAAGTATGCCCCATTGAACAACTATAGCTGTTTAGTACTTTTAACTAAGCTATTCATAGGTATTTTATGTTTGCAAGTTTTTACGTAGTTTTTTTACAGTAGGTACTACGTGGAAAAAATAGTTTGATCAAACAACAATGATTGAAAATTGAATTCGAAATTCATTATAAATTGTATTTAGTGGTAAAAAAAAAAATTAGCATATGTAGTCGGTTTTTATTTTTAATACATTTTTTTATAATCTTAGAAGTTTCACAATTGACCGTTAATTTCTGTTCAACATTATAGCAACATGAGTGATTCCAATCAATTTTGTCTAATAATCACGTATATTTAGAAGTTAATTTAGAAAACGCTCTTTCGAAAGAAAATCTTGTCACTGGATAAGTAAAACAAGTTTGTATATTAAATACAATATATTATTATATTTTTACAAATTCAGATTTTATTAATAATGTAAAATAATAACTATCGGTACATGTTATTATTATCTCAAATACCTATTTTGAACATTCATTTTGTAGTATTAAACAACTGAACTTAAATTTACATGTATTAATATAATGAGTTTGTTATTTATAGTTTAAGATTTTGAGCTGAGTGAGGCCATAGCATGGCGAACTCAATTAACTAATGAAACACTATGATTTATGTCGTCAGACCCATCTACCACACACCAATAGGTAAGTAGTGTTCAATAAACTGACGGGCATTCACCGGGTCGTGAAGAGGTGGTCAGGACGAGCTTCTAGGCGGGTTTTGCTGAGCCGCCAAGACGCGGCATGGGGTACGGCGGCTCTGAATTTAATTCTTAACCAATTACCTAACGTGTTATACTGTTAGCATTACTAATGTGAACCTACCTCGCGAAGGGGAAAACAGGGTTTTTGTCTGCGACTCATTATAAAATACAATAAACGACGGCAACAGTGGGAGTAGCGTTGTAAAAACACATCTCATATTGCTGCCGGTTTCACAAAAAAAAAAAAAAAATATTGTTAAATATCAAATCACGATATTAGTATTTACGCATTTACGTTTAGTATTTCAAAAAGATTTGCTTGTATGTAGCTACTTAAATTATATGTGAGAGAACCCTGTCATCCAGGAACGCCCATCACCCGTTAAATTAAGACATGTACCTTAAATAAAGTCCAGCACAACACCTTTGGAGAGAGGAATGTATTAGTTTTACAATGATTATTATTTTTTTTTCTGTAAACAACTACCAGAAATTTTGTCCCGGTTTTCAAATGTAGCACTTTTTCTGAAAAAAAAAAATGTTGTGGGATGGTATTTTAGGGAAATGTTTAGGGGTTTTCATAATTAATGCGAAAAACGTAAGAAAAACTGAAAAATGTACGGAATGTATTATTTTTAAATCATACATATTATAACCTTTCAAAACATTTATAACCGAATTCCGCTTAAAATCGTTTTTCGTTAGTTTCATCGTTTCGAACAGATGTATATTAAATTTCTCTTCTACCTTCCCAACTTCTCACCTACAACAGTGGCCCACTGTTTGAAGTATGTCCGTTAGTTTTTTCTTTACTCGCCCCGTAGTTGTGCCTATGAGGGGGACTATAATCCTAGAAACATTTATCCTATAAATATTCACTATGTTCAATTTGAATTCAAAATAAAATAAAGTATATTCTATAAAAACAGTTTGTCTTTTACTCACTGTCAACCTAACATTTTTTGTTATAATATATGAAATAATTAATAATAAATTTAAATTTAAATAATAAAATTAAATTTCAAAATATTATTTTTCTCCAAACATATTTAATATATTTTCTGAATTTAATACATGAGATGAATCTCTTTCAATATGTATTACAATAATTATAATTTCGTTAATTTTGTGTCATGTGT